CATTCGAAGGCTTGTCGCTGCTTGGTATTTATTAAATGGAAATTAATTGTTTTGCATAAATATTTGCACTGTAAAAATAACTGCACCCTAAGAAGCAAATACTGTAGCAAATAATAATTATTCCGATGTGTATGAAGCGTGAGGAATTTCCAAAAATTTAAATAAGATCAAAGATAACAATGATGTCAGATGGTGTTCGTCCAAAAATAGCAAAATGATTAATGTACGTTGTTTTGTCATGGAATTTTTATTTTTAAAGTTTTGCTCACATAATAACTCTTCGTCATGTCGCATAACATTGGTGGAAGATTTTTGACAGTAGCAGAGCAATTAAAGCAATTAAACAAGCTTCCATTTGGAAGAATGTCAAGGTCGTTAACTAGGCGCGAACCAAACAATCATAGCTAAATTTAACACCAAAATCATTTGCACAATTCTTAGGTGAATCATCTTTACGCGAGTTACAGTTAATGTATTAATTCGGTTTAACCGCAAGGTTGCCATAACATAAACGTCGAAATCTATCATGCGTTTTTTCCGCGATCCGCTTGTATATCTGTCAAACTTAATGAACAGATCAGAATGCGAAGGACAGGCAATTAGGGCAGACAAATGAAGTCTTGGCAAGGACGAAAAAACTCCTTCAGTCTGCCTATTAAAGCCGATTGTTACAGTTTTTCGCAAAAATGTCTACTCGGTCGGTTTTAATAATGTTACTAAGCTAAGCCGTGCAACGTGATTATAACTAGAGGCGATATTCCGTTACAAAAACGTCCTTGCTTTAGATTGTAAAACGTTCACGCTTGTTTGCCATATATTACATTACTAGGCCAATAAATTGTTTATAACTTTTCTAATAATTGCTCTCCAGCTTTTTTCCATTAAATATCACATCCACGAGCTGATTTTTTTTTTCGAATTTCGCCGGACCCAATAACAATAATCACCATTCGCTTCAAACGAATGTAGTACAAGAACCTTCGGACCGTGAAAAAAGAATATTACACACATGCTGCACTTCATTATATAAATACCATTATAATTCTAGTAAACAACTGATAAATATATATGACAGCTACACGATTTAAATAGTTGATCAATATATATTTTTTAGTTACGCCCAACATCCCAAAGAGATATTCAAAATGTTATATCATATAATTATACGGTCAAGCGTACCTATTTGTTTTGATTTGAGTATAAAACTATTGAAAAGAAATATGTACAGTTCTACAAAAAGTGTTTAATAAACATGTCAACATCACTTACAATACGTGACACTTTTAATAAAATACAATGCATCAGTAAGATGTAAATTAAAAGGGTCACGTTATAGAACCTTGGGGAACTCCTCTTTGATGGGTTAAGAGTTACAGTTGTAACTCCAACATATTTATGATTTTGATTGGTTAGCCATTTCGAACGAAATGTTTGTATTTTTTGTTTGAACGTTTAGCATAGACATACTTTATCTTCGTTCTTCTGTATTAAATCATGTTCGAAAAAATGAGCAAAAAGCTGTGTTCGGTGCGTGTACATGGTAACAAAAAGTGTATGGTAAATGTCATATTTGTATTTGGTTGACCTTGTACCCGCTGGGTTAAGAGTTGTTCGGTATTATCCAATGTTATTTGTCTACACACTCAAGAGAAAAACCATGAATTGAATGAAAATGCGAGGCATAAATAAAATGGCTGAAAATCATATATTATAATATACCCTTTGAAAGTGGTAAATTTATATGTGCGATTTTTTTCGTCTCTGCAAACTGTAGCATGACACAGCTGAAAAAATGCCAGGCGGTATCTCGTGGCACGAAGGACTTTCACTTTTATTTATCTCAAGTTGGTATCAATCAGTTAAGCCAGGCTTAATTTTCGCAACGGCATCGGTGTTACATTTAGCGAATTCTTTGTCGATCGAATTATCGGAGGTATTGAAAATTTAATGCAATTTTTAAGTAAGACGTTCGCACGCATTTCATTGAAGAATTATAATATTATATCAAAATGAATTCTGCGGTTTGTCTTGGAATTGCGTAATAATTCTCTATGCATATGATTATATAATTCGATATGCACTGTAAAAAATGTTAAAGTAATATAAGTAAGGGATTACGTCACTAAATACCGCATTTGTTTATTGAATATTAGCAATTAAATTTGTAAAGTTCACAGGTTTTTTTGTAGTTGTATCTCAATTCAAATAATATTTGTTCGAATTTTAAGGTGAAATTGGCCGGCTTAAGCAACAAATAAATTGCACAATAATTAAAAAAAAATCGTTTCAACAGAGGTTTTATTATTTTAACTAAGCGAGTTTTTAAACTTTTGCTTCTATTGTCGTGTGTGAACGGATACATTTTGTAGTTTGTCAAGGAATATGTACTCAGGATTTATGTCGCCTTCCCGAATAGATTTTTTCTTTTTAATAAAATATTTTATTGCTTGATTTTTTGTTTGCGATTGTACCCCAGCCGTAAAGATGTCACATACTTCTTCAAACATATAAAGCAGCCTAATAGAACGAAGCACAAAATCTATTACACGGCCGTTTTACAGTTTATTCCTTTTGACTACGGGGCTCAAAACATATTATGTCAATAGACATAACTCAGTTTTTTATGTGCGTCGTTTAGTACACAACCCCTTTGGAGAGGTGTCGTAAAGTCCGAGGAATTTACACAACATTAACACTTTGATTCTATTCAAAACCATTTTACTGTTCAATACTGGCGTAAATAATCTTGAAAAAAAAAAGAGTTTAACTGATCATATTGCACAGAATATTTTCTTAATTTAGGAGGTGTTTTGTGGAAAAAATCAAGTGGCGTTACATCTGGAAATCTTGCCGGCCATTACCTTTTCCTTTTCTGGGGAAACTTTTGGTTCAACCATTCTCTGACTGGATAATAAGTGATGCAATATATTTTTTTCGAGGAGCGTAAGAAATGTATCTGGATAGTGCGACCGCAATAGAATAATCGAAAGGATAATTTTAATTATCGACACGTATTGTGTTGCAGTTGCGACAAACTGATAAAAATAAAAATGTATATCGATTTCAAATATAATGTCGAAACTGGAACAAAGTTGTATAATATTAAAGTTAAATAACAAATTGTTATTAAACTAAAACTTAATCCTTTCTAATGCCGGGAGAGGTATGGTATAGTAGGTGCACAACAGTTGGCACTATTTGGTTTGTCACGACATTCAAAACAAATTCAACGGTTTTGATTTTTATGGTGCATTGGTAGAAAATGAAGATTCGCTGAATTGCAAAATTCTGAATGCAAAATACGATGCATGATGTTTTGTCTTGGGTAACTTTGTTTTTAATTGCATCACCAATTCGTTTAATTACCTTTCTGGAAACTTATGTACGTATGTATCATGTGCAGTAACCATTTGTCAATAGTCAGACGGGTGTTAGAATTTTTACCCCTCGTCTAACGATGATTTGTAGGTGCTATCAAGTGTGGAAATTATTTGATAGTTAACAAATGATGCTATCACAAATCAATTGATCACGAAGACATTTTATTAATATAAATATAAGTTCTCAAGGGCGATCAGTAGGATAATTGATAAATTATCGACTTATATAATTATAAACCACAAATTACATAAGATCCCGATACAGGATAGTGTGGTACACTATTAATTACTACTGGTTTTTTCGTTTAAATTTTATTTATGTTTTGTGAGAATTGTATTCTCCAATTAGATAATGAAATGTCTTGTGCAATTGCACCTTAGTCTGAAAAGCAAAATGCAATTTTGTCAATCGTAATTATACTACATTCAAGGTTGGAATTTTCTGCATTTATGCAATCCTTTTTATACCGGTTTAGTTTTTCCTTCAATCATGCTCGCAAAAATTAAAATGTTCGTGCTTTCGCATAAACCCAATGACAATTCGGCAAAACATTACACAATAAAACAATACGATTTCGAGACGAAATTTCCCATGTTATTAAACTGCAACTTCTTGATTCGAATTAATTTTTTCGTCTCGATAGAAAGGCGACCGCAAGATGCATTTTTTACAATTAAACACAAAAAAACAGATAGCAAGAGAAACGTATTAATTTAGGTTATAGAAACTATTGTTCAATCATATAATTGAAACAATAAAATGGCAAAAATAGCGAAATGGGCAAAAAGTGCTTAGACTCGCACCGGCTGAGGTAAATGAGCAAAAAATAGAGGAAATACTACTAACATACTTTAAACTACAGTTAGCCATCATTACCTAGTGCTTGAACCGGCTTCGCTTATATCTTGTCATAGTTGACTTACCATCGGAGACGATCCCAGGGTACACAGCAGATCGCATCTATTACACAAGATAAACTAGATAAACAAATGAAAATTTAATTGTATTAACACCTACATTGGGGTCGTTAACAACTCACAGCACCCTGTGGCTGCTTCCATTAGAGACTACAAACTATAAACAATCAATGTCAGATCAAAGAGATTTAATTGTTGTATTAATGATGCTACTGGATATTATTTTATTTAAAAACGCAGCTTGTGGTCCTAGCACAATTACAATAAATGATTTGACTTTTTAAATAAGTAACATATTTGATGATGAATGATTTGACTACTACTTTTTAAATAAGTAACATATTTGATGAAACGTCTACATAGAGTGATTTATAGTATCTTGCAGTAAGGGTTATTCCATTGCGGTTATCAGTTTTTATTAATCTTATTAGACAATGTGCAGAGTGAAAATATGACTCCATTCTTTTGTGGTCGACAATAAACTGTACCATACCATTTATGAAAAATCGAAGTTTTATTGTACTATATATTTGTTTGGCGGAGTTTCAAAATACTTCACATAGGTTTCTTAATAATAAAAGCACAGAATAGGGTAATTAATTAGTTTGTACGATACACAATAGCGCAATTATTTGTTATATTGTTCTTGGTTTCACATGTTACACCACCGGGCAAATATTAATTATGATGTTGTTATTGCAGGATCACATACAGGAAGTTCTGGACAAATGGACCCAAATCGACGACGAAATTTGGGCAAAGGTGATCGTGTTGGAAAGGAACAGAAGGGTAGCAAAAGCCTATGCTAGAGCACCAGTTTTGACAGTCAACGGCTCAGATGACGGTTTTGACGGATTTCGGTAAGTAGTGATCACATTGTGTCCAAATTATTTCGTATGAAACGTTGAGCTTTGCTCACAGACGCTTTACAAACTAAGGTATCAAAGGCAGCTGATGAATTAGGCAAACATGGCTTATTAAGTACGCTCATTGGTCCAGAACCGTTCTGTGAAGTGGAATGGTGATGGACTAACAAACTGTCCAAGAAATTTATAAAAGGGTGATCTCACAAATTTATGCAGGACCTTCTTAGACTGAACCACAAGGAATTCAGGATGATGGCTACATCAGGGAACCAGAAGCTTCTGGATACAAACAATCTGGATACAGTGGTATAAGAGTTACAGGAGCCCGATACTTAATCTAAATCTGTGACCCAGAGCCATCTCTTTCAAACTTGAAGGATGACGTGAACGGGGCACATATCTTTGAAGATTCACTATAGTTCTTCTTCAATATTTTCAGCGACTTAAGACTTTTTTGACAGAATGTATCTCGGTTTTTATTGAAGATTTTTAGTGCGTATACATTTTTAATCCAAGGTTCGAATGTTGTCTGATTTGCATAGAATTGTTTTGAAGATTAAAAAATCACGGTTGCATGCATCCTTTTCGTGTTTTTAATCACTTTTACCGTGCTTTCTTTGCTGGTTGCTTGGTATAGAAAAGGTCGAAGTAATATCTTTGTCTAGCTGGACCTTGCCGTTGTTGTTGTCAACAGGGTGTGGCCGGTGATTTTTGCCTTGACGCCGAATATTTTAAAATAGCCTGGGCAATTCGGAGAATAATAGTGTAGCAATTTATCTCGAGCACTTTATTAAGTAATCAACGTCTCGCGCTTTATATTACGGTCTTTTAATTGTCTAAATGGTTAATGTTAGTCGGTTGTAATGCCCATATACGTTTGCGCGAATTAAATGTGTATCGTTAATTAATTTAGCGAATGGGCGCGGCAATCAAAATGAATTGTAACACGGTGCAGTGTGCGGCATTCTTAATGGCTTTATCGGTTTTGAGTTGAAATTGTCAATTTAATGGAAATATTAGAAAGGCCAGTAAAGGCTCTGCTGCAATATTTCCGCACCCACCAGCTATGCCAGCCAATATGCTGCTACAATAATCTTTGTTTCGCTCAGAAAACACGAAGGAGTGACCAAAATAAAATAAAATGCCACGTATTTACAATAATTTAGCGCACGTGGGATTCAAATGCCGCCATTTTTATCGATACAGATCTATGGGGTAGTTAACCTTAGCTGAATTATGCTTTCTCTGAATTTTAATATGCTTTTACTTTATGCAAGTGACCTCTGACAACGGCCGCACTTAAATCTGACATTTCTGAAACGAACGCGCATGTGATAAATGACCGACACTTGTTGCATAATTCGCCTTCTCTCGAATTTTATTGTCCAAGTTTTACTTCATCAAGTCGAATAAAATTAAACAACTAAAATCTGACCTTACATTTAATAATTTTTTACAACAGGATAATTGAAAACTGCCCAGATTCAAACAAAATTGGTTAATTGAAAACTGACAAATTTTCAAAATTATTTAATTATTTAATATCTTTCTTCGAAAGACTAATTTGTATTAAGGTCAGCTCTCGATTAAAAAAACTAACACTTTCCAACAAACGATCTTACGGTACAAAATACAATGCACATGCGGTTTCGTTATAAGAAAATCTATTAAAGGTCACAATGAAAAAAGAACCTCATCATCTCGTACCAATTTTGGGTCTTTGGCGACTCTTTAGAAGATCCAGCGATGCAGATATTCTTACGGTCGTTTTAATTAAAAGTTCGAAATCTTCACGGACTAATTATAATTTTACACGCATCTAACAGCCAAATACAATTAGGCGCAGCGGAAAATTTAACGACGCCTTTGTAATAAGATATGATCAATAAATAACGCTACCACGTTACGAAATTTCAAATTTTTCGGTGCATTCTCGAACGGCTCGGTAGAAAAAAAATCTTCTTGGAACAGAGCTCATTAACAACACATTTGGGCGCAAGATCGAAATCGTGGTGTTAGATATTTTATTGGTCCTTTGAAGAAAAGTAACTATGACTATAAAGGCAAAAATTAGCATAGGCTTATGGTCTACCCTGATAAGCCGATTTAGGTGTGGGTAAATATTTTTAGAGCTCGATTGAATCGAAGAATAGATATCAATTCCCACAGACCACATGAGCAATGATTGATTGCAATATAAGTACGCTCAGCAATGTAATTCATTTTAAGTATCAATCAACAAAATAATAACGCTCATCGATGATCAAAACGCACGCAAACAACGTATTATTCACAACGTACCTTAAAGCTACCGAAGACGATTTTTATGCCCTCAAAAAAACAATTCAATGCCCACATTAGAGACCATAAATCTCTTTAAGCGAAATAATTAATTTCGCCCGACCGTGTGGGATACCCGAATTCTATCCCGGTGTCATTTTACATTAATAAACTTATTCGAAAAATATGGTAATTAAAGTTTTGACTCCTTTCTGGCCTGTTTAAACATTGTAACCATTTGTTACCATTCATCTCGGCGCATTCGCCATTTTTGCCAAATTAATCAGCATTTTTGTATTTTTTTTTCAACATTTGGATGCGCGTCAAATTGTATTAAAATAAATAAAAAATAAAATTGATTAAAAGTACAAAATAAGACAAAACATGGCCGTTTTATCGTTTTTTTTTAGCTCTGCCAAATTCTAAAAGGTTTTTAATGTTACGATAAGTCAGGTAAAAATTTTAATGCGGCTCGATTAAAATGGCAACTTTCGTAATACAATTACTTCAGTTATTGGACCATGTTAGAATGAATAACCCAGTAAGATCTTAGAAGTCGGAGCGATTTCTGTTCGATGTTATTTTTTTGTTAATTTATTGCCCCAGTTATAGTTAAAGACCGTATAATTTATAGCTTCCTAGCTTGAATAAAGGTAAAAGTGAGATTTATTTGACACACAACCAAGATTCTATTATATTAATTAAGTATTTGGTTGTTTAATAGAAAACCGTTATACTGTATGGTTATATTTATTTCAATTGCAGGTAATACTTAACCAAGTCAAACGTAGAATGTCACCCAGTTAAACATCTATTATTATTCCACGGCTACATTACATTCTTAACATACTTAATATTTAATTTAACAGTTACTCAAATGTACATTAAACATTTTAATATTAATTATTTGCTATCATCAGTCTGAATAAATCATACCAGCAAAGTGGTGCCTATTAAATTACCTCCGAACAATCATTAATATTAACTGAAGACACATATTTATAGACATCAATTCATTTATTTTTATTAAGTTGTAAATCTTCCTCCAATGAATAAACATGCACTTTTTGGATTTTTATTTTCATGGTAATTACACCATTCTCAGTTTTAAGTTCAAGGGAATAATTTTTCTCTTGGAATTTGTATACAGGGTATCCCTTTATGATAATTTAAATGTCTTAAGGAGATTTATCGATATACTTAAAAGTATAGAAAACAACTTAAAACAATTTGTCCTACAACTTTTTAATTTTGAATTTGGGCAGTTTTTAATTACTGGCAACATTAATTTTATTGTGCAGTTTTCAATTACCCGGTTTTAAGTAAATTAAATGTAAGGGTAGTTTTCAATTATCCAATTTTGTTCGAATTTGGGTGGTTTTCAATTACCAGGTTTTAAATAAATTAAATATAAGGGCAGTTTTCAATTATTAAATTTTGTTTGAATTTGGTCAGTTTTCGAATATAAAATTTATTTTTATATATTATTTTCTTTAATGTGCAGTTTTCAATTACCAGGTTTAAAATAAATTAAATGTAAAGGCAATTTTCAATTATCCAATTTTGTTCGAATTTGGGTAGTTTTCAATTACTAGGTTTTAAATAAATTAAATGTAAGGGCAGTTTTCAATTATTAAATTTTGTTTGAATTTGGTCAGTTTTAGAATATAAAATTTATTTTTATATATAGGTTTTAAATAAATTAAATGTAAGGGCAGTTTTCAATTATTAAATTTTGTTCGAATTTGGTCAGTTTTCGTATATAAAATTTATTTTTATATATAAGTTTCTTTAATGTGCAGTTTTTAATTACCAGGTTTAAAATAAATTAAATGTAAGGGCAGTTTTCAATTATCCAATTTTGTTCGAATTTGGGTAGTTTTCAATTACTAGGTTTTAAATAAATTAAATGTAAGGGCAATTTTCAATTATTAAATTTTGTTCGAATTTGGTCAGTTTTCGTATACAGTGCTTGCAAATCCAAGTCCGACCGCGTTGGGAAGGATGGTTGTTCAATACCCGCGTGAAAAGAATAAGGATAGAATGCCAAACATAATTTGATTGGTCAGAGCGTCAGGCGTGCGTATTGTAAGCGCCTTCTGTTTGGCGTTCTATCCTTGTTATTTTCACGCGTCCTTCCCAAACCGGTCGGACTTGGATTTGCAAGCACTGTATAAAATTTATTTTTATATATAAGTTTCTTTAATGTGCAGTTTTCAATTACCAGGTTTAAAATAAATTAAATGTACGGGTAGTTTTCAATTATCCAATTTTGTTCGAATTTGGGTAGTTTTCAATTACTAGGTTTTAAATAAATTAAATGTAAGGGCAGTTTTAAATTATTTAATTTTGTTCGAATTTGGACAGTTTTCAATTACCCGGTTTTAAGTAAATTAAATAAAAGGGCATTTTTTAATTATCCAATTTGGGCCTTATATACTGAAAAAATTCTGTAGGTCTGCAGATCTCACTTGAAATGAAATCTACATATTTATTTATAGGCAAACTTTAAATGTCAAAAATATTGTAAATAATAATTAATTATTCCTGGAGCATTCGCCATTTTTGAAAAAATAAAATAAAAAATGTGGGTGGTGCATTCGCCATTTTGAAAATTTTGTAACGAGGTATAATAATAAAATTGTAGTTTTTTAGTTTAAAAAACATTTGTAACTGTTGTGTTGCTATAGTTAAATAAAAACATATAAACAAATAATGAAAGTTGCACTGGTTATGCAAGCATTTGTTAAAATGGAATAAAGGACATTCTATATAATAATAATGAACAACCTACGTTAAAACTGAGTACTTTTACTAATATTTATAGTTCCCACAAATTGCCTATTAATTTATTAATATATTATTAACTAGTTATTAGTTATTGGTCAATCCGACCTGATTATCTAAAATAAAAATAATACATACTATCGATACATAAAATGTTGAATAATTTATAAGTAAGTGAAGAAATAATTTTGCTTTAAAATGTATTTTTGTAGTGGAGTACAATGGGTGAAAAAAAATAATGACCTTTTGTGTGTGTCTGTGTAGGTTTTTCCCTTTTCGAATGTTCTCTTTGTTAGAATTTAAAATTTACATTGGCCAGTTGGTAATTTGTTGACTGAATCTAGGCAGGCGTCCTTGCAAACTGTTCTGGAGACATTGCTTTTGTTTAATAGGCACTAGCACCCAATCACAGCCTAACAAGAATCTGATTTTGTTTGTTGGCACGAATACATTGCGAAACAGTAGCGTAGAGCTTGGGCGGTTTTTTTCTCTTATCCAATGCAGCGGCCGCGGCTATTTTAATTTATTTCGCAACACCGCCGAAGGCCACGAAACAAAATGAGCTTGCACTTAAAGCAATCAATTTGGCCGAGGTGTGTATTTGTTGAAAAAAGGCCAGCCGGACCTCCTACCACCCATTAATATATTTTTCGGGGCCCGTCTAATTTTTGCGATGCCCAAAAATAATCACAAAAATAAAACGAGATAAAAATGACTTGTACAAATTATCAGCGTTTTGCAGCGTTCGGGTTTTTAAGGGCTTGTTATCATTGATTTATACTGCTGAAAAATAATTTATCGAACGATAATCAACATCATTCAACACCTCGCTTTCGTTTATTTGTCCAGGGAATAACGATAATGATAATTATAATGCATTAAGGTTTTTTCTTTCAACTCTTCTCAACTATTAGCCCGGGGACTTCGTTTAAATAAAATGTGTAGTTAAAGAAAGTCATTTAAAAAATTTTCTTACAACTTATATTTATGACGGAGAAAGTTTTTGATTATTGAAAATGTATTAAATTTTTATACAGTTGCTGTTAATATCTATTATTCTTTTTAACCTGCACTTTCTATATACGAGTATGTACGTATATCCTAAACACACTTCGCAGCCAATTTAAACAAATAAACAACATAAAAACTTCGACCGCTTTAAAAAGGAAATGATTAAAATAATTTTGAATTTTTATCTGATTGCGGACCATCTTGTTATGGCCCTTAATATGCATTACCAGTCACTTCTTTTATCCCGAAATTCCGTTATTTTTATGGCGTACATGTTTTTATACTTTCGGCATTCCGCAGCATCTCGCTAAAGCACTTTTAATTTCACAAAATGCTTTTACTTTTCATTTAATCGTTAATTGGACCATCCTCTCCCTGTGATTTTGTTTGTATTGCTCATAAACCAGTCCTCGGCTAAATTTAGACACCATATACCTGAATATAAATTCGGTTTTTTGATTTTCCAAAGGACCTAATTAAGGCATATGCTTGTTTTGCATGGGACTAAGTAGGCGGCGTGGGGCTTCTTTTTCTCCTTCTTGAACAACCAAACCATTAACATATAACACTTATTAAAGAACATCTTTAACAATAATTAGATGTAGCACTATGGATTTAGTGTCACACCTATAACAAACAATTTTTTTGCTTGGGAATGAAGTTTCCAATCTATCGAGGATTATTTTAGTGAGATGTCTCATAACACATAACACTTATTAAAGAACATCTAGAACAATAATTAGATATGGCACTATGGATTTAGTGTCACATCTATAACAACCCATTTTTTGTTTGGGAACGAAGTTTTTAATCTATCAAGGATTATTTAGTGAGACGTCACATAACACATAACACTTATTAAAGAACGTCTTTAAAAATAATTAGATATGGATTTAGTGTCACATCTATAACAAACAATTTTTTTTGCTTGGGAATGAAGTTTCCAATCTATTGAGGATTATTTAGTGAGATGTCACATAACACATAACACTTATTAAAGAACCTATTTAACAATTTTGGCACTATGGATTTAGTGTCACATCTATAACAAACATTATTTTTGCTTGGAAATGAAGTTTCCAATCTATCAAGGATTATTTAGTTAGATGTCACATAACACATAACACTCATTAAAGAGCATCTTTAACAATAATTAGATATGGCACTATGGATTTAGTGTCACATCAATAACAAACATATTTTTTTGCTTGTGAACGAAGTTTCCAATCTATCAAGGATTATTTAGTGAGATGTCACATAACACATAAGATTTATTAAAGAGTAACTACAACAATAATTAGATATGGCACTATGGATTTAGTGTCACATCTATAACAAACCATTTTTTGTTTGGGAACGAAGTTTTTAATCTATCAAGGATTATGTAGTGAGATGTCACATAACACATAACACTTATTAAAGAACATATTCAACAATAATTAGATATGGATTTAGTGTCACATCTATAACAAACAATTTTTTTGCTTGTGAACGAAGTTTCCAATCTATCTAGGATTATTTAGTGAGATGTCACATAACACATAACACTTATTAAAGAACATCTTTAACAATAATTAGATATGGCACTATGGATTTAGTGTCACATCTATAACAAACCATTTTTTGTTTGGGAACGAAGTTTTTAATCTATCAAGGATTATGTAGTGAGATGTCACATAACACTTATTAAAGAACATCTTCAACAATAATGGATTTCGTGTCACATCTATAACAAACAATTTTTTTGCTTGGGAACGTGGTTTCCAATCTATCGGGGATTATTTAGTGAGATGTTTTTCGAAAGGCAAAAAAAACTGCTCGGGTTTGCGCTTATTTAGGATATGTGGGCTCTCTGCAGTTACAGTAGACACCTCAGCAATTACACAAGGTCGCCGAGTCTGGGTAATGCCCTTTTTTTTTCAACGCCTTGTCAACTATTTAACTACCGATATTTCACGTTTAAATGGCCTTAATTGATTATAACGATTATTATATAACGGCGTGCGCTATGTTGTGTGGATGGAAATTTCCGAAGGGGCAGGTTTCTTAAAACTTGTTGGACCGATTTTAATCCCTCTTATTATATTATTTCGACCAGACATAATCGTGTATTTATAACGTCTGAATTCTTCTTCGGACGAGAGAGTTGATCGCATAATGGATGAATGTGTTTTGAGATGCGTTCACAATTAGAAAAAATGCTTTCTATTTAACGTTTAAATTTAAAAAAGCATGCTGTGTTTTAGCACTAAGCGCATATGTCTGATGGGTCGGCTTGTATGGTTATTTTATTGTGTGTTGTATCCGAGTAATAGGTAGTCTTGTATTGTTGGAACAAGTTTTCGAATTGTTTTGTAATTTGAATCTGACGCCGAACGAAATAAAAGACCGTGCAAATAAGATGTGTTTAGTGGTTGACAGTTTGTTGGGCAAATAGGTAAAAAAAAAGGGCCGCGTGTATGCCCGTAAGACTTAAAATGTGCGCCTCGCTTTGACATTTTTATTGTTGCGTCTGTTAAAATGATAAATGGCCGGGGAAAAAATACGCATATGCTGAAAGAAGGGCATTCAGCTTTCAGTTCGCCGGCGACAAACAATTTGAAAATAATTGTGGCTGCTTCTTCATTTTTCAATGTGGTAGGCCGATCCTCCTTTGCCTCTGCTTGTGCTTCATTGTATTTCAATTAGGTACCGGATCAGAATTCAACCTGGTGGGCGTCGAAATGTTGAGACAACCTTGGCTCACTGCTTTATCACTTTTGCTGATTTCTTAAAAATGCCCCGACACACTGCTATCTTCTAAGCCATCTTGTCAAACATTTACATAATTACACCACACACGGGCTAAATCTAAACAATATTCTCATTGTATCCTTCTCTTTCAGGATCGGTTTGTGCGGTTTTGACAATCCGATGAGAGACCAGAAGACCGAGGAGTTCAAAAGACACATCGGTCACGTAAGTACATACAATGCGATAATAATTACATGTATTAAGTATTGTTGTTTATCTTTTCCAAGTGTGCTGTAACAGATCGGTGGGCAGTTGTTGCCCAAAGGCCTGCTTTAGTTTAATCTCAAGTACTTTGTGACATTTCACAAATCCCTTTTCTCAAAACGATTTTTACTTATTTACTCGTCACCGCGCTTTTTACACATGGCTACCCGGCACTGATAAGGTCCAAAACCGTTTGTGTGTGTAGCAGGGATGTTGCGAATATTCGGATCCGCATCCGCAAATGCGCATAGATTTGAACATCCGCAATAATCAATGCGGATGTTCATGCGGATGCGAATGTTATACAAGGCCACAAGAAAGAAATTGGGCGGGGCCGGCGAATAGCGCCAGGGATGTTGCGAATATTCGCATCCGCATCTGCAAATGCGGAGCTTCCGCATAGATTTGGACATCTGCATCCGCATCCGCGGATGTGAGCCTTCAAAAATCCGCATCCGCATTCACATCCGCGGATGTGAAAAAATCGGCATCCGCAACATCCCTGGTGTGTAGCAGTACAGTGACGAGGTAAAAGGCCAGTTCTCACTAAATTTTTCTGCTACGCTTTTATTTATGTAACGGAACATTGTTTTATAATATTGATAGACACCCAGAACAATCGGTTATTGTTTTGAAATTATTATTATTTGTGCATAAATAACGAAGCAGATTCACTGCTGCTAAAGTAAAGATCAATAAATAACAGTACATATACATGGGTATCTTGATTTTACTTTCACTGAGTTTTCTAGAAAAAAACTCGTTTATAGCAATAATAAACTAACGGGTTCAACATGATGCTGCATATAATATATAAATTAATTGTTGCATACAGGGCGTCAAAATCAAGATGGACGATGCCGGCAACATTCTAATCAAGCGCGTATCCAAATGCAACGTCTACATCAAGAACACCGGGCAAGGGGACGAAAACGCGATAGGAAACGAAATCCTCAAGCTGCCGAACTGCGCCCTCGAACCGGAAAAACCCGTCAAACTGTTCGACATGAAGAAATTCCAATCGAACGTCAACAGGGAGCTGAGAAGGGCGTATCCGGACCGCAGAAGGCTCGAGTGCCAGTGCCTCAGCGCCATCGCCTTCGTCAAATCCGAATCGGAACTTCTGGAATGCCCCATATGGGTTTTGATCATAAACGTCGTCGCAATGGACATGCTCAAATCGAAATTACCGCCAGGTAATAACTACGCCCACCCAAATATGAACTTCGGGGCAACGCACCATTTTGAGCCCCACCGCCAAAACACTCATCAACAGAATGATTTTCAAGAATATCTATTTCAGATTACAATTTTTCAATCTTAAATCATCCGATTCATCTTTCAAATATTTCTAAATATTCATAAATTGTACTGTGGGAATCCAATATTTCACACTGTTTCATAGAGCGATGCCAACAAAACCCGAAACAATCCTTTTGTTGATGAGTGTATTGGTGGAGTGCTTTAGTGGTTGAGCGCACGGCACTGTGCAGAATCAATTAACCGACTGTTTTTAATTAGAATCCGCTTGCTGCAGTGCCTCGAAATTAATCAAATGGTGCCCGAGGCTGTTTATTATGTACACCGTTTAACACCCTTGTAATTTATCGTTATTTTTTCTTTACGTGCTAACAGTGCAACGCGTGATGGACATCAAAAACCGACCGCGCATCCCCGTACCGGACGAGGATCCCTACAGCGTTGCAGGAAACGGAAGCGGTTCGTCGGGATCTTCCGGTTTTGCCGGAAACAGCGTGGCGGCGACGCGAGAGCAGCTGTTGCTGCAAAGCCAGCAAAACGCGCTGCGACGCAGCGAAAAACCCCCGAAACTGCCGCCCAGAGAGAACATGTACCCCCACGACATCCCCAAGGTAAGAAGAAAGATTTGTTAGCGTATTTACAATCAGCGCATAGTTTTTTTTCCGTTGCTGCGCATCACTTCGGCAAAAACGGACAACTGTGGTGCATTCGTACGCCTACCCTATCATAATAAACACATAAATTCGTAAAGTGCAATAGAATCTGCATGTTTGTAGCGGAATAGATTGTATCTCGTTTAATTATTGCCTGGTAACAGTGTAACAAGTTCGGATTAACTGAAGGAATAATAAAAATGGGCATTCAAAAACAGCGAGCGCTTATTATAAATAGAGCACTTTTTGTTGTAATTAATTTCCCACTCTAGCGGGTTCCGTGTATTTTCAATTTAATTCCATTTAAATGTTTTTTTGGCTCGCCAGTTTTATTGCTGCTACCTATTAGGGTTATGTTAATTTAGATTTTTTTTTAGATTACCGTTTCGTCACTACTCTTTCCTAGATTAGTTTATTAAATGGTCCTTATAAAATGTTTAGACAATCGAGTGAAAGGTTTTTATGCATTGTTTTTCGAAGGTTGCTATCTTTCTTAATAAATATTTGCTTTTATGATTTACCGTGCAATATGACACGATTTAACGTAAATTATATAAAAAATAATTGTTTTTAATTGTGTAGAAAATACTCCTCTGCCTATGAGCAACATTATAATGGGATGCATCCAAATTTGGACATTATTGAATAGATTTATGAAATTGTTGATGCAACTACTAAATGTTATCCAACAATTTTGCATTTAACGTAGTATATTAACATTTAATTATTTAATCCTTGATTAACTTTTTTGGAAGGCAAGGTTGTTTACTTTTGCCCCACCCTGTACGTACCGTAGCAAAAAAACTATTTAAAAAATAAAATACAAAAACTACGCAAACATGAAGCTTGTTTGACGAGATGCTATAGCATACCATATGATAGATGAATCAATAAAAAATGCAGAAATAAATGATATGCCCAGAATGAACATAAGCGTCAACAAGGAAGTTAAATATTATACATATGTTTTAGTATATAAGGCCGGCACCGATAACACAACATAACGCCTTGGCGTTTGTTTAGGTTTTTTTTTTAATCTTCTTCTCTATATTGAATCGGAATCAAACTTGTTGCGATAAAGAACGGGCTGGCTAGAAGTGCAAGACAACTATAGATTTAATAAAAATCTCGGTACAAGCACTCTGAAGTATATAAACAACGAGGAACACAGGAAAGGCCTCAGCCCCCGCACATACAAAGGGCATCGAAATTATTGCGCCAATAATTTCTACTTCTTTTAACTTCACTTTTTTTATTACCTATCGAATACAAAAAACTGTTTTTCAGCCTGACTATGACGATCACGAAGACAACAGACTAAAGCCCTTCCCTTCGTCCAGGGGCAAGGAAAAATCCAAGGACAGCAAAAAATACGACGACCCCTATTACTGCGGTCTAAGGGCCCGCGTGCCAAATTTCGTAGCCAAATCGAAAGCGAAGGATTCGGCGCCCTCAAAAAGGTTCTCAGTTAGTCAGCAGCAACCGCCGCCGCACATGGGCATGTTTCCCAACCACCAGCATGCCACCAACATCAACAACAACAACCACAACGTCCATCCTCATGCCATGTGGCACACGAGAAGCTACGAAAGTGGCATAGGTGAGTCGCCTTTATCTATCCACGGTTACGGGATGCTACCCTTAAAAACCAAAACAGAGCCTATTTATAGAAGAATATTCCGCAAACAGTAGTGAGATTTAGCACGTTTCAGGCTCGTTATCTATAGATTTATTCTGTTGTTTTTATGTTCTTTGCAATTAAAGAATATGTTTCTCTAATTTCTAGATTCTGACCTTATAGAATCGCCCTATAACCAGATCTATGGAAGACTTCCCATTCCCACACGGGCTTATATACCTAATAACCAGCCGCGTACTATGTACATTGGCGAGTGGGACTAATTTTTTATTTTTTTGTTAAAACAGACTTACAAAATAAAAGTGTATTAATTCGTATTCCGAATAATAAGAGACACGATTATAGTCCTTAGCGTATAAGTAAACAGTAGGTCTGCTTTTATTTTAAGACTTTTGTAAATTTATTCGAGCACTATATATTATTACCATACATTTTATTTTTTTTACTTATTCATTTGTATATAATAATAGAATAAATTATGTTATAAGTAGAATAATATGTACTTTCTAGAAATATATAGATACAAATACTCAACTAGTTATTATAGGTATTACACGAAGTGGTGCGTATACATATGTATGTTATAGTAACATATTTTCTAAAAGAATTTGTGATTACATTTATATCTTAGGTCTTATTGTTTTAGTATTTAAGCGGTTGAATATATCTATGTATGTAAAGTAATTTTTAAGCATGTATATGATATTTTTGTAATTTATATACCTAATACATGGTGACGGAGTGATTAATAAATTAAGTAAATAAAAATATGCAATTGTTTTATTTTTTTATTACCCTATGTACCGTACAAAAATAAATAAATAAGAAAGGCTTTTAGACACCACATAAATAGAGATTATTGTGAGTTATATATTTGCTAATTATTGTTTTTCCCAGGAACCCGATTTAATCTTTTTAATAATGGCCCGCTAAAATTCTATTTATAATGGAACCCACCCATACCTACGGTGGTCAAAAGACATTAAGGCATTATTTCAATTTGCTACCGACATACCTACCTTTCGAATAAAAATAAAAAACCTGCTACATCGTTAAACCCTTTTTATGCGGGGCAAAATTTGATTTCATTTGCAAAATTGTTATTTATCGAGTCCAAGATTAAAAAAAATAATAATAATGTGGGCGTGCTTGTGCGACCTTCGAAAGGACGGTGCATCGGAATAAAAATAAACTAGATGAAGACAGCAATTTTCCGATGCAAACCGCAAAGTAATTGTGTGGAGCAGTATAAAGCTCATATCGCACGCAAAACCGCAAAAACTAATTACGCCACCGCTCGAAACTACCCTGAGAATTATTGCCATTTTTAATATTCAATTTATTTTCTCTACCATCCAATAATGGCCTTAATTATCATACACAATTCGTGTAGCGCAAGTTTTGTTTTATGTTGTTCTCCGATAATTATTATCACGCGATATTTTTTACGGAACATTAACCAACATAGGCAACCAACATTTCAATGTTTGTATTACTGGTTGCGTGCTTCGGTCGTCAAACGCGACATAACCTTTAAACACTCTTATTGCCTTATAAATGAGGTTATTCAAAACAAGATAAAAGCAAAAAAATCTGAAGAAGAAGAACTATGAGGGTAAAATTATTATAACTAATAAATACAAAATATTCTGTATTTATTATTGCAGGAAACACAAGATTACATAGATTTCTCAATAACATCATGGTTGGATAAATTTAAATCGGTTACATTAAAAACAGTTATTATTGATATACCTATAGATGTGTGGATTAAAGTATCTGACGGTGATAAAATTCATGAAATTACAGAGGTAGCCTTAAAATAATATAAAAAAAAAACAACTTAAAAGTTCATTTTCAGTCGTTGCCGCTAGAGCTTAAAAATCAAATCAAAAATGTCATAAAAACATTCAACAATAAAGCGTTTGTCAAAAACAACTGGCACGCCCCTACTGATGCAAAATTATTTAGCCTGGGAAATATTTTGCAAGTCGATCGTTGTGAGGATATATTTATGTTTTTAACTATGTCAACAATTGTACAGAGAGATTTGGATTATATTGAAATGGAGAATATTGAAGGATTGGAATTTTGTATTGCTTTAAAAGAATGGAAAAATATACATCCTGCATCTGAATTTCGGTGCATAGTTGTTGGAAATGTTCTTAGGGGAATCACACCCAGAGATTGGCCAACTTTTTATGCCCATTTTAATGAAGAAGGGCCCCAAATCATTAAAAAAACCAGAGAGTTTTTTAATGAGCATATTAAAACGAAATTTCCCAGGGAAAACTGTATGCTTACAAGTATTTGTTTAAAACTATATTTATAGTAACTATTTTTTAGATATTTTTGACATTGTTATGTCTTTTTCGGATGGTATTTATTTGCTGGATTTTTCTCCTTTAAATAGAAATACTGTCTTATATGCATTTAGCTGGAGTGAAATTCAACCATTATTAAATAAAGTAATTTATTATTTTTTGTTAAATATGGTTTTATTAAATTTATTTGATTTTTTAGGAACCTGAAGATGTAGCCCCTGTGTTTCGTTTTTTGGAAAAAGATATAGGGTTAAGACCAAAACAACTGTTACATCAATTAATTGCTGCCCAAACAAACTAATATTGTATTTTATATACCTATATTGTATTTTATATACCTATATATAAATATATATTTGATTTTATAATGTTTGAATTAAATCAGTAACTTTTTTATTGCATATTAAGTATCAGTAGGTAAAAAATATACTAAATATACAAAAGGACATTAACCTGGTGTTTGATTGACCTTTGAAAAAAGTTTTTACAAAAAATTTTGCATATAACTTTTAAAATAATTAAAATTAAAAATAGGTACTTATTGTAGTTTTATTCATTGATGGTGAAAAGAGTTTTTCCTTTAACTTGCCTAATTAATCAAAATTTTAAAAAACATTCTTATAACTTATTATAGATATAAATATGAAAATTTTAAACTTTGGAACTCATAAAATTGTATTTTGTTTTAATTTATGAAGTTATTGAGAAAAAATTTATTAATTTTATAGATTAACTGTTTTTTTGGATATTTTGATAAATTTACACTTTATTCACAAATAGAGTTTTCGACAAAAATTTCATTACAGGAAAAAATTGTAATGCACAAAAAAGTATTAAGTTGGTAGGTACTCATTTTTTAGAAATCTCAACAGCTTAGGTATGATCTTTATAATTTCATTTTAATCTTATATGTTACCAAACCACCCCTCCGAAATTTGTCTTTCTTTCTCATTTCAACGCCTGTCATTTTGACAGCAGTCATTTTGAGGCATGTCATTTGACATCTGTAGTTTCAATTGAAAAAAAATAAATATGTATTAATTTTTATTTTAATTTCTGATTTAATTTAATTTTAAACCAATACCAAAAACACAATTTAAAATAATTAAAATCAACTGAAACTCAATGGTATTCGCAATCGAGATTTAATTATTTTAGGAAAATAGCTACGTTTTTTTTTAAACTTGATGTCATGAAGCAATTACCTTCTGATTTAAATTGGTAGCTATGATTTTATTAATTGATTATTGTGTGGGTGTTTGTATAGTTTCTTGAATGAAGTATGTATTTAAATTTCCCCCTGTGTTGTGGTTGTCATGCGCATTTGAGTGGCGTTTGCGTGCAGATAACTGGTGTAAATATGGCGTCGAAGGAGGATGATAACAAACTTGAGTGTAATTCAAATGTAAACAAAGAGCAAGAAAGAAACCTCGTAAATGTTTATAAGGTGAAATACCCAATTAACGTGCTTATAGTACATTAGTTTATTTACTTTTCGCATGTTTTATTGTGACACAGTGTGTAGTTGGTATATTCGCATGGCCGCCATGTTTCGTCGGTGAAATTGAAGATTTTGGCAGTTTTAAAATTAATCTACGGCTAATAAACGGACTGCGAAATTATGTGTAGACTGTGTTTAGTTAAAGTGCCCGGAAAGAACCGTCGTCTTGGTATCCCAAACTTGTTAAGCTAAATTGTTGGAGCTTGTTTAATTGCTTCATCTTGCTACAGTCAAGATGAGTTCGTTTAGCGAGGATAAAATTGAATTCACGCCTTACAAAGCACGTATCTTTCTTATTTCGTTTTTTTATTAACTAGTTATTTTATTTGACCATTATAATAGCAAGAGTGATTTCATACAGCTTCTGCTTTATTTGTAATTACAAACTTATCATATGTTGTCATTGTTTTTCATCATTCAGCCTAGGACAGCTAACAGAACCTCCCATGTGTTTGTTTATATCTAAAATTACCCATTTTACATCACCCAAACAGGTGATTCACTAACTATTTTTATGTGCTGTCATACGTCCAACATCACAACATTATATAAAATTATTCTTAATAACACATTGCATGCTTAACTTTTTTTTATTGGATTATGGGCTTTTTGGGCCATATGAAATCACTCTTGTTTTAACACAACTTTTTTATCCGTATACTTTAGAAAGAATAGTGCATTACAAATTAGAATAAGCATTACTTTCAATATAACCCCCGATAAAGTTTCTTATTTGATTTTTTTTTGTAGAAGTATGACGTAATTTTAAATAATAAAACCGAGTCTTTCGAAAAGAAAATACAGTCTATCATTGATGTGTGGCAAAGTATAGCAGCTAAAAATCTCTCAGAATCAGACATTCGATATGTCACTCAAATTATGGACTGGGCCAAACTACATGCGCTTAATATTGTACTTACTGCTGAGTGGAAAGATTACAAAGGTATTATTTGTGATTCGTATAAAAAAGTGTTTTTTATAATTTTCTTAAATTTGCAGCCAAGTATGAGGAGAGCCTACTGAAAGAAATTGAGAAGGTTCAAGTTGAATTGCTGAAAATTAGCACTGCCTTTTCAAGTCGATTTCAAAAATTAGCTGATGTAGTTAGAAACCCATGGGAAGGCCCAATATTAGTCAAATTACTATCACAAAAAGATGCCGAAATTGGACCTGATGGTAAAAACTATTCTACTATATTCATTTAATCAATTCAAATGGTTTATGTTGAAATGAATATACTATAATATATCTTCTTTTGTTGTAGAAATTGAATTTTTCTGTGTAGAAACAGCTTATTTAGTGTCATACAGGTTGAAAAAGTTGTGTGAATCTCAGTGTGAAGACTTGGCGTTGAATTTAGTGACTGCCTTTATGAAATGCAGGGAACTATCGAAAACGCAAAATTTTAACCTGAATGCAAATGAAACACAAATTTGGTTTATATTTGACATCTACGTGGCATTACTGTATAAATTCCAACAAAATTCCAAAATTGTCAGTCTGGTAAGATTCATTATTAGACAATCTTAATTGTATTGTATTGTATATTTTTTCTTTTTAGTTGAAAGAGTTGACCCTTGAAGAAGGTTTGCAGTTAATAAAGAGATTTGCGAAGAAACAGGTTAAGATATCGAAGATTTGGAAGCACTGCCAGAAAATCGCCGTTCTGGCGTGTCAAGTTTTTGTGTCCACAGCGGCCGTGAAATTTAGTGAAGAGCATCGCAGTATACTGGAAAATTTAGTCGAATGTTTTATAAGTATTTGCAACACTGAGGCCCTATTACAAAATTTAACAACCTCTTTAAAACGTATTAGTCAACTGGCCGATGCTGCAGGACTGTACGTTTTCTGCGATGTTGTACATAGAAAGGTATTTTTTTACAATAACAATCTAATATTTCATTGATAATTTTGTTTTTTTTTAATAGGCTGGCATCAAGTTAAAACCCTTCACAATTGAGATGTACATAAGGGCTCTGACTGCGGATATGAACAATTTGGAGCGTCAGAAGAATGATAATGAAAGCGAAAAAGTCGCCGGAACTACGAAACGTCTGGCAAGCGCGTTCTGCAAATTGGCGGATTTGTTAAATGATCACGTTAAAGTGACGCGCGAATGCGTTTTGACCGCCTTCAGTTTGGAACCTACCGAGGAGCGCTTGAAAAAAATCATCGAGTTGGCAAAACGAAGCGGTTTTCAAGTGCTGGATACTGGGCAAGAGTGGAAGTGCAAGCTTCACCCGCCAATTGTGAATAAGGACGAGGTGGCGTGGATTTGCACGTCCTGCGGCGACTGGACGTGCAAGCCTCAGCTAAATATTCCCTTGAACACGAATATAGCGTTAAACGAAGCGCTGCAAGCCGATGATTTGGGTATATCTGCGCAGCTTCGCGACGATCTAGCCGTATGTCTTTCAAATCCCCGATATCAGGTGCTGAGCTGGCTTTTGCCTTGGGAAGATTTACACAGAATCTGCGTTATGTACACACATGATCCCGAACGAACGAAAAATGTCGTAACCGAGCTTAAATTCGTTGATATAGATTATTCGTTATTCAAGCATATAAAGAGGGAACCTCTCGATGAACTGGCGGGCATAGAAAGGGGTTATGAGCAGTACTTGGACCACGATTTTAATTCCGACGACCAAATGAGTACCATCAGTGAGGATTCAGCTTCGCAAGACTCCAGGCCGTACAGTTTGGGCAGTGACGGTGCGGGGGATACCCCGTATTTACAGCAAACCAAATCCGACCCGAACACTCTGAAAAGTCTTAGAATGTTTCGGCCGAATTTGAAACGTTCCCGCCCAAGCGAACCTGGACAAAGCGTGCCGGAGAAACTCTATAAAATGGGAGTGACTGATGTGCCCCCTACACCAAGCACTTCAAAAGCTAATGTTAGTTACGCCAACGGTATACCGAATAACATACAGTACCACGCGCCTCAACCATCACACACAAACGTAACACCTCCAAAAAACGGCTTGGTTGCCACGTTGCCCCCACATGGTGGGCAAGTGGCAACAAATCAAATCAACCAAGCTACCCTGTACATCCCCCTGGCTCTACCAACAACAACAACAACTTCCCCCTGCAACCTCCAAGCGCCGCCCCCAATCAGCCCGCTAACAAAGGAACTTATAAAAATACAATTACAAAGGAACTTCTCATGCAGTGGTATGCCAGCAAGCAGCAGCAACAACAACAACGGCAGCTGCTACAACAACGGCAGCAGCAACAACAGCAAAAGCCCAACAACAGTCAGCCATCCACCAGTTTCGTTGCCAATGGTCAACAGCAGCAGCAATTGCAGCCAGTCTATAATAACAACCAAACCCATCAGCAGCAGCAGCAGCAACAACAGAGGCAGCAGCAGCAGCAGCAGTACTATAACAGTACCCAACCCGCAACCAACCAGTACTATCAGCAGCAGCAGCAGTACTACAACCACTACAACGGTCAAGCCCCTAACGGTTCCTCATCCTCCAGCCCAAACAACAACCCTTGACTTGAACAAATTCTCATATACACAGTGCAATAACAATGGGATCAGCGTGCAAAGTGCAAGTCAAGATGCTGTTAAAAAATGCCCCCCTGGAGTACCTGATGTGCCAGCTTCCAAAAAATCGAGAAAATGTAAATTTGCCAAATCGACAAGGAAGCAGTTTCCGGAGATCATTGTTAACAAAAATTTGACTGAAAATATTAGGACATATGGTAAAGAGATAAGTGGAGAAAAGAAAGACTGTGTTAAAACGCCAAAGGACGGCGTGTGTAAAAATGTAAATAATGTCGTCGACAAACATCCCTCTGTTGTACAAAGTCGCCCGTTTGAGTTGAAACAACTCAAAGTGGTCCTCCAAAGATTACCGGAGGAGGGAACCAGCGCCAAGCCAATTTGTATAGTGAAGAACAACAACAGGTCAAAAAACGGCCGGCGACGGAAAAGCAACGATAAATCCGAAAACAAAGTTTGCGAAAAAGCACCGAAACGAGTACAAATTTACAAGCTTTCGCCGCTGCAGGACATAAACCCGCGCGTGCCCAGCGTGGAGTGCCTCAAAGGTGACGACTTCGATCCGAAAAATCCGCGAGTGATGCTCGAAAGGCTTCCAGACTCCGACCTCAAGGGATTCAAGAACTACGGCAAAAAATCCTCCTCGTTGTTGAACAGCGTCCCAGGTATGGACAACTACGAGCACATCCGGCCCGCGAACGTCAACCACATAGTCAACGTAGTGCAGATATCCGGCGGCAGGCCGGCATCGAACGTAAGTGCGCAGAACACGCAGACCAGCACGCAGGTGACGCCGCACATCCAGAGAATCGGGCAACCGCGCACCGAAAAGCCGGAGCAGACCGACTCGGAAACCCCCGAAATACCGACCTCGACCCACGCTTCAGCAACGGTCACGTCGGGAAAACCCACCACCTCCCAACCGTCAACGCTCATCAACATTTTATCCCAGCAAATTATTAGACCTGGGCAAAGCAATTGCGTCAGGACCCGACCCTCGCCGCTAATCAACATTTTATCGCAGCAAATTATCCGGCCCAACCCCCCAGTCGTTCAAAAAGTCGTCGTATCTAACGCCAACGTTTCACCAGACTCTCAGGTAATAACAATTTCACCCATATATTCAAAATATTGCATACTTTTACTTAAACTCACGGCAATTAAGGCAAATTGAAAATTTTACCATTAAAAAATGTACAGGGACAATTTCGCCTAATGCCAAGCCCTTTACCTAGTTTAGGTTTATTTAATATGCCTAAAAACATTTAAAAATTGTGTTTTTATTCCAGAAAGTGTAACAATTTTCATATAACACTCACGAAATTATTATACACTTAAAAAAATATATTATACACCTAATAAATTGTCATCCTTTGGGGAGCCAAAACAAGAAAGTTTTTGCTCTATAGAGCTACTGTTTTTTAATAAAAAAATTCATAATAAAATTATGAATTTTTTGGACAAAACCAGGGAGCCACTGGATGTCACTGACCTATCCTATACAAGGTGTCCCTAAACTTAGTGGCATAAATTTAGGAAATGATTGAGCAAGTCAAAATAAGATGAAAACCTAAATAAATATTTTTTCTAATCACTTATGTTTCGAAAATACAGGGTTACTTACTTATAATATTTTTTTTAATAAAACTAAAATTATTTGTATTGGTAGTGAGTAGATGTTCCTAAAATATCACCTTTCCAAGTCTACCATAGTAGAAGTTATATTAAAAAAACTTATATGATAAGTAACACCCTGTATTTTTTAAACATAACCTGTATTTTTTAAACATAATCCTGGATGACAACTTATTTGTGACACCCTGTATAAGCATAAGCATTTTCCGCCTGTTAGTTATTCTCCTAAATTAAATAATGTTTTCTGTAAATAATTCTGATCACCTTTGATAACCACAAATATTCGAATAACTATTTGTAAAATGTTAAAAAAAATCTAAAATTGTTACCTTGTCACTGCAGACTCCAAACCTGTCTTCAAAACATCCAAAAACTCCAAAGTCACTTAAAAATCCATCACAAACACTATTTACCGTTTTTGAGAACGCGAAATTGACACATTTTAACGAAAAAAACACAACGAAAATTTAAATTTGTACGTATAAACAATGGCGTCCCCTAGCAATAAACAAAAGCGGTCGCGCATGCGCAAAATGCTCCGAGTTAAATAAAAGGATTTTTACATGTTTTTAGGTACCATAATGGGAATTTTCAGGTTTTAAGTACATTTTAGTTAAATTATTATGTAGTTTGCGAGAATTTAAAAATTAGATTATCAATGCTTTCTGAAAAAACTATAATTTGAAGTATAAATAACCATCCAATAAATAAAAATACATTAAAATTTTACTGAAATTGTCACAAAACACATATTAAACAAAAAAAACTACAATAAACCTGTCAACTTACCATTATATCACTTAAAAATGCTAAAAAATCAATTTATTTGTCAACTACACGCAAATGTCAAAAATTTGAAACAACAAATAAAATTTTGACACCTTGAAGTAATTCTCGACTCAATGTCTTAAAAATTCATCACAAAACATAATAAAGTATCTAAAAACACTATTTACCGTATTTGAAAACGCGAAATTGCCATCTTTTAACGAAAAAATCACAACGAAAATTCAAATTTGTACGTATAAACTAATGGCGTCCCTAGCAATAAACAAAAGCGGTCGCGCATGCGCAAATGCTCCGAGTAAAATTTATATATAAATGGATTTTTACATGTTTTTAGGTACCATAATGGGAATTTTCAGGTTTTAAGTACATTTTCGTTACATTATTATGTAGTTCGCGAGAATTTGAAGATTAGATTATCAATGTTTTTTAACAAACTATAATTTGAAGTATTCATAAGCAGCCAATAAATAAAAATACATTAAAATTTTACTAAAATTGTCACAAAACACATATTAAACAAAAAGAACTAGGTACTTTAAACCTGTCAAATTAACATTATATCACTTAAAAATGCTAAAAAATCAATTTATTTGTCAACTACACGCAAATGTCAAAAATTTGAAAGCACAAGTAAAATTTTGGCACCTTAAAGAGTTCTCCACTCAATGTCTTTTGAAAATTCATCACATAACATAATAAAGTATCTAAAAACACTATTTACCGGTTTGAAAACGCGAATTACCACTTTTTAACACTACGCGAATTTAAATTTGTACAAATAAACAAACGGCTTCCCTTATAGCAATAAACAAAAGCGGTCGCGCATGCGCAAATGTGACGAGATTTTAATTTTAACTTAAATCGCTAAATAAATGGATTATTACAATAATGGGGATTTTATATGTTAATATGGCAATATTAAACAAAATTATTCAATGTTTAAAGTCGTTAACTAACAAGTTTTGTGCATACGGCCATAAACATTTAAAACAACCACCTTTGATAAATTACCGACAGGTGCAGCGTTGCCGGTTCTATTTTAAAAACAAAGTTGGAAGATTTACAATTAAAAATATTTAAACGGCAAAATATAATATTTTTTGTCTGAATTACAAAAATAAAATTGCTAATTACAAACTTATTCTAGATAAACAATGTGGCCAAAGTGACAACAACCACGGCAGAAACAGTTACTGTGAATACAGTTAAAAATGTGGCCACAGTGAAAAATGTGGTTACAACTCAAGCTAGCGGTACGGGCGGCACTATTCTACAGTTTATCTGCAAATCCTCGACGCTGCCGAAGTTCCAACAAGCATTCGGCAAATCTGTGTACACAAATGCCACTGAAACGTCGGAGGCTGCAGCAGCCACTGTGGCGGAATCGACCAGCGTGGATGCGAATAAGAAGCCCACAGTTGCAAAAAATATACCCGTAAATGTGCAGCCTATACAGGGTAGCGTTATTTACACTAGACAAATGCCGGTGGGGCAGACTATCAATTTGATACCGCCCGGAAGGGGGCAGGTTTTTCGCATTGCCACTTCGAACTCCGACCAAATTTCCCTGGTCAAAGATACGGTTATTCACAGTAAAATGAGCGCCTTACTGGCGGCAGCGTTGCAGGGCAAAAAGTCCACTGATAACCAAGCCGACGGCGAGGTGGCGTTAGACGATGGGAGCAGAGTGACCGTAGCACGGCCAACTTTAGTACAAAACGCTAGAATCGTGAAGCCAGTACTGCAGATACCTTCGAACGTAATACGCACAAGTCCGCAGTCACAATCCTCCAGCCTCAGCTCTACGACTCTCGAACAGTTGCGGGAGTTCGACATGGTCTACAAGCAAATCAAAGAGCGGAGCAGTACCGGAAGTACGCCGGCGGAAGTTAATGCCACAACGGTCGAGAGCAACGACGCCACGCCGCAGAGAATAAGCGTCACGTACGTGAATCAAGGGCAGAAGTATACGCAGTTATCGCCTGTTGTTGTTGTGAGCAGCGCCTACTGCAACTTGCAGCCTGCCGCTTCCCCAGCATTGAGCGTTACATCGCAGGGAAGTTCGAGCCCTTGCGTGACACCCGCTCCTACGCCCACTTTACCGAAAGTAGCCTCGAAGAGCTCGAAAGGTAAAACGTTGAAGAACAGTACGACGACGCACGCGTCGAAGTCGTCCCCCATACCGAAACCGCCGCAAAAACCGCAGGAAGACGAGCACACCACCCAAAGAATATTCGATATTTTGGCGGAGTATGCCGAGCAATTACGCAATTCCCCCGATTTGAACAACAAGCCGGCCCCTAGGCGGCGCTCGAACCCGCCGACGAACCCAAGTCAGAACTCGAAGCGAAAGAAAAGTTCTGGCTCGAAGTCGAAGTCCGGCCAAAGCAGCACAATAGTGTCCGAGGCCGATACGGACGATCAAAGGACGATGGAGAGCGAGGACTCTTCGTGCGGCGTCTTGCAACTGTCGGTTTCCGAAGAGGAACCGCAAGTGCAAGCGGTCACCACCAGCGAACCCAATGAGAACCCGGCCACCAACTCCAGGCAGTTAATACTTACGTCGCAGGATTCCGCCGGCAATACCCAAACGAGAAACCTAATTATAGCCGATTCTAGCGTCGGCGAAGCTTTGAAAATGCCAAACACAGCGGTATTGGTCCCAGGCAATTACATAATGCCGGTCTCGATGGTGAAAGGCGGGCAGCAAATAGCTGTGATGTCGGGCGGCAGCAAAATTCTGGCCACCGTACCGGCACGATCCGGCCCCGCTAACATGCTTTTGTTCCAGAGTTTTTTGAACCAGAATCGTAAGGGCGGGGTGTCCACAGTTAAATACTCCACTATCCAGCCGCTGACGGGCATATCGTCGCAGAGTTTGGCCGGGGTAAGCGCACAACCTCCAGTTATTCTGCCTCCGAACTCTCACGCCGTCGCTCTTGGGCAGCCCTTGACACTCAAGAAAGTCGACGATCCCGATAGGCCTGGCACGGAGCTGCTGCTAACCATATCGCAGCACAGGGATAGCGTTAAAGCGGAAGTTCCGCAGCCAGATAGCAGCACCAACGTGTTGACCGACGAAATTAAAGAGGAGGACAGCGTTGAAGAGAAAGTCTACACTTTTCAGAAGTCGATTATCACAACGCCAATAGCAACGCCGGTCATAGCTCAAGCAATCAAAGAAGAGGTCGTCGATGAGTGCCAGCAGAACATGATCAGTCTGGATATTCATCCCAATGATGTTAAAGGTAAATTTATTGCAGTCTGTAAAATGTGTGGGTTTTGATTGTTTTATTTTTGCAGATGAAATAAAAGTTGAGAGAGTGCAATCAGTATTAGTGACAGCGTGTACTTCGAACGGGCCCATGCTTTCACACACACCGCCTAGATACAGAAAACCATCCGAAACGATAACTAGTACCAATGAAGTTTCCAATAAACAATACTTGAACAATGGCGATAAAGTAAGCGTTATCGTAACTTTGAACAGCATAGGTATTAAAATTTAGATATGTTCACAGCAAAACAGCAATGCAGACCAGAAGCACTTTGCCACGACCACGGTGTATTACCAGAACAAAAACAAGAAGAGCAATCCGCAGCGGTTGGACAGGGAGTTGTCCATCCAACGCAAACAAGCCGCATTGGAGCGAGAATTGCGCTTGCAGAAGTCCCTGTCGGAGGAATGCGAAGACTTGGGCGTGGACGAGCCGAGCACGAGCGATTTATTTCCCGAAGCCGAGCTGTTGTTCGACTCGAACCACTCGCCGTCGTTCGATCAGGATCTAATGAAACGGCCGCACCTGATCGAGGTGAAAGAAGAAGGCAAGTCGGCCATAACGTTGTTCAGCGACGACGACAACTCATCGTCGATGCGGACGAATTTGTTCGAGTACGTCGACGAGTATCCCACTGCTGATAACGAGCTGGTCTTCGACTCGAACCGGCAGCTGACCAACGGCCAGAGCAGCACCAGCAACGAGTCGGCGTCCTCGTGCTGCGAGGACAGCACGCTGCTGCAAAACTGCGCCAGCATGTCCGACGTGACGCTCAACTCGCCCCTATCGCCGCCGGATTTGTATGCGGACGCGAATCCTCCCTCGAATAAGTACAAGTTCAAGTACAGCAATCGAAAGAAGGGCGGGCGGAGTAAGCCGTGCTCTGAGAGCTGGAGCTCGGAGGACACCGAGGACGCCGAGCCGACGTGCAACAAGCACGCGTGCGACGAGGAGTTCAAAATGGTGCGCGTGAAGGCGGACTTCTTGCGCGACGACGAGAGCTGCGAGGAGGACTTGGACTCGGCGAGCGGGCGCGGCGCGCGGCGCAGCGTGAAAAAAACTTGTTCGTGTTGCAACGGCTCGCAGGACGGGGTGTCGCGCAAGCGGCCGCACACGCCGCAGAAGAAGCCGCCGTTTCTGAACAAAAAGAGATAGTGCAGCGATTGTTGGCTGGTTTAGTCTCAAATTTGTTAGTTGTTCTGTTGACTAGTCTATGAGCCATGGAAAATGGTTGCGCTCTTTTAGTACAAATTCATATTGTATTGTCTGGGAGACCGTTTTTTTGGACTTTTGCAATCTTTTAGTACCTCTTATTAGCTGCTTTCGCGTTGCTAATCCCGAACTGGTTTCGACGTCCTGGGCATGCGCATTTTACATTTTTAACGCCAAATTTTTAAATGCGCATTAGAGTATGTCGAATATCCGGGTTTTTTTTCGAAAATAATTTAATAACAGACAAAATAATATTCTTTGAGGTAAGAAAAAATATGTGCCCGAAAAAATGCACTTAAAATTGAAAGTAAAAAAATATTTTTTTGTAATTTCGCGGATAATCGCGAATTAATCCCAAAATCGTAATTTTTTTGCCAAAATTTACTTTTACTATTTTGTCAGTAAATTTAATTGTCTACAAAAAAGGTTCTTAATATTTATCGCATAAATACTCTAGTTTCAAAGATAATTGCGATATTATTATCATTTTCTAACAAAACTTATTTTAAAAGTTTTTTTTAAGTAATTTCAATTATCATATGAACATTTTTGAACCGGAAATAATCGCGAATTTATCATTTTTTTGGCAAAATTTACTTATTCTAAGTAAAAAGAAAATTTTTAGGTCCCTAAGAATTATCGCATAAATAATGTACTTTCAGAGATAATTGCGAAGTTATTATCAATGTCATTTTTTAGCAAAACTTATTTTAATTTTTTTTAATAATTTCAATTATCATATGAACATTTTTGAACCAGAGATAATCGCGAATTTATCTTGGAATTTTCATTTTTAACTAAAAATTGAAAGTAACAAAATATTTCTTGTAATTTCGCAGATAATCGCGATTTAATCATAAAAAGGCATTTTTTTTTACAAAATTTACATATTTTAAGTAAAAAAAAGTCTTGGTAAATTTTCTTGGCAAATTTAATTGTCTACAAAAAAGGTCCTTAAGAATTATCGCATAAATATTGTAGTTTAAGTGATAATTGCGATGTTATGTCATTTTTTTAACAAAACCTATTTTAAAAGTATTTTTTTTTAATAATTTCAATTAACATATGAACATTTTTGAAGCAGAGATAATTAATCTTGGAATTGTCGTTTTTAACTAAAAATTTTAAGTAACAAAACATTTCTTGTAATTTCGCAGATAATCGCGATTTTTTCCCAAAATTGTCATTTTTGACAAAATGTACTTATTTTAAGTGAAAAAATGTCTTGGTAAATTTTCTTAACAAATTTAATAGTCTACAAAAAAGGTCCTTAAGAATTATCACATAAATATTGTAGTTTCAGAGATAATTGTGACGTTATTGTCATTATCATTTTTTAACAAATCTTATTTTAAAAGTATTTTTTTAATCATTTTAATTATCATGAAAATTTTTGAACCAGAGATAATCGCAAATTTATGTTGGTATTATTTTAAACTTAAATTTGAAAGTAAAAAAATGGTAAATTTTCTTAATAAATTTAATAGTGTACAAAAAGGTTCTTTATTATTTCTTTATATCTCATAAATATTGTGGTTGAGATAATAATGTTATTGTCAATATTTATACGGTAATTGATAAGGACCTATTTATAGACAATAAAATTATTTTGTTAATTTTAGGTGCATTTGGCGAACCAATTTTTTTGCACATAATTTGTTTTATCTCAATGAATAATATTTTTGCTATTACCAAATTAATTTCGAAAAAAAACGGATATTCGACCCACTCTAATGCGCATGCCTAGGATGTCGGGATTGGCTCCGCCAAAACAGCCGTTGTAAATTTTCCTCGTATATGTAATATATTTAAATTATATGTGCAGTTTGTCGTTGTAAATAAATACATTAAATAGATTTATCTATTACCTAGGTATAATGGCGGTGAGCTGGTAAAACATTAAACTCGCTGTGTATACATACATAACGAGCGTAAAATATAAAATGATATTCAAGACGCATACACCAATAAATAAACAATTAATTTATTCGGCGTTGTTACTGCAGACAGTGTTAAATAATATTATTATTGCTCTTTAACTAAATCGCAATAAGTTACACACACACACACACAGTCGTGTCATCTACTGCAATGTCTTTTAGTTTTGTTATAACTTACCTTTGCATGCAGTTATCGTTTTCATTTAATTTTCGTACTTTTAAAAAAAGTGTAAAATATTTCGTTTTCTTTTACATATAAAAGATGTATTGTGCCTTTAGAATGGCGGTAATTTTAGTTTGAAATTTATTAAAACAAATATACATTGCAATTGTTAAGGTAGAAGAATTGAAAGTTCATTAATTTATTGTTTTTTGTGATATTTAATTTAGTATGGTTTCACTCATCTCACCTAAAATTTAATATGGAATGTATGTATGTATTGTTTTGAAATTGAAAAAATTAATTAATTTTGATGTATTTTGAACAGTTTTTGTTTTTAAGCAATATTCGTACATATCAACAATTTTGAAGTGTGTCAAATTCTCATTTTGTTACAGTTTTGCGCAATTTGTCATCGTTTTGAAATTATTTAAATGTAAATAAGATTTTTTTAATAAAAAATTAGTAGTTTAGTAAAAGTACTTGTAAAAATTAGTAAATATTACTTAAGTTGCGTTTGTGTAAAACAATAAATGAAAAAAACTGTTTTTTCATCAAAATTAATAAATAGGTTGTTATATTATAAAATAGAAGCATTCTTTATTAAAGTATTATAATTATAATTTTTGTAAGTAAGAATTGCTTTCGTCGAATTTACACCTTGTATAGTTGTGTATACTCATTTATTTCTGTAACGTATCCAAAATTCAAATTATATTTATATAAGACAACTTTGTATGTTTTTTTTATTACAATATTTTTTCCAAATAAATGTCTTACAAAATATTACTTATTATTCTTCTATTGTATTTTATACAGGGCAGTATTACCCTGTATTTTTTATGTTTGTGTTGTTAAACATCATGTAATAATCAAAAAAATCAGTATTTATCCAATGCTTCTCATTCAGTGTCAAAAATTCTATATTAATTAAAATTTTTCAAAAGATCATTTGTAAATGAATCATGGGTTTATTATTTCATATACATTCATACACCTTGAATTTGAATACCGTGTTAGTATTATATTTTCGAATGAAGCAATTGCTTTAGTAGACTTCTTAGATAATGAATAATAAAGTATATATTTTAAATAATTAATTTTTTATTTTTATTTCTAAAGATAAATAAACCAAAAAACTTATTTGTATTCGTATAATAATTAATTAAAAAAGCAAAAGCACGAAATAGTTTAAATAATTAATTAGTTGACACATAGCCTGAAGGTGGCGCTTTTTTTGACATTTGACAGAGACACGACATTTGAGGTTAAGGTGCGCTTTTGACATTTTTTATGGAAAGGTTAGTGAAGGTCGCAGTTCTGATAATTATAATCTAAACTAATTGTCGTAATTTTTAGTTGTTGAAAACACCCAAAGCAAAAATGCCCGCCCTACATGCACAAAAAGTGGAACCAGAAGCCGCAACCGATGGAAGCGGAATCAACGCGGTTTTGCTGGGGCCACCGGGCTCCGGCAAGGGAACCCAGGTAAAATCTCAATTACCAAGTTGTTTACCTTAATTAGGATTGTCTTTTAGGCCCCTTTGCTCAAAGAGAAATACTGTGTATGCCACTTGTCCACAGGTGACATGTTAAGGGCTGAAATTTCTTCTGGTTCTATCCTGGGGAAAAAATTAAAGGCTGTTATGGATGAGGGCAAACTTGTTAGCGATGATTTGGTTGTTAACATGATCGACTCTAATTTGGACAAGCCTGAATGTAAAAATGGATTTTTGCTCGATGGATTCCCAAGGACAGTTGTGCAAGCTGAGAAGGTAACTAACAACAAACACCATAATACAATTTATTTTATTATATCTTTTTTAGTTGGATGGTTTGTTGGAAAAACGCAACACGCAACTGGATGCTGTAATCGAGTTTGGCATTTCCGACAGCCTATTAGTCCGTAGAATAACAGGACGAATGATCCATCAAGCTAGTGGTAGATCGTACCACGAAGAATTCGCGCCGCCGAAAAAGCCCATGACTGACGACTTGACCGGCGAACCTTTAATTAAAAGGTCCGACGACAATGTCGAAGCCTTGAAAAAACGACTCAATGCATATCACACCCAGACTAAACCCCTTGTGGACTACTACCAAATAAGGGGTATTCACTTTGCTGTCGATGCCGCCCAATCAAGCAGAGATGTGTTCAAAAATATCGACTCCATATTCTTGGGGCAGCAGAAACAGAGGGCCAGACTTTAAAACACTGCCAAAACTTCTTCTATCTTGCATTTGATATGTAGAGCGACATTTGTTTTATTTTTCATTGTTATGGATTCCATTAGCAATATTTTTCTATGAGATGTATTAAAGTATTTTTGTTGTTGGGTTAATAAAAAAAATTAAATTTTATAAGATCTTTTATTTATCTAATCTTATACTTATTTCCACTAATATTATAAAAATTGGTTGTAAAAATACTATTATAAATTAAATTATTACATAGCAAACACTTATGTATGATTATGGTATTGGCGCATTACAAAGTTCAATGATACCATAGACATATTAATACGTCCACGTATGATACGAATTGTAAACTAAATAAAATTTGTGTTATATCAAATTTTTCAAAATCATTTGCTTACATCACCTAGGTTAAGCTTACGTAAATTTCTGTGGTTTGACTTCATAAAAAGCAAAAAGTGGCATAATATGTAAAAGCCACTAAAAATCTCGTAAACACAATGGAAAAAAAAGCAATGCCAAAACAATTGGTATACAACAGAAAACAAACAAAAACCATCTATATATTAATATGTCTATGATAAAAACCTTTTTGCTACCGTGGTCGAAATAACGACGTTGCCAAATTCTTCTTCAATCTGAACACAGACGCACTGTGTTTAGGGGTAATGGCCTTTAGCTTAATTAAAAGCTATTTGGCCAGCTCATTATGTTTTTTAAAAATTAAATATGATCAAGAGTCTCAATTAAGATAATCTACTTTATCTAATCTATGATCTAAGTAGAACTCATCCCTTGAATCATTTATTTTATATTATTATTGTTTATAGTTCATTTCAATATTATTTTATGTCCAATTTCTTTTACAATTTTTACTATATCACTCTAATTTTTTTTCCACAGTTTTTTTTAAATACAGACCGTTCAGAGTAAAACCGAATATAGGGAAACGTATAGGGCGTGGCCTCGCCTCCCTCCAACGCGCGAAAAGAAAACAGTCAGTTAAAAGTGATTTGTATATTTTATTTGACAATATATTGTCATTAAAAAGGGATAAATATTACAAACAATATTGACAATATAATTTTAACAAAAAGGTAAAAAAAAAATGAAAAACTTACCTTACAAAAATGCAACTTCCAGAGTGATGAAATTAAGGGAAAATAAAAAACTGTTTGTATTTGTAAATAAATAATTTATTGAACAAATTAAACAATGGACGGAGTTTAGTAACTAACACTAACATTAACAACAACTTAGGCCATAGACGGCCTCTCGCTCTTTGAGTGACATAAAGGGCAAAATTGCCTGAAGCTCATTTTGCCTTCGGCAGCTGGATGGTGGCAAACCTTGCAAAACCATTCTGGTGCGAATTCGACAATGGAATTCCCCGACACGACACATGTAGGAAAATGAATGTTGCAACTTGGACAACTAGTGTTAAAATCCTGGATGTTGCTCTTGCAATTGCCGCAAGAGACCAGTTTTTTCTTCACGTTGATTGGCTCGTTTTTACGGAAAATATCCCAGGAGAGGCGGTTCAAGTGGCTCAAATCGTTTTGGGGGAGCTAAAATGTTTTGGTTATTACCTACACAATAATTGGATTGTGAAATGCTTACTTCTTTGATATTTTTTAACTTGAGGAACGCTTTTGAGCACAACGCAAAAGATCTGTCCAGACATGCAGTGAGGGCCAATAGGGAATAAACATCATTTTCCGGCAGGAATTCCAAGAAATCCTGTAGTTTAACGGCGGTGCATAGAGCATCATGTATTTTGCCTTTGTATAGCTGAAATTGTGCCAACATATAGTAGTGGTAAGCTTCGGCACCTTTCCAAGCATTTTCAAACAATGTTGGGTCCGAAATCCAGTCTCCTGCGCTTGGGTTTTTTTTCTGCATATCCAAAAGCCTTGCGCCATACACGTAATATTTCTTGATTTTAATCAAGTTTTTGCTGGGTTTTTTGGCCTCTATTTCAGCTAACTATCCGTAAATAAAATGTAATAAAAATTATTATTAAATTTCTTCAACTTACTTGAAAAACTTGTTGAGCAGCTTGATAGTAATATTTCCCCTGTACATTGATTTCCACGGCCTTCATAACCTGCCCTTGCTCTATCAAATGCGATGTATACTTCATTAACAAGTCGGATATTTTTGTTATATTATTTTTCTTCGCTAAATCTATAGCCGTATTCCACCTGTTGTGTAGAATGCATATGTCAATAGCCGACTTCATTTTCCCATGCTGCAAAGGAAACCTGTACAAAAAAAAATAAAAACACACATTTACTCACTTTAACGTAGGCTTTAACGGCTTCGTTGTGTACAGCATTGGCGGCGAACATATCCCCAATTTTCTCCAACAAAGGATCCCCATCGGGAAGTTGTTCAATCAAGGCCTCGAGACTTTTGTAGTCCTCCAAGTGATAGTAGCACTCCACCATTTTGGCTGTGTTTTTAGCCTTAACATAATACTCGATGGCCGAGGACCAATTGTTGAACTGCGCAAAATAGTCCGCCGTAGAGTTGTAGGCAGTGGTTAGCAAATAATCTGGAGCTGTGGCGCCGTTCTTGAGTATCTGTATAACCCTGAACCAATCACCCAAAGTTTGCCGCAAATTCAGGGCCAGATCGCTTCTATCAGCTTCCATGTAGATTTTTTCGGCTTCGTCGAAGTTTTTGAAGTACGTTGCGATTCTGGCTTTCCTTATGGCATCGTTGCTGATCTCCTTCAATTTTTTAACGAACAATACTTTGGAGTAATCCCGCGATCTAACGAAAGCCGATTCGGCCATCGTTAAATTCATGTCCTTCAAGGCGGCTTCGGCTATCAAGCGCCACAATCTCGGATGCCTGTTGTCTTCGACGAACTGCGAAGCTTCTGGAATGCCCACTTTTTCCAATAGCTGCCTCGTATCTCTGAGACTTTTAACTTCGAGCCTTATCAGGTGATCTTTGTCGGGTCTTTCCGGGCTTTCCATAACTTCGTCGAGTAATACAGCTTGGATTTCGAGGTCGTTGAAGCTGCAAATGTAGCCGGAACAAGCTACGGGCTCCTCAGGGTAGATACCTTTGAATATATACATCCTGGTTTTTTCCATGATTGCCAATAGCTGCGGATTATCAGAGGCCCAGCACATCGCCCACACATCCTTTCTTTCAAGCTTGTTTATGTTTTCCTGAGCTGTAGTGGGTCTCCCCAAACCCTCAGATATGTCGATTAGTGTCATAACTCCGGACATATCTATGACAGATAAGCGCCTAAAAAGTGTTCAAGTAAGCTAAAAAATAAATGTAAAAATGATTTACTTACGTCGAGTTGCAGTTTATGGACATTTTATGCGGTCTTGTGGGAATTTTGTATCTATTTGTGAGCACCACGTGGGGTAAAGCATAGTACTGTATTAATCCAGATTCTCTGCCTATGGCCAGGCATTTTTCAGAGCAAGTTAGGCAACATATCGGATCGGGTGTTGTGTGCGTGCTGACAGGAATTTTACTGGCATTTTCCAACTCCTGTATAATTTCGACTGCGCCAGAAGGATTGTCATCGATATGAAACATCTTGTATTTACCTTTAGCGCTCGACAAAGTGGATTTCGGTGTTTTGTAATGCCATATTACGAAGTTGTTTTTCGATGCCGCTATCACTTGATAGGAATTCATACCGACCACAATGGGTTCTATGTCGATGTACTTGCCATCCACTGGAGTACCCAGCGTGTTGTACAGTATCAAATAGTACGAATCGTTGTTTTCGGCCAGGGTTACAACCACGCAGTGGTCTCCACAACCAGCCACAGCCAGCAGAACTGACACATAGCGAGTTTGGCACTAAAACGACAGCAAAATAGTATATCAAAGAACGAATGTGTCATTTTCTCGCACGAAGACAAGTTTACAATGGGCGAGTGCGAGAAAACCTCTTCTAAGATGAGTTCCTCATACTATTTTTTTATTTGCCAATATTTTGGTGTTGAATCGTTATTAAGTGATATGTTACATCTGTGGGGAGGGGAAGGTAACACAATAATCCTTCTATAGATATACATATATGTATGGGTATCTTTTTTTTTTTGAAGAGCTACAAGGTCAGTTAGATTTGAATTATAAATCTACCAAAACGGCATTTAAAAAAAAGTTGGTGGTGGTATCTCAAAATCCAGATGGCGAAAAAAATCACAAAGGTTTTTAGTTTTTTTTTATTTTTGAGTACCGCTGGCTATTTTTTAAATTTATAAATTTCATGTTATTAATTTAACCGACCTTGTAAATCTTCAAATGGAAAAAATAGCCATAGAATTTATTCTGCTGTCTGTCGTTTCAATAATAACATATTGAGTTTCCAAATTTGTAATTAGTAGTAATGAAAATGTGATACTCAAGTAGAAAAAATTATTTTAAGAGCATAACTCATAAAGTTCTTTTTTTTATCTGGACTGCGGCAACGTTGCAAATTTATGGTTTTGGTTGGTAAATACAGTTGTCAAGTTGGTCGCATTGATTAAAACAAACTAAGCTAGTTATAAATCTAATTGTGGTTATGTATAAATTATTGTAGGTTACATTGTGCAGTTGTCAAGTTGAGTTGTCGAAATTCGTAGTTAAAAATGCAATTAATTTAGCTTTGTTGGTGCTTGGATGAGTAAAATCATATAAAAAATTAGTTAAATATAGGTTGCTTTACGGCCCAGAAGAGAAAGTATTCCTATAGGATAGATAATAATCTTCGCTTTGAAAAGAATTTACATAAATTTTTTTGTGAACGTAAATGTTGTCCAATGGTGAATAATGTGTGATGTAATATTTATAAAACCAAATTCGTTACTTTTTTACTCCAAAAATGTCCATAAGGCGATGTACTTTTTCTTCAATTGTGGCATTTGGCATAATTTCATCAAAACGAAGTTTTGCCCTCAAAAGGGCTTTTACATTCGAATTCGTTGCTATTATTTTTGGCATAATTATCTTTTTATTTATAATTGACAAGTAAATTATAAATAATAAATATTATTGTCAATTTGACAGTGTCAAAGTATTTAATTAAATTCTTTAGCAGAAGTACAATTTTTAAATACTTAAAATACTGTCAAACTGGCATAAGCCACCAACTTAACAAAAAAAAAACGAGTCCAGATAAAAAAAAATGAACTGTACTGTAATTTTTTTTAATAATTACTAAATAACTAATTACCTGGTTATTGCTTGTATCCCAAAAAGAAATGCATATTCCAGGCTTCCCAGGTCTACAAGATGTAAAAACAACGGTTTTCTTGAAATAACACCATTTATAATCTGGGCGTATATTTGCGAAATATACAAACGAATCTACGGCCAAAGCCACCCGTAAAGAACCTCCTTCCCAAACGCAACAAGAAATACTGCTTCCAGGGACTTTTAAAGTCCTTAAATGCTGAAAAAATACAGTAAACAAAATCTTGTTGCAAGAAAGTGGAAATATAAACGTACATCTCCAAAAGGGCTGTAAAACTGGACCAAGTTTACTTCCTTATCATCACAATGCTGTCTACCGGTTATAGACAATATAGAGCCGTTATGGTTCCAGCTGCAATGTACAGCGGTCATTTTGGTGTCCAAAATGATGGGTTCAACGTCACTTTCGTTTCGCATTATTTGCGCCCTACCGTTAGCATAGCAAATCGACAGATTCGGACATAAAGCATGCATGTAACCATGAAGGCCGTCGTACCAATCCAAACCAACCACCGGGGATAAATCATATGTGGTGTCGTGAGAGAGAATTTCGATTTTCATCTTAAATAAAAACACCAGTCAGAAAAACATAAACAAACTTGAAAGAAAGCATAATCCACAGTCATTAGCAATTATGAGATTTGAAGGTAAAAGTCCTAAAGTCTATTCAAATCCAAGCTGGACTAAATGTAAACACAATCCTCCGAATCGACCAATAAGAACTCACAATCCGAGTCACACCATCAGAATCGACCAATAAGAACGAGTTATCATGCGTCTGGGCGTTTTTGTTTAGTCCAGCTTGGATTTGAATACACTTTTTAGGGATATAGAGCGATTATTGCAAAAAATTAGTAATCCAGAAGCTTTGCATTTTGTTAAAGAGATTCAAGATTATAACACTTATATTATTATTATTATTTGGCCAAATCAGTTTTTGTGGGATGGCGAAAATAATTCAAATTTAAGAAGAGCAGCAAAGAAGCTACATAATTAAAAAACTTTTTTGAAACTAAAAAAATCCACATGGAAGCAATTGATCTTTAAATTTACAACCAACTTGGGGAAAATAGTTTAGTTATAATATAATGCATGGATTTATGATGAGAAACAATCCCAAAATCAACATACCAAGTTCAAAGACCAAAATAGGACAAAAACGAATATTGACTGAAGATGCCAGACTCTATAATGATATTCCAGAAGAGATCAAAAATACCAAAAACTACATAAGTTTTAAAAAACAATTAAAAAATTCCTTAGTAAACAAGACACAAATATTTTATGTATACTCACAACAAAATTTCCCTGGTTATCATACAAATGAACCTGTCCATTCTTTAGGCTAAACAACAGTAACTTTCCATCTGGAGACCATTGAACACCTGACAACTGAACGTGTTTTAACTCTTTTCCCCAAATTCGGTTCCCCCCAACACAACCAACAATAATTGCCCCATCCTCGTATATAATACAAATTTTTTGTCCGTCAGCACTCCAAGCCATACCAACCACAGTGGATTTCTTCCTGTTATTAATCATTTCTTCATACCACGCACCCTAAAATAACAAAACAAGTTTTAAGGTTTCCATACAGAGAAAATATTACCTTGTACATCATCCAGACAATAATAACGCCATTTAAATCGCTAGTCGTTAACTTTTTGTGCGATTCATTCCATACTAACACTTGTATGCTTTCTGTGTGCCCTTCTAAAGTTTGATTCATCGATAAATTACTTGCAGCTGCAAGACCTCTGATTTTGGCCCCCGAGTCATTTTCAGTGCCTTGAAGTATTACTTTGTGTTTAATGTGTGTTATTTATAACTTGTTATTTATATTTACCTGCGTCTAGCTTCAATACTTTCAATAAACCATCTTCACCACCTACCGCAATATAACCATCCTCTTTATTCCATGCTAGAGCGTTTATTTTTGTATTGTTTGGTATGGCAATCTTAAAACGACAAGGTAATAGTGTTTTTTATATAGATTTAATCAATTTACTCACCTTTTTACTCAAATAAATAAACATTTTGCTTTATTTTACACCCATGTCATTTTTAATTCAAAGATTGTTGACATCTACTGTCAGTTGTCATAGCAATCGAAACACAAACAAACATGTTGCCAACTTAAAAAGTCAGCGCGAAATTCAAATAAAACTTCAATTGGCAGTTTAACATTTGTATTTTAAAATCGTTAAAAACTTGATTAAGCCTAGTTAATAAGTATTATATAACAGTCCTCAAACAGCGTGTAAAAAATATTATTGCACTTTCCTAAATATTATTAATAAATACAATTGTAAATGACTAGTATTGATATATTTGGCGTTGATAATTAGTCTAATTATTTTTTCGAGCCCTTCTCCTTCTTAAAGCCCCTGCTTGGCGGAGTAAATGAGCATTTTCATCGTCGTCACAGCCAGGATCCCACAGTTTTGCTTTTATCGGCAAGTAAATAAGACCTCCGAGAGTTACCACTAGAAAATAAATCGCATCCATATATTGTATGCTCTAAGATACTACCTTAGATAATATAAAACATGGATATATCCATATATTTAATATTTTTTTATGAAAATTTGACTTACTGTTTAAAATGCAAGGGAATACCACATAAAAGTTTAAGGTGGCAGATCTAAAGAACAGTGTTTCGCTTAAGTATAAAATAATTGTGATTGCTAACGAACAAATACCCATGCTGACTATACTAAAATAAAAAAAATCAATTACGTATTTTAAATATTTATTGCATTAAGCCGACTTACGGTTTATAATGTATAAATAAAGTGCAGTGAACTAAGGCTATAGACTTTAATATTGAATAAATTCCTAAAATTCTTGACGTAGTGTATTCCTCTGAAACCAAAAAATAAAGCTCTAATAATATTGTTAAAAATCCACCTTACCATCTATAAATTCGCTAGGTTCTAAAATAGTTTTGCTTAAAAAAGATCTTTTTTCTATGTAACTTCTAATTGCGGTACCGAAATCCATGAAGGCTACAAAAGCAATCCATCCTCTAAATGCATACATCATTTTTCGATCCATTTTTAAGTAATTTTTAGATTTTATAAAAAACGAAAACACAAAATTAATTATTACACTGTATTCATTTGGTGATATGTATTATTTTTGCTACAGTGAGCTCATTTTCTTCATTTTTTTTGTTTGATTTTTTTTTATTTTAGGTTATGATGCGGATATCAAAACATTTTAGAAAAGACTGCATACGACGCGTCGCGACGTCGCGACGTTGTCAGTATTCCCGTGCGCCATCTGACAACAGCGGCCGGCAATTCAGACAATTTTAAACTGGGTGCCCGCCTATAGTTTAAGCTTCTGTCCAAAAGAGCTCGCTGCATACTTATTTATTCCACATACTTCCAAGTATGTGATTTATTCATATAAAAATAAATACTTCCACACATATACAGCTTACACAATTTCTTGTGGTTAGGCTTCATAAAAAACAAAAAGTGGAATAATATGCATATTATGTAAAAGCCACTAAAAACCACACAATAAAAAGCAATGCCAAAATAATTGGTATACAACAGAAAACAAACAAAATGGGTAATTATAAACACCATCTACATATTAGTATGTCTATGATAAAAACCTTTTAGCTTTCGTGGTAAAAATACGATGTTGCCAAATTCTTTCTGTTATAAACATGCCATTATAAAATCTAAAATATCATCATTTTGTGTGTTTATTATTGTCAAATGCTTTTTTCATACAATTTATATAGAATTTCTTAAAAAGTTTTTATTATACTTCCTACAGTCTCAGTTGGAAATGATTTGTATATGTGTAGAACTTTTTGAACGCCCCTTGTAAAGCTAAACTAACACTAGAGTAATTTGCAGCATTTAACAAACGCAAACATATTGTTTAATATGTATTGAAAATTTATATTAAATAAATGAAACACGAGCATTTGCAAAATCGTAGTGTGACTTAACCTTAATGGTTTTGTTGACAGAAGCATGTTTTGGATTTTAGGTTATGTTTTCTTAAATTGTCTTTCTATGGACATCACAGGTCGATTAACTGTATGTACATTTATACATCAATTACATAAAAAACTGAGAAAACAAAATAAAAACACAATATTTTAAATAACAGTGCCTTTATTTTTGATAGAACTCGAGAGTTTTCCCCATGTTGGTATTGATTTCTTGAAGGGAAATAAGAATTTGATGGGGATTTGTGTAGAGGTCGCTGCAGGGTAGTATATTGATTGTGGTAAATCCCGGACTGTAATTGAAATAAATGAAAAAGGTGTTTTTGGTATTTGAACATTTATTTGCGACATTTTTAACACATGTATACTTCTTTAGTGATTACGAACACGCAGAGATATGAGTAAATTCTTAAAGATCATACGTTTGACTATTTTAGACATAGATGCAATTTTTAAAATTTAAGTTAAATTTGACTTAAATCGACTAGTAAACACATTGTTAACTTATGATAAAATTGTACTAAACAGGTCCCTTGACGATATTTAAAAAAGTTTTAACAAATAAATTATTAACAGCAAATTATACAAAAATAGTTCTAAAACGCAGTTTTCGTAGGCATTAGTAAGAAGCTACATATTTATTCAATAAAAAGGCATAGGTAATTTACAGTATAAGTTATGTTAAACGTTTAACTATCGGCTAGATCTAATTTTGAAAAATAATAAATTAAAAATAATGAATTATGAAGCTAGCTAACACTGATATACATGATATAACCTAATTATTAACAAAGATCAACTAACACATGGTTATTAATTTTATGAACACAGTAAATATACTAATGGATATAAGTATGCAAAAATTAATGAAAATATTTCTTCGATATCTTAAGATTAGTCTCTAACGAAAGTGATAGCTGTTTTCGCAGAGCTAACCAGTTCCGGACATCCTACGCATGCGCAGTTTAAATTTTAACCTAAAGTGCGCATGACAAATCTTAAAATGCGCATGCCCATGATGTCCAAACTAGTTCGGGATAAGCACCGCAAAACCAGCTAATTATAACTTAAGAACGACTACAAATATAATAAAAATAATTTACAAAAAGAGCACGATAAAAAATATTCTCAAAAAACTTGAATCAATAATAAATAGAATCTCATATTAATATGCCATAAAATTATTAACTTTGTATAGACAACACTTTTTAATTTATCTTACAAAGTGTTGGACACTTTTTATCAATAAATATCTTTAAAGCGATCAGTTTACAAAACATTCAAAGAGACATACAGCTGTATCATTCATTCAAAGTCAACGTACTACACCGTTTTCGCCTAGCAATATATTGTCTCAAACTTATGTCTGTCTGCTTGGTTCTACTATTAAATAATTAAACAACTAAGTTTGCTGCCTTACATAATACTAATATTTTTTTATTATATGCTTGGTAATGATATTTTATTTGCTAGACCAAAATAGTTGGTGGCCGTAAATGAACAAATTATTAAATAGTATTTATTTAACTTATGATTTGTTTCTTGAACACTAACAACGAATTTTAGGAAGACCTGATTTTACACAAACATAGCTAATATACAGTTTATACTGTCGCTGATTGTGCTATTGTTCCATCAGCGATCATCTTATTTCTCAATGTCTTCACGTCATCATCAATTCTCACCAGCAGCCGTATTTTCTGCAATAAAAACAAAACAATAACGCCAACCCCAACAATCAGAAACAATTATCATACCGTTTCCCTATCTCCAGGTGTTATGTACCAGATATATACCATGTAACCAGGTATGCACAACATGGAAGTCAAAGCAGTAAACCATCCGAATAAGTGAGCCCATAGGGGAAACTCGTAGTCCAAATATTTAACAGGGGTCCATTGTACGATATTAAAGAAGAAGACACCCTAAAAACAATCAAAGATAAAATCACGACTAAAAATAACATCCAAATCATTCAATTAATAAACCTTTGTGCTATTTAACGAGACAATTACTTACAATACATATAACGGGAGTAGCTATGACCCAGCAGAATTTCCACCACTTCATCGGATAGTATCCAATCATTTCTTTGATACCGTCGTAGAAACGGTTCACCCCAAACGCCCAGGAGATAGCGATACATTCGAAGAATATCAAGAACAATAAGCAGAAACCTGATACGGCGTAAGAGTCCAGGATTTGGAAAACGTACATCCCGCCCTAGAAATATTTTTTGTACTATTTTGTCTTAAATTGGCCAAATAATAGTATTAGGTTGCTGAATAACAGATGTTAGATGCTATGAAATGCGAGAGTATGGTATTATAAGACTATCGTTATATTTTTTCAAAAATTAGTCTTCTTCACAAAATTTTGTTAAAGAACTGATATTGAAAAGTTCAAAGGGATTTTGGATACAATATTTCGACCATACTCTCCTCATCATCTTACAGGTTTGTAAAATGCAAGAGAATATGGTAAAATATAAAAAGACTATCTGTTATCTATGTTCAAAAATGAGGCCTATCATGCGTGCGAGTAAATACGCAAACATATGATTGTTATAGGTGCTGTATACACATTGATCGCATCCTGACCTCACAGTGATATCATTGTGCCCTCACTGTAACATCAAAATGTTATTTGGGCTCCTGACCATCTTACCTGAGAAATGCAAGAGAGCCCGACTAGATAAGATAGAGCACAAACGATGGCTATGAAAATTTCCTTCCTTTTTCTAAGTAGATGGGGCCACTCGTCGATGATGGCGGTTACGAAGCCTTCCATTGTGCAGAACTGCGAGTCGAGACCTATGAGTAGTATCATGAAAAAGAATAGACAGGCCCATAAAGGCGAGCCGGGCAGTTGTAGAACCGCCGAAGGATAAGCCAAAAAGGCCAGACCAGGTCCTGAAATAATATTTTTTTTTATGATTTTTTGAAGGCTTGAGGGTTTTTGTTGTTGTACCTGAAGCAGCGACTTCCGCAACAGGTTTTTGCTGTTCGTGCGCCATAAATCCTACAACCGAGAATATAACGAAGCCTGCGAACATGCTGGTGCTGGAATTAACCGAGCAAACAATCAATGCGTCCCTGGAAACGAAATAATAGTTAATGTCGACAATAAGACGAAATTCGTAGCGGTTTTAATAGAATGGAAGTAATGAATAATGGAATTGGATGGGAAAATTGATCGTACTTGTAAACATTGTTGGTGAATTTGTTGTAGGATCCTAATGCAACGAGCGTTCCCAAGCCTAAGCCGTAGGAGAAGAAAATTTGCGTCACAGCGTCAATCCAGACTTGGGACTCCTTGAGCTTCGACATGTTCGGCATAATGTAAAACTTGATGCCATCCATTGCTCCGGGCAAAGTGACGCCGCGAATGAGGAGAACGGTAAGTAAGACGTAGGGAAACAGGGCGGTGAAGTAGACGACTTTGCCCGTCCATTTGACTCCTTTCCAGATGCAGAAGTAACAGAGGATCCAAACCAACAGTAAAGTTCCAGCTAACTCCCATCGTATCGATCCGACGTGCTCGATTCCGTCGGATATCTGAAGGGCTCTACGCCTAAAATTTCGTCAACGACCGTTTTAGACACCGGCTTAATCATTACCACCCTCTACTTACTCCCAAAACTCCTTAACAGGATCTGTTAGTTCCGCCACCGAAATGTTTTTAGCGTTAAGCGTGCAAATTTTGCTGATTGTGTTATTGGCGTTGTATTTATCCCAACAGCTTAATGCTGTTCTGTCGTAGGGGTTCACGCAGTTTTTGGTGTTCCAGTAGTTATGGCAAGTTCGCCATGGAACGTCTAAAACGCATTGTTAGTATCTATGCACATGCAACACAGTTATTCGCAGAAACTTTTATTTCATATTGATCTTGAATACACAACAATATTTAAAGTGGCTTAATTGTTTTTTTTTTGCCACATTGCCGAAGTTGCTGTTGATTGATCCCAAAAAATAAAAGTTGCCGAAATAGGATAAAAAGCTGCAGTTGTTTGAAATAATCAAATTTAAATTTACGCTTTCATACCCTCTTGATGCTAATCTCTCTTTATTTTCATCTTTAGGCGTTATAAGAGCACACACAAAGGAAATTCAGGGGATTGAAGTTTAAACTTACATTGATAAAGCTGCTTTTGCTACATAATGTTTTAATAAATTTCTGCATATTATATAATGTAAGAGCGCTTTTTTTAATATCATCGGGGGTGGAAATCTGTTTGTTTACTCTCCAACAAGCTTTGAGGGTGTTGATGTGTTATTAATTAATTTAAACCGCAAAATGCCACATCAAAAATCGCTGTTCCTTTGTTTTCGAATGAAAAAGTAAACACTTTATCAAGACCATTCAAGAGAATCAATAATGTAACAGGTTGCTCTTGCTACTACTACAACCAAACTCGCTTTATTATTTTCATTTTGTTTTCCGCTGCAAAAATTATCGGATTTAATTGTGACTGAATTATAATGTAATGTCCACATTTTCGCTTTTATCTGCGGTAGCGGGGTGACATAAAAAGTAAGAGGCTCCTTCTTATATTCGCCATAAACAAAAATCAATAATCTGTGTGCTTTTTTCCAAGTTTGCTTACTTCAAACAACTGCGTAAAGTAGGTATATTTACCGGATCTGAGGGACATAAAGAAGTAAAATATGGCCCAGGCTAAAATAACTATGTAGTAAATATTCATCCAACAGGACATTACCGCTGCTGCGTAACCAATACCTTAAAAATTTACAGCGTTAGTTAATTTCATTTACCTCAATGAGAAAATTGGATTCTTAGTTTATTGTAATTTAAAATTGAATAACGCAGCGTAATGTAGTAAAGGGGGAAAATAGTTTACGATGTTATGCCTGCAAGAATGTTAATTTAATATTATATACATTGTAATCTCTAAGGCACACAGCTATTTCATTCTAGCAAGTTCTACCGTAAATTTTAACGACTCACCCTTAAATATTGGAGCGATCTTGAACACCCCAAGGCCTCCAATGGTCAGCATTTGCCCTAAAGCGAGTTCCATGAAGAACATGGGTATTCCGGCCAAGATGAGGGTGATGAAGTACGGTACTAAGAAGGCGCCGCCGCCATTTTTGTAGCACAAATAGGGAAACCGCCATACGTTGCCCAAACCGATGGCCAAACCGACAACGGATAAAATAAAGTCCAGCTTACTGCCCCACGTGCCTCTTTCGGGCAGATTTTTTTTGCCGCCCGGTTGAATCTGGTTCGCCGAGTTCGGTACACTGGTTAAAGATGGCAGTTCGATTTCCTCGTGCCGATTTAAGTTTAGCGTGTTGTCCAAACTGTCCTGTGCCTCTTGCTTGTCGGCCATGGTTGCGCACTTTTCGAATTTAATTTTTTTGATTTAACTTTTTGAAAACGTCAGCTCATCCCAACTATTCCGACCTATAAAACAAACGGAAAAGTTGCTTGTACAGAATTTTAATTGCGCTTTATAAATAGAAGCTGCGTTCAATTTATTCTGGCTCAAACTGTCAAAGAAAGAAACATCTGAAGAGGATTAAGCCGCGCGACCCAACTGTTTCTAATTCAATGAAAAAATTTATCGATCAAAAGCGGAAGATGAATTTTTCTTTGAGAAGTTTTTTGTGGTCGATATTTCAGTTCTTTCAGTATTCAGCGGAAACGTTTAAAGGCAAAAAACAAAAGGCAGTTCGGTCCCACATAATTATATCCGAACTGTCAGTGATTAAACAGTTTTAATTGTGCCCATATTTAGTTCTTTTGTGCTCGAATGTATGTGGCCAGTCACTTAATTAAACCTATTGTTTATTTTCGTACAGGGGACAGATTGTAGGTAGTTATATATATGTATGGATAAATGAATATATCCGTTGGCTTGAATGCTGCGAGGGGACGAATGTTGCAATTACACCAACACTTTTTTAATTTAAAATTTAGGATGAGATTTTTGTCATCAACTCACTAAATTCTGCAAACACAAACATTCACCTTACAGCAAGCGCGCTATTTTGTTAAAATAAATAATGGGGAATATACTAAGTTATAATATTTACCGGTATCAATCCACGTGTGATGTTGTATTTATCACAATAGGTAACAACACTCGCGCGCTCAACCGCAATAACACTGAAATCACAGAAGAGCGATCTTTAGCACAGGCACTGGACCACTGAGAAGTAACATGTATAGGCATTCAGTTGAAGCTGGAGCCTAATCTAGCTGATACCTCCTGTCCAATCACAACGCCGCTTGATACTGCCTCACTATGGTGGGGGAATACACATTCAACAGCATGTGCTTATTTGCAATTTTTAGAAAAGCCATTTTTTCTCATTCAATTTATTTTAACCCACATATTATTTTCCCATCTGATAATCAATACTTTTTTAAACGATGCAACAGTTTTTTGAGATTTCAATTACTTTGAAATATGAAATGTAATTAATAAAAAAGTCATGCCAAAATAAAAGCAATCCCGATCCTCTTTTACCCAGCTTTTGTTTTGTTTCATATCCCTTTTGTTTTAATTGAAGCCATGCTTTTTTACTCCCATTAAACACGAACGCTTTTATATGACTTATAACTTTTTAAATTAAAATGACATTTTTTGAAATATTAAAATACTATTTAAACAAAACCACAAAGGATGTAGTATCAATAAAAGGACAGTTCTATGACATTTGCAAAAAAGTTACCTACATTGTTTAACAAACAATTTATATTGTTTTAAGAGACAAAAATACGCAATTTATAAAGTTTTATATCAAATTTTAGTTTTTAGATAATTAAATAATATGAGAGGAATTTTGTTCGGTATAACCAAGTTTTACTATAATGAAATACAAATATATTATATTATTTCAAGATATTTTAAATTTTAAAAATCTACCAGGTGTTAAAGTTATGCAAAAAAAAATTTGAAACACCCTGTATAATTAAAATATACATATATAAGTACAAATACAAAGGCTTTATTGAAGTTGTTTTTGTATGTATGTTGATATACAATAGATTTTTATTAGTATTATATGAATTTTAAGATTTAATAATTTTGTATTAAGATAATAAAATAATTTTCACATTTTACAATGGTATGAAAACGTCACGTACGATGATAAGGTGAAAGTTAAAGAAATTAATAAAAATGCAAAAACGTATAAAATTGTCAAAAATGGCGGATGCTCCGGGATCACTTATTTGATAAAACGTGTTTTACCATTTTTATTTGCTTAAATAAATATTCATAATTATAAAATTTTAAAAAAGTTCTATTTAAAGAATCAAAAAGTTAAAATAATGTGCGTTGGAGTATAAATAAAATAAATAAAAAGAGTCAACAAACGAAATAGCAAATTGCTATTGTTTATTAGACCAATTGGTCAATTATATGTCACCTACTTAGCTATGTAAAAGAGCAACATCAATTCATCCAACCAATTTTGTTAAAATTAAACAACCCACGCTAAATCGTTTATTAACTGGATGAATTTTGATTTTAAGGTATTAGTCATAGAGGCATATTCAATTCTGCGAAATGATATCAATGAAACTTCAACAATTGTTGTACCTGACAATATCTTCGAACTTGTTATCAAAGTTATTGACTGCAACATAGAGAAAAATTCGAATAAATTGTAATGTATGTGTCTACTGTCATCAACAATATGCGGGATACATGCATGTGTATGAAGTCCTGTAAATAATGGGAAGCCTAGTCAGTCAATCGATATAACATTAACATTTACGTTGATTTTAAATAGAAATATTCTGATATCTAACAGAGAATCCATAAAATCAAATTGTTCGGAATTCTTTGCTCAAAAAGGCAGAAAACACATTAACTTAACAAAAACCCATTTCCTTTGCAGAACTTCATTTTTTTACCAAATTTAATTTCGTTTCTAATAGGCTAAACAAAAATGCCAACTTATGTTTGGTAAATTTAGCTGATGAAATAAGCAAAGGGATTAGATTCTTAATAGCGTAATCTTCCGAAATAAAGGGTAATTATAAAGGACCCAAATGGCGGGGCGTCTGCGCGATTGCAGTAGTAAAAGCAAGGCACAGTGATCATGATAACCATTTACTCAGATATCCGGTCATGTGACATGTATCCTGCCATTGCAACTTCCTTTCCCGTGCCCTAAAGGATGTACTAACCGGGAAATAATCTCTGTACCTCGTATGAACATATATATTTAAATACAAGCATACTTTAAAATGCTGTTAATTGTTTGACACTGACTTATGTCTTTTGCCTTCCGTTTTTATTCATGAAGAACACAATTTCATTTTAAAAATTAATCATATTTGATTTCAACAACGCTTTTTGTAACTGCAAAATAAATCATTGTGATGTTTTGAAAAACAATTATTGCTTTTTCAAGGTATTAAATCATTGTAAAAATATACAAGGTGACCCAAAAATAACCCACGAATACATTATATGAAGTTTTTAATACTTTCTGTAAATGTGGTATAATATATATATATATACACTTATATGACGTTTAAGTATGATTTTAATAATTTAATAAACAATCAATTAAAACTTCTTTAATATCATATTATGCGACAAGTTTGATAAACGGCATTTTAGTCAATAGTTTTAATTAGACACGAGCGTAGCTTGCGTTGCAAGTGTTGAATAAACAAAAGTCCACATCAGTTTACAAAACAAATTGCATACTACTTTCAAAACATGGTTTATATGACATTTCAACTAACAACTAACTTAAAGCAAACTTCAGCCCGAAAGCCACTGTTGCTAACTTCGGCCCGTGACTAAAACGCCATAAAGTCACTGCTTGCGGACGTGTATTTAAAAGAACACTTAGCGTCATGGAAACATACATACATAGGATAATACTGATGCGAGGGAAATGGCTATAACAGAAGCAGAAGTGGAAATAGGCAATAGTACATTGTTGGCGGAAACGGAAACGGATGCGGAAGCAAGTATAAATACCATGCAAAAAACAAAATTTGTTTTTGTATTTGTAAGTGTTAGATTTAAAAAATGCGGAACTAGATGATAAATCGGATGTAAAAATTGTGCAGAACTTCCGCAATTACGGAAGCGGATGCAGAGGTCTGTTAAAATACAGAAAAAAACTTTTGTTGAAAAGTATTTTACATACTATTTTCTGGCAGACAATATTTCAGTCTGTCAGATACACAGTGTTGCCACGTTGTTTAAACTAAATGCTTAATAAATCGTTCCAAAAAATTGTAATTGTATTTTTTTGGACAAAAATTGTGCGTGATTTTCGGGTTACCCTGTATAAATTGAAATAATATTATAATCAATAACCGCACGGCAAACGTTTAAAATCATTACAGATGAAATTTGAAAGATTGCGTAGATTTACATTTAATGCGTTCCCGCTAAATAACTGCGTTATCTAAATGGTTGCCTAGCAACGGGACACACTCATTTCCCAAAAGTTAAATCCTTCTAGAGTTTTTAATTAACTTATTACTTGACAATAAAACAAAATTGTTATCGATTCTACCTAAACTACACTAAATGAAGGCAAGAAAAAGAAATAATAAAATTTTAAAACGTTTATTAATTTAACCCAAAAGTATAAACGAAATGGTAAACCCAACTTAATAAGATAATAAACTAATTCTTAAATAGTCGTTCCCTGATATATAAGAACAAAAGTATTAAAACTACGCAAGTAACTGATACGAAGTTAGCCAAGGCGTGGCTGGGGCCCAAATCCGTTGACGTTGACGATTCTCGGATTGGGATAGTTACGAAATGTACTAAATCGTGCAAATCGATGTCTAGCGCACACATATTCCCTCGCTAAAGTCTAAAAAGTTATAAATTAGGTTTGCTCCCAACACGAAGACTACATACAGAAGTACAAACCGATACGTTATACTTGATTATGATTGACCCTAATCAGATTGGCTTTGTGCACACTGCGTTTTATTTGTTCTGTGCCGACGTATTTTGCCTCATAAGACATAGGAAGTTTGTGCTCCTGTCTCTAGTGTTCATGGTTCCCACTGAGCATTTGGACTCTCAATGGCGTCATGGACATGCGCAGTAGTATTTTCGCATTGTCAGTCGAAATGCTCGGTATAGTAAAATCGCATGCGCAATACGAAAACACTACTGCGCATGTCCATAACGGCATTGACAGTCCAAATGCTCGGTTGGAACAAGCATCTAATTAATTTCTAAAAGCATTACTTACAATCAAAATGCAGCATGAGAAACCATAAGCAGATCCCATCATCAGGGCTATGGAGTCCTTTCCAGGACTTTTGGTGATGAAGAACACGGTGACCCCAATTAGCCAGAAAAAGTAGTAAGTAATAAGGCACTTGATTAAGTCCGTCCAGTTGCATTGGGTGATGATGCATATTAAAGTACACAAACCGACTTGCCATAGCGAAACCAAGTAAGACCGTTCTTCTTTGTTTCCGATTTTGGAGAAGTCGGCAACTGTATCCAGTTGTAGAAGTATGACGGACAGTCCGGCAAGAAATATGACAACGGTGGTGACTTAAAATAAACATTATAAAAAATATAGTTAATTTAAATTGACTTACCTACAATATTGTTTTAACATCTTTCTATTTTGAGTGATAACTTGACAATGACTAAGTAAATGAAGTTATCAGAATCGATGTAATTCAAACCTTAATGTTTATATTAACAAGCAAAAATAGATGACATATTTTTCGCATTACTTACCAATATATATTATTTTTTCGGTATAAATTTTACAGTGGGGTAGAAAAAATAATCTTCTCCATATTCACTGCCGGCCAAATTGCGAAATAGCTCGGTGCTGTTGGTCGGTTGTTGTGGTTCGATGGATTCATCGTCAACGGGTTCGACTGTGTATTCGAATTTTGTGAATTGAAAATCAATTTCTTTGCGTTTTTCGACTTTTATCAAACCATCGCGATCGAAGTGAGCCAACAATCTCGGCAAAGTGCTCAAGTTGTACGACAAATATTCCTCCCCCGTGTAGATTTCCATTTTTTGCCTGGACTCGTGTACAGGGTACGCAACGCGAATTCCTTTGGGAGGATTCGGAAGATTATCAAACACCAAGTTGGCTATGTATGACGTCATGAATCTTCTTGTGGTTCCTCCAATAGGGTTTTGGAACATGTAGTGTTCCCCGTGTTCCTTTGTCTCAAAATCGAAGCAAACATTCGAGATTTGCACCCAGTCCAAAAAATTTAAGGCGCTGCTTAAATCGCAGACTTTACCCTGCATTGCGTGGTAGTTGTAGTTAAGCATCAATCTTTGGAATGAAACAGAGTGCCTGCGAAATTCCAGCCGGTTTAAAGTATCGATGTAATCTTCGCACAACTTAGTGCCGACATCGTTATTGGTGAAGTCGTTTTGTACTCGGTGTATCATTACAAAAGCAAAGGAGAAAACATCCTTATCGCATTTTACTGTATTGATCACATACCTGGGGGGTAGTGGGTCATCGAAATGTACGTAATACATGATGGATACGGGTTGATTTGAGTACAATAGACGCATAGTTTCTTGGTAGTCAATGTTGAAAGTAACAGTGTCCACCCCATCTTCATAAACCAAGCCCGTAGTGTAAATTTTATTGGGTGGAGGGTAATAACAATTATCATTTGGCATGTGACGGATTTTTAGGATGTTTTCCAATATAAGGCCTTTGCCGTTATATCTTGTGCGTGTTATTAAATCCAACATATTCTACAATTTTTACGCTTTAAATAAAAAATCTAAATACTAAAATATAGACTTACCATTAGCAATAATTAACTTTACCAACTGCAAATAAAGGTAATAAATGACTAAGACTAGACGATTAAATATTTTTCCCAATCGGAATTTTCAATTTTGTTTATATTTTTAAATCAACTTGATTGCGACGTGCCGCGACATCTATGCGTCGATATACAAAGCATTGATATGTTAGGGGAGCGACCTATTGGCTTCCAGGACTAAAATCAATAATCCTCTGCATCATATTTAAAGGATTTGTTGTTTTTGTTAAATAAAATGCTTTCGTGCACATTTAAGATATATTTATTTGATTTAAAACATTCAATAGACAATATTTAAAACAAAAACAGTTCAAACAACAATGACACTGAAACAGAAATCTTTTTTAAGCGTCAAAGATCGATAATAAATAAAGTAGAGTTCTTTTTGTAGTTCTGAGGTAGTAAAATAATTTTAATAAGTAGGATAAAATTTAAATTTAAAACACTATATATGTAACATTTACTTATATCAGTTCCATTTAATCTAATATTAAGATTGAAATTTAAGTATGCCTAATACTTACTTAGTAGTCATCCTTAATATCACAACCTCTTAGCATGGCTTAAAACTCTAAAGTCTAATTTTTCGATATGATTTACCTATACTACGCATAAAGTACATTTAGATTTTTGTTAACAATACATACACACAATAAGTCTTTTTCAATATGTTTAAATATATTATACAAACATTTCTTTATTGGTTCGAAGCGATGTTTTGGGAAAATTTACTACGAATTTGGCTCAATTTTAGTTAGTGCAGTAGGACCCGTTCGCATTTAAACATTCTGCATACGTATCGATATTTAAATGAAACGCTCGGGCAATTTTAAATGTTTAAATGCGACCCATAGCTTTGAACCGTAAAAGAATGTTTAAAACATAAATAGGGAATATATATTTATATAAATATGACATAGAAAAATAGACCTATCCTAAATAGTCGAAAGAATTATTTAGGGAAGCGGTCCTGCTTTTCAATAACCTATTCCATAGAATATATAGAACAAACTCAACTTTATTGCGTTACAAATACTCTATCCTTCTTTCAAAATGGAAAGTACACAATAACATTATAATATAATTCAGTAATAATTTGTTTGGCACACCCAATACGAATAATATAAGAGAATTATGCAATTCCTTTATATTATAATTTTTTCCTCCGTTAAATAGCACCTTTAAGAATTTTTGGTGAGTACCTTTAAATACATCCTAAATAAAACTAAACTAAATCAATTTTGATTGTTACACTATATGTATATACTATAATAAATCTTAATTTACTTACCTCTAAATTCTAAACGCGACATTTATAATTATATATACTACAAATTAAATACTGATCATTTCCTCAATAATACTGTTTTATAGGTAAAAGGCAATGTAACAAAGTTTATAGGCTCGAAACTGACTTCCTTACTTGATTCGTAACTTAAAGGGCTCAACTGTCAATCCATATCATATTTCTACCACTCAATATGTCCATATAAATTGATCAATATAATTACAAAAAAAGTATTAGCAGGAAATCAATTTCGAGTTACCTAGTTATTAGATCAAATTTAAAAGCTACGATCCTCAATCTTTGCCTCAAAATATTCAGTTCTGTTTTTTATTTTGTTGCCTATGTACGAGTCCCTAACCCTATTCACCTAAACTCCAGAGAATATACAGCCCGTTCAGAATAAAACCGAATATATCTATATACATATGGGGCGTGGCCTCGCCTCCCTCCAACGCGCGACACAGTAGCATCGCTAATGAGATTTTTTGCATTATTATCATTTAATTTTTTAAGTCCTTACCTGCTCGACCTTTCGTCATGTCGTTTATCACACAAGCTACTGTGACGCGCCTTGGAGGGAGGCGAGGCCACGCCCCATATATATATATATATATAGATATATTCGGTTTTAATCTGAACGGGCTGTATGTCTACACTACTCCTGTACAGCTACGTAAAAATATTCATACAAAATTATGTCGCACCCTCTATAATTCTCTATGTACATTTCTCATCTCACCTATTCTCTATCTATTTATGTTTATGTTTATGTTTTTGTTTAACTTAATGAGCTTTCCTCGATGCTGGGACTGGGCATCACCACCGGGTCACCGTTCGCGTGCCTCGCACCTGATTTTGGCGATTTTGAGTTGCTTGTCATTGATTGCATAGTCTGAGATCTGGGTACCGTAAAACGCATGCTATACGTCGGCCTTTCCATATTCACACCCTAAAATTTCCACAACCATCACAACATGTACAAGTTGCGAAAACACATTCAAGAAATTAAAAAAGGCAACACGAAAAGCTTTGTTAAAAAAATAGTGCCTAAGTTGCGACTTTTGGACTCATCAGTGCCGGAAAGCCATGTAGACGTAGATGGGGCTGATTACTTTTCGTTGCTTTACAGCATCGATAATAGTGTGTTTCAAGGGTGCTTCCACACCACACGGCTGCCCGGAACTGATGAAATTTAAAATACCGTTATAGTGAAGTTTAAAATAAAACATAAGACAACAATTATTAGTCAAAAATGTGCATATTTCGAGAAGCATTCTTAGGATACAATTACCAAAATAAAGACACAATATTATCACAAAAATACAAAGTGTCACCAAATAAGTTGTCATCCTTTAAAGGGATGATAGTACACAAGTATAAAATTTTGCTTGTTATTACATAATACACTGTTTCTTTTTTTTTTTTTTTTTGATGAATAATATCATTATTTTTAGAGGTAAAAATTATGATGATATAAAGTATAGATCAGTGACATTCAGTGGCTCCCTGGTTTTGTCAACAAATTTCATAATTTGTTTATTAAAAAACAGTCTTGTTTTGGTGTACTATCATACCCCCAAAGAATGACAATTTATTAGTTTACACCCTGTATAGCATAAAACATTGATTGGTATAAAGAAAAATACCTTTTTCTGAAAATCATCAAGGTTGTGTATAAGGTTGGGAAAACAAAACAATATTAGAAAAAGACCGTTAATTTTTGTATAATATATACTGTAGCTTATTAAACAATACTTTGGACCTGTATACGTAACCAAATAAAAAAACAGTATTTTTTGCCTTTTTCGACAAAACGGTTAATTTCCTATATATTTTTTTTACTTTTTACCTATAACTTTAACAGTTTTACCGTAAAACAACATAATATGCAAAAAGCAAAACAAAACTTCTACAGAATATATAATATATGACTAATTAATTTTTCAAAATTTGCAGTACAATTTATTAAATGCACTAAATCTTTTAAAATATGCATTTTATTGCATTAATGCATAAAAGCTTTTTGTGATAAATTGAATTTTCTGTAAAAGTTTTTTTTTGCTTTTTACCTGTACCTTTAATCGTTGTGCCGTAAAACAACATAGGACTAATTAATTTATCAATATTTGACAGTACAATTGTCTTTAACAGTTTTTGTAACTCTTTACCTGTAACTTTAACCGTTTTGCCGTAAAACAACATGGGACTAATTAGTTTATTAATATTCGACAGTAAAATTTATATCTTTTAAACCATGCATTTTATTGCATTATTGCAAAGAAACTTTTTTATAAAAAATTAAATTTGCTATAATTCTTTTAACTTTTTACCTGTAACTTAAACCGTTTTAGCGCTTTTACTGCTTTGTTATTAAAAATATGACTTTGATCACGTATACAGATCTAAACATTAATTGTGGAAAAAAGTACTTTAAAAGAGCACCCAATCATGTACAAATCGCACCTATGTAAATTGTAGTAACGTAAAATATGGCAAAGCTATCGGAAATTAAAAAAAATCCTTAATTTCCTATTTTAATGGAAAAACTTTAAATCATAATAAAAGTACTTAGGAGTAAGATTAAGGGCTGAAACTTGAAGGGCATTTTTCTCTCGATATGTACATCAATATTTTGTTTGGAAAGTGATAAAAAATGAATATATGACCTGACAACCCTATAGGATTTACAATTTAGATCCTTATAAAGCATGGATGAAGAAACAAAGTTTAAAAAATAGTTGATATATAGTCGCGCTTTTTGTTTTCGAGAAAAATAAAAAAAAATCCAAACATAGTAATAAAATAGCACAGCAGGATGTTGTTAATATTTCAGTTGAAGTTGTTAAATAAAATTAAAACTGCAAGGAAAGCATAAATTCGGCTGAAATTCCGAAAATAATTGCACAGAAATATTGTACCTTAAAATGCATATTAGCATGTAAATGGGGTGGTAAATTTAAGCGCGAAAATGTGAGTGTTTTGTTTAATTAAAAAACAGTGTTTTTGACGCGCGCGCGTATTTATGCGCTTGTTCTGTACGAACGAAAGTCACGGTGGGATAAATTATTCTTTAATTCCCATCTTTGAAATACAAAATTTAGTTAGGTAACATCCACATTAGTGATGCAACTGTAGCAGATGTCAATGGTTAATTTTTGCGGATGAAAGCAGAAGCGGTTGTGGTAAAGTGTGCAGAACTTCCGCAATTGCGGAAGCAGAAGCAGAAGCAAATGTATGTTGCATCACTAATAAAATTTGAATAAATTTATTTAGATAATACCTAAACTAAACTAACTGATTTTTGTTTTGTTTTGGCCCACTGTGAAAAAGCGATGTAACATCAATCTTGATACAAGAGAGTGCGATTCAGGTAATGGTTAAAGTGGCCTTCGAGGGTCAATTCTTGTTGTATGTGTGGAATGATGTATGATTGTGTGTGTGTGTCCTCATCGTTCAATCTGTGGGTCCAAAGTTTGCACAAAGACGTTTTTGATTGCTCTCAGCCGTGAAATACGTACTTGTTTTTAAAGCGTAATGCAAAAAGACATCGCGAACATCCAAAACAAACTAATGGGTTAGAAAGAAGTTAGTATCGTAAAATAGTGCGCTGTTAAATAAAAACAGATTCTTCTTTATGTCTTTAATTTTGAAGGATAAAAACTTTTAGGCGAGCTCGTAAAATAGTCTTGATAAACATATAAAAAAACAAATAGTTTTACGACTTCGTAGGCAGGTATATGATTTCTCGCGCGATTTTATATCCTTCAAGTTATGACAGCACAGAAGAGGTTTACCGCACTTAATGCTGACACATTTTATCCCCCCGTCGTCGTAAACGTAAACACTTGCTTCGCCCGAAACATAAAAAAATCAACGCAAAACCAGCTCCGAACCGATTCAATTTTTCGGTTTTTATTAATAAATTGGATCACATGAAAGGATGAAATAAGGATGAGAGCTAACCTAGCCAATTTATTTGGGATTAAATTTTGCCGCCATACAAAAAAAAATAAATTGTTACGTTAAGGCTTTGTTTGCACATATTGAAGACATATTTTTTGCGTTTGAATTGTTTTGACGAAAATTGAGATTTTTAAATAAATAAAGTTTGATTCGATATTATATAAAAAAGCACAATCCTTTTAATAGTATATTATGTATCAAGTTTTTAATAAAAACGAGTGTCTGGAGAAGTTTATATTATTTGTTTTGCAAAACTTGAGGCCGGTCCTGGCTAGTGTTTCCAAAATGCATAACCATAAAAACAAACGCCTTTAGGCATTTTTGAATGCTGTTCAAAGGGCTAGGGAAACTGGTAGTAAGTTAAAAAAAGAGTCAACTAAAAACTCACCCTGTACATTGTACATAAAAAGTACATATGGCTAATGTAAATAAACTGTTGTGCTAACGTGTTATTTGCCGCCTATGGTTATAATTATGTCGTCAATTGCCGCTTTAAGCAATTTAAAAAGTTTTATCGATAATTCAATAGGCTGTCAGAGGGGTGCATTAAATTATAACAGCAAAAAAATACGCCCATGAAAAAGGCGATTAATATTCAAAAGTGTAGTGAAAAGCAAACACTGTTAAACGAAATAAGTGATTTTGAGCTTGCGCATATTCCATAGAAAAAATAGCGAATTCAATTAAAAAGATTTTAAAACGTCAGGTCGAGTCTAAGACACGAAGAAAAGCAAGAAGCATGGTTTTTAATTAAGAATATTACTTAGATAATATTCATGACCTTTTTCCGCACCGTTTTATTTTAGTTTATAATTCAGTAAATTATGTAAAAAGTTTAATAAACGGCATAAAGTTTATAAAACGATTTGCATTTTTATTATACAAACACAAAAATTAAAGTAGTAATACTCAGTAATATACAACTCCAAATATGGGAATAGATAGTACAAGCGTCGCTGTACTATGCGCAAAAGACCAACGCGCAATATTGCGCCTGGCAGATGCGCACCACTCAGTTTGGAGTTGTCGGTCATTGTAGACGATCTTATGAAGAATTGTACGACTAAGTAACTTCAGCGCGTAACTAAAACGCCATAAAGTCAATGTGTATCTTAGCATGATGGAAACATACCTATACAATAAGATGGAAGTAGAAAAAATATTTAAATCGAAGGATAAAAAATAAAATCGAATGAATGGGATGAGATGGATAAAGCGCCAGTTGGGGGACCCTTAATGTACATATTTAATTGTATTTCAACAGGCAGGATTTATTATTAACTCACCTGAGTCCCATTGCCTTGACGTACGTTCTTGTAGGGTTGGAAAATTACCAAATACACTTTAGGGGTAAATAAGCATCCCAATGCTACGGTTGCGCTTATATTCAAGCACATACACATACTGACGATTTGAATCTGAAAGGGAATAACACATTCATTATTCATCCGATCTATTCATCACCGCTAAAATGTTTGATGTGTTATAACATTCGACAATCCACTCTCAAAATTAATGGCTCACTCTAAACTACACTGACCACCACAAATAAAAAAACATCAGTCAATATAACTTGGTGTAACTACACAAATCTGTATTACCTTACCTTGTAATCGTTGTTAGTTCCAAAGTAGATGGGCAAAAATGCGAGCCAGACTATGCAGGTGGAGTACATGGTGAAGCCAATGTACTTGGCTTCGTTGAAGTTTTCTGGGATCTTTCTGGTCTTGAACGCGTACCATGTGCACAATATAATGAGGATCATGTTATAGACGAGGGACATAATAAGGGAGAATGTCGATACGCGACAAGTCAAAACTGCAGTCAGAGGGTACGGGTAGATTTCTCTGATATCGGGTCGCTCTATTGCCAGCCAGACAATCGCACCAATAAGCTGGATGGAGACTATTCCTGTTGACAAAATGCGCTCGTTTATTTAAAGTATGCCTCTGATTTTCAATTATTTTACTGTCAAACAAGGTTTGTACATGAGACCCGCTACTAAATTACCTTATCAGATTGTTAGCCTACGCCATAAATATTTGTCAATAAAAGTAAAACGACCTATTTATCCTGAAATTCTTGTTAAACATTCAAGGACTCGCCATAACTACTCGACGTTATTCTATTTGATAAATGATACTTTCCGGCTACTTAAATAAATTCTAAAATATCTTGAAACTTTATATTAAAACACAGAGAAAAAGAAACGTCTCAAACTATTAAAACATAAATCCCTACTGCTTGCTTTTATTTTACTTCTCTTTTTTATTTTCTCAAGACGGGCCGTAAAACTAACTATTCTAGACGGTTCTTTCCTGATAATTGTTTTATACATACGGCCAGGTCGAAATAAATCCAGGAAATGCGAGACTTTTAACCTTACTATAAATTTAGTCAACAAAAAAGGTCCCCGCTTTTTCTTTACAACACTTCCTTAAACACAAAAACCCATCCGCAGTTAAATGCTCGACGGGGACCTCTCACACTAAGTAGTACTTAGTTAGTACCCGGAAGACATAAAGACTTTTTATGAATTTATTCCTTTAAAATTGTATAAAAAATTACATTTATTATTATTATAACTATTATAATGGTCTTCTTCCTTGATTAATGTTTTTGACGCTTTGTATCTTGACATCGTTGTTGTACATCTTGTAGCAAGCCAATCCGAAAGCGAATACGACCACGACGGTGACCATGGTGCCCATGAAGATGTACAACCATTGGGCCTTGCTTTTTCCGCAGAGTTTCCCATTTCTGTAGATTAGATAGTAGCCCAAATGGGAGCGCCTTCTATCTCTGTAAGTGGAGTCGTGGGCTTCTTGTAGATCCATGTTGCTGGCCGAAACGTTGGAGCTAATGACCGTGGAATAGACGGTTATGTCTTCGGGATCCTTGGTGAGAATGACGTGCTTGTGATCCAGGTTGGGTGCGCTTAGATACATGGCATCTCTTTTGTAGTTTTTCATTTGAAACAACGTCGATTCCAATTTGTTTTCAGTCAAGTTAACACACTGTTTTGTTTTGCGTTCGTCTGGCTGTTGCTGCTGTTTCTGTAGCACTTTAAGGAAGTTGTTCTCGTTCACATCGATAATGTTGTTGGATGGAAAGAATTCACGCCTTCTTGTTACCTTTTGCAAGTTGATATACTCTTGAGCCAGCAAACTTTGAGCCATGTTCACTTAGTTGTGCACAATTGGAACGAAAAAAATCGAATGAGGTTATTTGATGTATTGCCATACTGCATTTGTAGTGGTTGTTTGCGATATTATTATTTATTAAATAGTCATTAATGTTAGCGGCGAATGGCAACAGCGCGTTTATTTATTATTTTACATACGTTTAAATGAAATACGAATTCTTTTATTGTTAATCATCGACAGATAAGATAGCTTGCATAAGAAATAACAAAAATAACAATCAACTTACCAAGGGCGATGGCAACTTGAGATATCGGCGAAGTGTAAACGGGTCTTTTGATGGTTTTAACTCCTCTATTGAAAATTCTGGAAATCCTGTTTGTCTTGGTGAAGATCGCGCTGTAGCACACGCTAAGACAAAGTCCAAGGCCGACTCTCAGGACCGCGCAAGTTTCAACAGTTGGTTTGGCAAGGATAATAAAGGACATCGAGTAGCAAGCTACGATACCGCTCAAAAGGACGTAGCACAACTCGCGACCGCTGGCCATGATGACCGGCGTCTTGTTGTACCTTATAAACACGCAAGTGGTGAAAAGGGTGCCCAGAATGCCCACGGAGCTGAACACGAGCGGCACAAGGGCCCACGGGCTCAGCCACTCGATTACCAAAGCCTTCAATTTCACGCAGTCGGTCTTGTCTCGGTTAGGTGCGTATCCTGGCAAGCAGGACTTGCAGCTGTCGTTGAACACGAACGCGTCCTCTCTACAGGACACGCACACCCAGCAACATTGATCCTGCAAACAATAAGTTTATAAACAAACAAACACGGTGCTGTAGCAACCAAGTATTATTATTATTACTTGGCGCTTATATCTATTTAAAAAATGCTCAAATAGCAATTTAAATGTCTGACAACGCAGCTTGACGTCACGATGATCAGCTGGTGTTTATGTTAAATATTAAGAGAACTATATTGCGCAAGTAAGAGGTCCGACTTAAGAAGGTTATATTCGAATAGATAGGAAGGAGTGTACTATGCGCGCATAGCCACCGCGCATTATTGCGCATGGGAGATGCGCACAACTCAGTTTAGTGTTCTCTCTCGATCATAGTAGACGTTCTTATGGAACAACAATATTTTCAACATTGATTTGAGATCTTGGATAAAACTTACTTAGTCCGATCGATGTAGATATGTGATATATGATATATGACTAATTAATTTATTGATATTTGACAGTACAATTTATAAAATGATTTATCTTTTAAACTATGCGTTTTCTTGCATTAATGCATTAGACCTTTTTATAATTGAATTTACTGTAAAAATCTTATTAAACTTTTAACTGTAACTTCATTCGTTTTTCCGTAAAATGCAAAAATACTGTGTATATTAAAAATCTGACGCAAGAACTTTCAATCATGTACATTGTTTTAACGTAAAAATCCTTAATTTTCTATGTTATTTCAATCAAAGATGTCAAAAAAGTACCCAGAATATACAGAAAAAAAGTTTAATACCTGTCATTGCAGGACTCTGTATAAATTCCAGATACTTTTTTGGAGAGGGGTTTGAAAAGAGATGTATTGTGGGGTTAAATGTATAAATTTTGCTCACCTGATAGTTTCTAATGTGTCCTGAAGGGCAAGGATCACTGCAAATTGATTTGGGCATTTCGTCACTTTCATTCCACTGTATCCTGCTAAGATTTAAATCCAACCTGTAAGGGAGAGTAAAACGCATAAGGGTGGAAATTTGTTTGTTCGAGAGACTATTATCCTTTGGAAAAGGGATCGAATATTGTATTAGATTTCGAGGTGCATTAGATTTGTAAATTTTGGACCTGTACGTAGATGAAATAATTGCAATGATAGAAAAACAGTTGGAGAAGTAAGATAACGGAGGTTAATTTAATTTGGTTGTGGTTAAAGTTAAATGATATTAAGGTTGATATAATTACGCAAAATAGTCTTAAGTAAATTTCCCGCCGAGATCGCAGACTTGTAAAACATCTTCTTTGATAATTATAATTATAAATTGTTATGCAAAATTATAATTAATTGAAAGCGTAGTGGCAGATTAAACTTTGGGTTTTTACGAAGAAACAAGAAGTACACCTCAAGATGCAGTTATATAATTTCTTTTAATTTTTTTCCGCAGGCTATTTTTTGTCATTTTTTTTATAAGGGAGATTTGAAGTTGCGAATTATGCAGGAATAAAGGTTTTTCGATATCGCGAAGGAATTTTAAATAAATGGTATGTCGCTTAAGTCTTCTATTGATCATGAAAAACGTGTTAACCATATCAAATAGCTGACTAAAACTATTGGAAATTGAACTGGATAATGGAATACAATTTCATTTAAAGGGAAAATCTATTCGATTTTTTAAATCGTACGTTAGCCGAATAAATGATTAATTTGGTTAAAATTTGCATTTTTTTCATTGGGCCAGACATAAATCAGTTGTCAAAATATCTTAACCGCTTTCCAAAATGGGAAATCGTAAATATGATAGAGACAAAGAAATATTAAATGAGATGAATTATTAGTTTCTATAACTACATTAGACGTTTCTGCTGTATCATCAAGCCATTAATTTTAAATGAATCGATAAAATCACTTCGGATCTGCTCACAGCTAAATATATTCCAATGAATTGAAAAGAAACACTTCCCTTCCCAAAACCTTCCTTCATTGTTATTATTATTTTTATTAATATACATCTCTTTTTTCCTTTTACTGTTTACGTAACATTACGTCAAGAGAATAAATAAAAAAACAAAGCAAAGTGCTTTCATTTGTAAATCCAGCAAGACAAAAGTAATTTTTTGAAGTAATAAAATTTCCAAGCAATCAAAATCCCAAATAATATTATTAACGTTCAACAAAATGTTGTTATACAGGGTGTCTTTTAAGAACTGTGATTGATTTTCGTTTTGTGCGGTTTGCTCAATGAAACAGTGTGAAATATAGGAGACTTTTCGATCTGGGACAAATGACTTTTAGTGAGGTATTTTATGATGGTTCAAGATTTGAAATTTTCCAATGTCGGATGGATCTTGCCGAAGCCAATGGACGTTGATACTTGTAGCTGGTCAGTAAGAGCTAATTTGACTCGAGACCAATTCTCTTGATCACTAATCTATACCTAAACTTTGTAAACAAAACTATGGATTAAATTTTGCCCCCAAGAAAAATGAACGTCTTTTTTCGAAATACCTACCAACGCTTTAAGCGAATTGCCGAATTCGCCTAAATTAAAGTAATTCTGCGTTTCTGCTTAAGGGCATATTTAACAACCAAAAGTTTTGGGAAATAAAACAATAAATTTCGGCTATTTTAAATGCTGTAAGTGACAGAGCAAATTTAATACAAATTATTTTATAATAACGACGTTATTATTTGCAATAATTTATATTATTTATTGATTCATTTATTTCAAATAATATTTATACATGTAGGTTTTTGAATTTAATAAAAGGTACATACGCTTCCTTCCAAGAACCGATTTGTACGTAATCATATCTTCCTTCGAGGTTTCTTTGGTATTGATAAATATTATAACTTCCAAAAGCATCTCCGTCGATGTTGAACTTCACCTCTGTATTTTGCCTTCCTAAGAGACAAAGAAAAATATAACAACTATTAGTAAAACACAGTTTCTTTCATAAATATACACACGTGGACAAAAGTACAATAAACAAAATACAATGCTATTGTCTATAAGTGTATCAATTCACTCATTTTGACAAAAGACATGTAATGAAAATTTGGCACAAAAATTAATTAATAAGAATATTTGTCTTTTGTTAACTGCGAAATATATGGCATATCAAATTCACCGATATAGAATGACATGTTGTTGATTGGGCACTTACCTATGAAGGATACGTTTCTCAGATATTTGAGCATTTCGGTGCCTTTGGGTCCTGGCCGGAGTTTGTCGCAAAAATAAAACGGATCAATTCCACACTTATCAGCTATGATATTGTGGATGGCATGTGCTGCAGCGTACACGGCGTCAACTGCAAAAAGGACACAAAACAAAAAATGCCGTGTCACAAAAGAAACTGAAACATCAAAGCTGGCTGCGACAAACACAAATATTTTTTCGGTTAACGCCCCTGTCTGAGACAAAACTGCTGCTAAACATAGAGCAAACTTTAAATTGGGAATACATTTTTACCTCGCGACTTTTGAATTTCAACTTAGATAACTTTTTGATGTATCAAAGGGATATAATTGCCTTGTTTATCTATTATATTTTTCTATAAATATTGAGAATCGAACAGTTAATTGCATTCAAGTTGGCGCATTCACCATTATTGAAACACTTTATTGAGATATGAAATAAAAAGAGTTTGATTTTAATTAGCTTGAGGATATGTTTTAGCAATTATATCGAGAAAAAATTTAAAGGTAACCACCAAACTGGCACCCAATTAATAATTTTGATGTCGGAATTTTTTGATTGAATCAAATTTTATCAAATTCGCGTTCGAATTCGCGGGTTAAGTTAATTATTTTATGTCGCTACAGTTGCGACTGATTGATTAAAACGACAACCAACTATTAAATGTCAATAACTAATTTTTTGATGTGGGAAATTGCACGCGACATTTTGCGAAATTAATTTAAATTTATTTACAAGTTAGCATATTTTATGTGCCCAAAAAATAAAACTTTTTTCTTCACTTTTTACATTCTAAATTCTTAGAAAAATATATTTTCCATTAATATAATTACTTAATTAATAAGCAGAAGCAGAACAGAACAGAAAATAATTTGTGCTACTATTGATATGACAAAAACAATTGCTGTTGCCAAAGCAATAGAAATTGTTTGATTCTATATAGTACAATTGTTTGAGTTTTATTTTCTTCGTATGGAATCTTATGTATGTATAGAAATTAATTTTATATAAAAGGATTTAAGATGAGTTAATGTGGCGTGAGAAACGAAAATCCTTGTTTCCGCATAATTTTACAAAATGAAAAGGTTTCGTCGGGATTGAAAATTTGAATGGGTTTAAAAAAGCATTTGCTTTCACTTTGGAAATTATTAATTGCTGTTAAAGATGAACATGATTAAATTTGCTAACCACTTCCAGCGTTTGATTGAATTAATCACACATTGATTAACTGGTTAAACAATCGTCTTGCCATAATTGTATTGATTTATGTCCCAGGGCCTTTTCACTGTCTCCATTATCCAAATTTGTATCGCTATAATGATCTTGTCCCATCTTGAAAATTTCAACAATAATCCTGATTAAATCAAAATAATTTTTTTTTTAATTTGGTGCTTTCCCTGTGAAATCCAATTACTTGGAGAAAGACAATAATGCTTATAATAATTGAGTTTTGGTTATTTTTAAACTGCGACAATTTTTGTTAATTGATTTCGAGATTATGGCCCTAAAATGCTAATAAAATAATAATTTATATTATAATGGATAAGTAATGACGGATAATTATTGGCGTTTTTATATGGACGGTCCATTAATTTTATATTTGTTGTTTGTTGACACGCCTGGTGCGCGCCATTGTGCAATATTTAAATTTAGATTTTGGCAAATGATGATAACGATAGGCGGAGTAACAACTGGGCAATAAAAGAAAAAAACTTTTCCTCAAATTCGATTGTAATTTATAACGTAAAGTTTCTTAACGTTTATATTTAAGTTTTGATTTTGCCAGCAGTAAACTAAATTTAACTGAAAGCATTAGCAAGCAAATAGTTTTAATAGCCATTCTCAGGTTCGCCGAGCCGATGCTATACGCCCATTCGAACAGTGGGTTATCATTGATTACTTTATTATAATTTATTAGGTGACACCCAGTATACTATTAAATAAAAAAACTTTAATAAAACAAAAATAAGTAATTGCTAAAAGCTGAAATCTGCCCCTGTATACGTAGGCGAGGAATGACAGAGACGGTCGTATTTCTTTTATTATTCATTACTTTAAATGCAGTCGTATTTTAGGGATGAAAAGTGTGGTGTATTTTTTAAAATTAAGTGGAGCAAACAATCATGAAAAAAACACTTGTGCTTGTTAATTTGTCGCCCGGTCTGTGCTAAAATTCTTTTCATGTAAGATAAAGTTTGTTAAAAAATTGCCAAAACAGCGAACAAAAAGCATTTTAATGCACAAATATTATTCAACTCGAAAACCCCTTTAAGCTTGAATGTGTGAACAACGTTCGTACGTTAGAATTAATTGTTGAATTTTAAATTAAGGCCGATATTAAAACCACTTAGCAGTAAGAGCGCATTCATTAACAAAGCTATTAATTAAATTAATAATTTAAACCGCACTAATGGTCTATAATAGATGAGAAATTGTTCTATTAAATAAATTCACCAATAAGCAAATTGAGGCGCCAAATTACACAGTTATTATTTAACCGTAAGGGAAAAATAATTAGATTAAATTTTAATTTACTGGTTGCGGACAATTTCAACAAACAGATAATCATTTGAGACGTGTGCGATTTTTCGTAATTAAATTATGAACTATCTCAAAAAGAAAATAATTAAAAATTTTAACGTTTCAACACCGAAAACTGCCTAAGTTTGATTATTAAGTATCCAACTTTTAGCTGTTCAAAGTTCACAAAATTCTCCGAATCGCCTAATTGGAATACCTGTAGTTTTCAAATGTGTCGAAATGACAATTTTAGAATTCGCAGAGACTTTCTGATATAAAGCAGGGTAGCAGCGTAATAATTAACATGATGCACTAACAAAGTTTGTAAGGCCCCGGATTTTAATCTGATGACTGTTCGCCATTTCCAGGCTAACATTTTAACATGTGACAACGCCGAAATACAATCCGGTACTTCCTTCGTTAGCGAAATAGACCGTAAGCATGACCCACGCATTCTAAACAACAATTTTGAATTATTATCTTAACTTTTGCCCTTCATCTGCTCCGCTGTCGCCAATTTTAACCAAATATCGACCACAGTTTTTCAAGCAGCTGCCACTAATGCCTCTTCGTTACATCCATACGGGACCTTTTTAGCAGCTTTTCAATTTTCAAACAGATTGAAACATAATAATTACAGCCTATCGAACAAAACTTTTAAATGCAAAATTGTTTTAGTTTGAAAATTTCGTGGTGAAAATTCATTACACCTATGTCGGTTGAAATCAATAACCATTTTTTGTTGAAACGCTTCCCCAAAATCAGTTCTGCGCAATCGATGATAAATTTTTAATTTTCTAAAGCTGTTCCAGATTTCATTACAGTTATATATCGACTAGAAAAATGTATTGCCCGTCCAACTTGAATCATTAATAACAAGACGACATTTTAATTTTCCGCCAGACATTCCTCAAATATCCTTGTTGATTTTAACTTCCTCTCAGTATCTCCAAGTTTGTTTATTAAAATTTAAAATTTTTGTGTATTCTTATTTGTTCAATCCCGTAGACGAACATTGGCAATATTTGCACTAGCACAAAAAATATTTACGAAAGTTAGTGAAACAATCATGCCCTATATTTACATTTTCATGTAGGCATTATTATTTTTAATTCTGCTTGTGTTTAATAAAATAGGTGTCTAGAAAAGGTTGTGCATACTATACTTTATCTACGACTTACACATATATGTTAAACATTTGACATCTCACAACTGTCAGTCGAATTTAACCTAACTTTTTACCAATGTATAATAAAGCTAACTTCAAAACTTGCCCAAATCGCAATAAATACACAAAATTGTAATTCCTTGACAAAGGTATTAAATAAAAGAGTTTGACGAGTAGAAAACCATAAGGTGAGTGACGTCATACTAAATCCAATATGGCGGTAGCCCCAAGATGGCGGATTACCCATTTCTTCACAACCCCCTTGACATGGGTATCAAATAAAAGAGACTGACGAGTAGAAAACGATAAGCTGACGTAATACCAAATCCAACATGGCGGCCGCCGCAAGATGGCGGATTACCTATTTATTCACAATCCCCTTGACATGGTTATCAAATGAAAGGGTTTGTCAAGCAGAATACTAATAATAATAATAATAATTCTAATTTGAATATGGCGGATTTAACTAACAAATAATTAACTCAAAATATTTGGTTTTTTAAAGCTATAATTTTTTATGTTGGTGTTATATTCTTATAATATTATCGACATGAGCACAAGTTGGAGTTGTTTTGTTAAAAAGATGCGCTTTTCAAATTGCTTTATGCCTTCGAAAATTGAAAAGTGCAGCAAAATAAAACGGGCGGAGAAATTCTTGAATCCCTCTCCTTTTATAAAACTTTTGTACTGAGTAATACATTGTAGTGAAAGCTAACGACTTGTACCTACCTGGAAAGGGAAGAATAACAATATTTGAATACATATAATGGGTACTCTAATAAATTAGAGCCTTGAAGACAGCTATATATGGTGTTTTTATTGGGATGCGTTATAATTTTGAATGCGTAGCTGCAGAAAAATAAGTAGTATATTTTATATTCATGCAATGGCGCGAGCTTATCAAGAAAGTAAAATAACGATTGTAAAATGGTTGAATTATCGTTATCATTTTTTAAAGCGACACTATAAAATATTATTTTATACTTTCATAATGTATACAGAATATGTTGTCACAATTTATACAATACATTCAAAACGTGTCAAATTATACGTTGCGCCAAGAATTTTAAGCATTTTCCTTGAGGAGAATAAAAATAAATTGAAGGAAAATAATGCAGAAAACTTCTCTCAAATCTCAATATTTGACCCCACAAAAAATATCCATTTATTTCGCCGTGTATTTCATGCCTAAACGCATGTAGAAAAAAGTTAAACTGTTAAAGTTTTTGCATATTTCCGAACTAAAAAGATTTAATACAAAAAGCTTCGCAGGACAGATGTGAGTTTATAGCCTTAAACTAGAATAGCAATTTCAAGGTTTCCTTGGCACGTTTGCAAGATTTATTTTTATAATTAGGTACTTTTTTTAAATTATTTATTTATTACGAGTTTTTTTAATTACGTTGAATACCAAGAAGAATTTAAAGCCAAATGTTTAATCTAAAAGTAATTTAATATGTGTTCTGTATGTCATATTTATTATTCCTTGAAGGGTAAGAAAAATAAAAGGATTTTATGAAGTCCTAGAATTTGTATAATAAATTTGCGTGGACTTACCGACAAACGGGACGAGGCCCTCTTGCTCATAGTCGGAAATAATCTCTTGTCCAGTACATTTCCTCTCCGACTGATTATCAAAGGTGCATTTGTTATGCTGACTCCAGAATTCGCGGAACCATCCATTTCTGCAATTGATAACGAGCGACGAGTTGCCGAAATGTTGCATGTTGGTGCCAGAGCTCGCATTGCACGGGTCGCTCTCCATTCGCGGTCGTAGCGAGCGATAGTAATCGTCGAAATCTGAAACAAAAGCAAAACCCCACTATAGCTCAGCAATCCGGCAACAAAAAGCCCATTTAATTTAAGCCAGATAAATTGCCTATTTTCGATAAATTCTGTTTTGCTAATAGGTACAGTCATGAACATATTTCCATGTCACAAGCTGTACCAATTTTATTCAGGCACTAACAAAATCACAAAGGGATAATATTCGTGGCGTAAAAAATGTGTGGCTGTGCATAAGTAAGAAAGAGATAGAAATACGCTGGTAGGACACAGCTTCAAATAACTTTGACTATCATAATTGTTTTCAAAAGCAGTGTATTACACAGTTAAGCTTATCCTACATAATCCAAACGTATTGCTAAAATTTTAAGTAATATATCCCGGACGCATAAAAATAAAAATCCTGCATAGCTTAAAATTAATGGCCTCTGAGGATTCTTTTGAATACATACAGTTTATTGATTAATAGTAGTCCCTTTTTTCATACATATTCATTTAGGAAAATCTCGGTATCTTTTTCGTTTTAAATTGGAAAAAAGACTTTGTATACGTATTGATTTAATTAGTTTATTCATATTGGCAGTTCTGTTGGTCAATCGCGTGCCGTTACATTTATAGCAAGGCATTTTTTAATCAAATCAAATTGGTGTACCCTATATATTTATATTTAGGTTGAGAAGGTGATTTAACTTGTAATGTAATTTTCAAAGAAATAAAAACAAAAAATACTTATGTTCTCGTTTGGCCCGCGGTCAGGCTTTTTACCTTTCGCAATATAAAATAATTAAATAAGAAAAAATCTGCATAAAATATTACAGTGACCTTGGTTTATACACCATAAAAAGGAACATCCTTTTTTATCTGTCTTCAAGTATCAGAAAATCCTGCAAAATTTACTGTGGCTTGTAAATCCTTTGTTCTACGCAAATGTATATATTACGTAAAGGATTTAGGATTTTCGCAATACAACTGGACCACTAACTTTTTAGAAATATTAATCCGCCAATTTAACGTTGATATGGTATGGTTTTTATTTTGAAAACTTTAATTATTCCGCTTAAAACTAATATTCTAGGTTGTTTAAGTAAAATTTAGCTTCCAAGTTCCTGCAAACTTAGTTTTTAACTTTGCCATCAAATAATTAAATATTCTTGCAAGATGGCGGAAGCTGCAAAATATACAAGGAGATTTTGCTACAGAAATGATCCTCATCTAAGCAACAATTAAAAGAGCATTTTTGGTACGTATACAGGGATTTATCTTCCATTGATTTTTACACACACAACATAAGGTTTCAAGAAATTTGACCATTAAAAACACACAAGAAGTTTTTCGATGAATATTGTGGTAGCAATAGCTTTGAATGTCCCAGTGGAGCATGTCCGACCGAAATGTCGGACATAATCGCTCGCTAAGTGTATAATAAAAGAGCCATCAGTTCTGTTAAGTGTCAGACAGTCATGCGGCGGGCTTTCCCTCGAGAAAACGGACATCAACTCCGGCATAGACGACCCCTGGTGTTGCGGTTACCCATCACACTGAATTATCTACCTCTAAGGAATATTGCGACCGATATGCATTAATTAAAAAAATCCTGTGCATTGGACATGATCTATTGTGGTTCAGTGAAAAAAAACTACACCAAATGATAAACGATGGAATCAATTGCAGCAAATGCACGATCATATTCATTCGGGCATGTCGCTGACAGAAATAGCGCTAGTTATATTAATAAATCTTAGAAGTTTTTGGTATAATGCGAGATAAATCCTTGGAATAAACTCTAAGCATGTGCATTTAGACAATTTAGCGCCTCCGTTTCATGCTTTTTTGTATGATGTACGAAGTAATCCAAAAGTGCTTTTGTTAACATACACTGAGAAAAAATTGAGTTTTTGACACTATTTTGTTTTGTAAAAAAAAACGTACCAGTGTAAGTTAAGGCGGTTTATACAGCCCGTTCAGAGTAAAACCGAATGTAGGGAAACGTATCGGGCGTGGCCTCGCCTCCCTCCAACGCGCGTCACAGTAGCTTGTGTGATAAACGACATGACGAAAGGTCGAGCAGGTAAGACGACCTTAAAAAGGCTATTTGCTTAGCTACTGTGTCGCGCGTTGGAGGGAGGCGAGGCCACGCCCAAAACGTTTTCCTATATTCGGTTTTACTCTGAACGGGCTGTATAATAATTGTACTCTTTAGTGTAACACTATTTATCAGTGCCTGCAATATTACTTTTTATTTCGTTGGAAAATGGTTCGAGCGTTAAAAAAAACAATTTTACGTCAAAAATCCTAATATTCATCAAAATGCTAGTTTGGGACGTCCCGTGGATCTGATAACGAGCCAATTTCGAGACCTTGTAATAATACTTAATAATAATTCAGAAGTTCCCTCCTCGAACAATTAGGCCATAAAACTTTTCAAAAACAAAATTAGCTTCGATTGTTATCTAACAAGTTGAAAAAGTCCGTTAATTTACTTGAAATAATTTTGCTACTTTAGTAAATCAATGATGATGCAAAAATAAACCGTAAAATTTAATCCCCATTCATTTGCATTAAATGTAACTTTTGATATATTTAATTAAAACTTTAATACATGGTGCAAAATGAAATAAAATAATTTATTTAGCACTCTATAAACTTTAATTAAATTTAGAGTTTGTTGTGATATAGGAATTAATTGTTTATTTTTTCGCGTTGTATAAATTTGAAGCCTGCGAGCTTTGCTCTTGAAAATTTGCTTTAAGTTAGTTGTAGAGTCCCAAGTAAACACAAATTACCATGAAGAACAAGAAAATCAACTGGTAGTGCTTTTAAACATTTCCATGAGCAACGACACATGCATTGATTTATTACCCACACGTGAGATAAATTCAACTTTGCCAAGAGTTAATTGTTGAAGTTGTGTTCCTTTATAGCTCGGCCCAAAGTACTTTGGGGTTTTTGCCACCCTACATTAATTTATTTAACCAAACAGGTTTATTGTTAATTTCCGGCAATGTGTTCATAAGTAAATGTGGTAAAAATATATTGGTTAGGTTTGGGGTAAATTGACCTCCATATATCAATATGAGTTATGTCCCTGTTGGGGCAATTAAGATGGAGAATTCAATTCCACCGCCAGAGATTTTTTGACTTACCCGCTTTTCTCTTTTTTCAAGCGATATTTGCATAATTTTACGCTCAGAATAATTTATAGATTTAATTAGTTCCTTTCTTTTCTAAATTATTTTTGTAACTTTGTATTTATTTTTTACAGATTAAAGCAAAGTTTTTAATTAAAAAGTTAGCATATTGAGAAAACAGCATAGTTAGTATTTTCAATATGAAACTGCGTTTTGAATTTAAACACCGCCATAAAACTAAGAGAAAAGTAATTACGTCTGCACATCTGAAATCAGAAATATTTCTTTTCCAGTCGATAGCAATTGACAGTCAGCACACAATACAAAAAATAAAAAATCCACTTTAGTAAGCAGCTACTTCAAAAAATACCACATTTGTTATTTTAGACAGTTTGTCCCTAAAAACACAAAGTGTCGTAACCCGCATTTAGTTAATTTTACAGATGAGCAGCAAACAAAAATGGGGTGTATTTAATTATTTCCCCTCTGAGAACCCCCTATCCCCAATTTGCGAAAAATATAAGTCATAACACTTGGTGTTTTTAGGGACGTATTAGGTATTACAAATTTCTGTATTTAAAAAAAAATTGAATCCCTTTTAAAAGATGAAAATTTATTTTTATTTTCATACGTAGCACATACAAAGTGAGTTTTAAGTTGATTAACAATTATTTCAAGTAAATTTTTAAAAACTAAAAAATAAGAGATAAAACGGCAAGCTTTAATTAAATTTTATTTTTGAGTATAAAAAGTGGCAAAAATGGCGAATGATCCGGGATTAATGTAATTTTTCATAATATATTTTTCCTACTCCCACCTTTAAAACGCCCTTTCCATGACACTAAGTGACCTTTTAAATACACATTGACGCCATTGGCTTTATGGCGCTTTAGTCAAGGGCTGAAGTTATAACTATAGTTTTAAGTTAGTTGACAGTTGTCAAATGTCATACAATCGTTAAAATAAAGTGCCTTTCTTGTAAAATAATACTAAATGTTAAAATTATTTCGTTATCTCAATACAAAAATACAAAAGTATTAAATAGTTTCAAAACGTCAATATTTGAAAAGTTTATATGAACATTGTACTGACCTTTTAATTTCGCCGGCAGTAAACTATAACTTAAATTCGGGCACGGACTCATAAAACATTTTCTTTACTTTCACTGTGAAAAACTGTCAATTTTCAAGAAATACATTTCGATTTATAACCTTTATAATCTGTGTTTATAAAATAAAAAAATTTGACATTTGACGGTGACACACAAATTTCACTATTGTTTCATAGATGGCGCTCTATACAAATTTTTGATTTAAATCATTTTATGATAATAATAAGTATTTGTATGCACCACGTTTATAAACTTTTCTATACACTCATTAATTTAATCACTCGCTCGCAAGCTCGCTCGTGTATAAAATGGCGTTTATCAAACTTGATACATAATATACTATTTCATATAAACAATACCAAAAAACCCTTGTTTTATGAAATTTTGCATTTAAAACAGAATTTTGTTGAATAAAAATCACAACAAAATTGATTAAAAAATATTTAATTTATGAATAGAGATTTTAATAATCCCACGTTTTTAATAAACTTACTCAATCACATTCCTACTCTATATGAGCATAGAGAAGCAATTTTTATTTTCGTTTGAAATTTCTTATATTTTATATTTTTTAAATAATTAAAAATGACTTAAATATGGTTAGCTAGATAAAGCGCTTTATAATAGAATATAAAGACTTTAGTTCATTGTTGCAGCGTTTCGTTTTATGTCTGTTTTTATTAAATTTATAATGTTTTTAATCAAACTAGAACCTTAACAAAAACATTTAAAAATTGCTTTAGGGCTTCATAATATTTTATGGTTTTTGTTGTATTTATACAGTATGTTTTAATTTAATTTTTAAATTAAAAACAAATTCTCAAAGTTTTAATTAATTATGCTTTTTATTATTGCTTTTTAGTCATTCGTTAACTATCTTGCATATATCTATATATAGAGCTGCATATGTTGGTAAAACATTTATATATATTTTAAAGTATTTGCTGGAATGGAAAGAAGAAAAAGATTAATTCTCGGATTTTCGTTTCAAAAAGTAAATTTATATTTTTGCAGTTATCTCGAATGACGCAAAAACATAACCGGATGACACATAACACTCTCGACGGCAAAACTTGGAACGGGGAAGGAATTAACTTTTGTCACGATTGTACCTACTTTTACGTTCCGGCAATTTTGCCTCACACATATCTATAACCTCGATATCTTCTTCAACGCTTTTTTTATTCGCCGACGGATTTTCCAATTTTATAGTTTAATTTTCGTTTAATTGTTATTGGGCGATTCCACCGTCATCTCATCAGTGCCGGGCAGCCATGTGATATGGAGCACATACGAGGTGTGTTCAGAAAATATCAGGAATTTTCGTTTTTTGAAACAAATATTTATTTATTCGTCTACATTAATCTTGTCGCCTTCAAAATATTCCCCATTGGATATTATGCACATGTGCAGCTCTTCTTCCAATACTCGAAACACTTCTAAAACTCGATCTTTGGGGTAGCCTTTAGTTCTTTCAGCGATGCGCTTTTAATGTCACCTATGCTTGCAAAACGACGGCCCTTTAAGGTTCTCTTTATTTTTAGGAATAGGAAAAGGTCAGACAGAGGCATGTCTGGCGAATATGGAGACTGGAGCATCATTACAGTATTGTTTTTCGCCAAAAATTTAACAATTTTAGAACAAATTTTTCTGCCACGCGTTTCATACCCAAAACATTCAAAAAAATTTCATGGGATGAGCCAATCGATATACCAACATCATCAGCGACTTCTCTGATGGTTTATAACCATTTCTTCCACTTTTTCCATGTTTTTATCGGTTGTTAAGGTGCTTGTGCGTTCGGGGCGTTCGTCATCTTCAACGTCTTCAAGGCCATCTTGGAAACTCTTATACCACTTGGAAACTCTTGTTTTACTTATAGCAGACTCAATATAGGCCTTTGTTAACATTTCACAGGATTTATTTCATTTTTTAAGCAAAATTGGATACAAATTCTTTGATCCATTTCTTTTAACGAACGAGAAATCGCCGAGCTCATAAAACACGTCTAACCTTAGCGGCTGCCACAGACAAAGTAAACAATGAAAACAGCTAAAGTTTTTATCATACTTCGGGGGCATGTATACCAACATAATAAAGAAAATTTTATGACAACCGGACCCTCTGAACCCGCGAAATTTAACAATTTCCGTTATTTTCTGAACACCCCAAGTAGCACAACTGGTTAAATTTACGTTCTGTCTGGTTAATTTTCTTAAGTTATATTGTACTATAACGTTAAATTAACCTTAAATTAACGTTATTTTATAATAAGTGGGGAATAAAAATCATGATTAATTTAACGTTATGTTAAGTAAATTTAACTTCTTGGTTAATATACCTGTCGGTTAAAAAAAGTTAATATTTGGTAATTTTTGGTTAATTTTACCCTTTTTTGACTGCTTCTTAACTCTTTAGTCAACTTAAACTAAAGTGAAAGAACCAACCGTTTTAAATTAAAATTTTTGATTATTTTAACTCATATTTTAAAACTTGACATTTTTGCCTGAAGATGGTGTATAACCGAAACTAGTCGCAAATAAAGAATTTCACACAAGCAAGGAAGTATACATTATTTTTAAAAATTAAACATTCCATAAACCTTGCTAAAAATGGATTACCAAAACCTAATGAAATTTATTTATAAAGATGCTTTATTTCTGGTACCTATTTAAGTTCCTAACATAGTATGTATTATTTTTCTATGTAGTTAACAATGAAAACTGCAAAACCATCACTTTTTGACGAGTTGGTTGATTAACGTTAATTTACCATTTAGTTAAAATACATTTGGTAAAATGCAACTTGTTGGTTAAAAAATATAGTCAAATTAACCAAAACTGTGGTTAACTTACCAAAAGGTTCAATTTATAGTTAATATGAACCAAAATATAACAAGAAAATGAACTACTCTTTACCAGTTTTATTGGTTAAAATTTAAAGTTAATATAACATTATTTAACTTAAAGTTACAATTAACTAAAAATTAACCATTTATTTAACTTGGAAGTATTGTTTCACTCATCAGTTAGTTTTAAAGTTAAATTATAGTAAAAAATAACTTTTAAATGAACTCTTAAGTAATAGCAACTAGTTGGTTAATTTAAGGGTTTTTTTTTAGTTTATAATAACCGTAAAAAAACTAATTGGATAATTCAACTAATTGCTTAAAAAACCAAGTAAAAAAAACGTCATTTAACTTAGATTTCGGATAAATTACTTATAATACTAGTTATTTAACAGTTTGTGCACCTCGTATGTACATAAATAAAATAAAGAAAATTTTTACCTTTGATGGCATTACGATGGGGAAGGATGGTGATGGCGCCTTCTGCAGCAAATTCTTGATCTCTGACTGGATGAACTTTGGCTCCCCAGGAGTCGCTGCCGATCCAAAGGAAGTGGCCGGTTTTGTTGGCGCGAATAGTGGCTTGCAAAAGTTTCCTGCAACAAAAATATCGACTCGATTTGATTAATTGATGAAACCCGGAAAGCAATATTTTCCTTTTCGGTCACGTTCACGTTAATATTAATGAAAAGAACAAACTTATTTGAGGAAAAAAATATACGGAACATGGAAATAAATTCGATTAAATGAATATTTGAATGTTAAAAGGAAAAACAAAATTAATCAATAGATTGAATGTGTAATAGTTTTGAGTTACGTAAAATTTTTTCTTTGTTTTTCACGGGATGAATGGGGATACATTTTTATGGGCACGGCCTTGGAATATTATGAACCTTGACATTGCAAGGTAACTAGACTTTTTTTATAAGGTTTCCCATTGAATTTGTGCAGTTTGATTTTTAATTAAATTTTATGACTTTCTTTCATCAAATTATTCGGCGTTAAAATGCAAAAGGCATCGTTGTTATTGATTTATCTAACCAATTTACTTAAAAAAGAATTCCCTTTTACTAGTTCTCAGACTAGTTATTCTCTTTCCCCCTACACTTTAGTTTTGCCTAATGGCTTATCATTGATTCCAACTGCTAATACTTAGTCACTATGGGAACAAAAAACAAGCACCCACCAAAACTGATATCAATTAATTTGTGCAAAATCAGGGAAAACGACGTGACGTGACGTGATTGTTTGGTCCGTCGAGCAATGTCGAAATATTCAATTAAACTTTATTTTCTTGAAGCGCTTTAACTAATTTTCAAGTAATTTAAATTTGTTTCTAGGGGAGCGTCTATTATCACCTGCAGCTCCTATTTGCCGCCGAAATCGAACTGCTTTCGTTGGGAAATAAAACTTAAGGCTAATTTGAGTAAACAACTCGCAACTGGGAAGTGTTCTATAAATTCTCTACGACAATATTGACTTGTCCTTAAAAAAAATCCGCTTCAATGAATAACAAAATTATATATTATTTTTAGTCAGATTTCTCCAACCGGCTTTATTTTGATAGCTTGTTAAGAAAACTTTTCGACAAATATTTTTATGCTACGTCATAAATAACATTCGTAAAACAGCGAATGTTACGGTTAAAATTTTGCAAATTTTACTGTTTTAAATCAAATATTATATCTTTAATATAGCTGCCATTACTTTAAATAAACCATAAAATTAAATCTATATATACAGGGTGAGTTCTAATCTTTTTAACAAAATTCATCCCGGCGCATCCGCCATTTTTGAAAGTGTTAACGGCACCCCCAACTCAAAAGTTATTATTATAAGGATGGATTAAATATTCGTTTATTTACTGAAAATTGAATTCAAAATAATAATTCATAGAAAAGGCACTAAAATTTCTGTAAAATCGATTTTACTCGTACGTTCGACAAAAGAGCTTGATTTTCCTCTATAAAATTGTTTAGTATGTGCGACTTAACGATACTAGACTTTTTTTATTTCGAGGTAAAAAATGAATAGTCCAAACACAGTCTTTATTTTATTATGCGGTCATAATATTTCTATTTCGCAAATTAAACTGTCCGGAGCAGTCTAGACATGCGGTCGTGCGTTTTATTAAAACTCGGCCCACTTAATTATAAAACCATCATAATGTACGCAAAAAAATGATTACCTTGTGTTATCCTCGTCGACAAATAAAACCACCGCTCTGGCAGTTTTCTGCAGCAATCTCTCGATGATCCTGTCGAAATCCTCGATTCTGGAGTTCCTTAGGATTTTTTCAGTCACAGCAATACAAATCCCCGCGTCGATTGAGGATGAAATGAATGAAGCAATACCCTGAAAGAATAGTATATTATATATTAAGTTTGATAAACACGAATTTAATTTATGAAATTAATGAAAAGTTTATACACGAGGTGCATACTACACTTTTTCTACGACAAATACTTATTATTATCTTAAAATGATTTAAATCAAATATTTTTTTAGAGCGCCATCTATGAAACAATAGAAGAATCTGTGTGTCACCGTCAAATGTCAAATTTATAAACACGAATTATAAAGGTTATAAATCGAAATGTATTTCTTAAAAATGGACAGTTTTTTACAGTGAAAGTAAAGAAAATGTTTTATGAGCACTTTACAGTGGAGTCCGTGCCCGAATTTAAGTTATAGTTTACTGCCGGCGAAATTAATGTTCATATAAACTTTTCAAATATTGCCATTGAGAAACTATTTAATACTTTTGTATTTTTGTATTGAGATAATAAAATAATTTTCACATTTAGTATTATTTTACAAGAAAGGCACTTTATTTTAACGATTGTATGACATTTGACAACTGTCAACTAACTTAAAACTAACTTCAGCCCGTGACTAAAGCGCCATAAAGCCACAACTTGTCAATGTGTATTTGAAAAGGTCACTTAGAGTCATGGAAACATGTACGATAATGGTCATTTTAAAGGTGGGAGTAGAAAAAATATTTTTTACACACTTGTACCAACTAATCAAGGAAGTCGATTTTAACCTAATTTGGTGATGCAATAAGATTGTAATTTATTTAAAATGGCCGGTAAGTGACGTCATACTAAATCCAATAGGGCGCCCGATGTCAAATAAAAGGGTGGGATTAATAAATAATAAATACAAATTTTAATAAACTAAATAGGCTTAAACATTTATTAGTAAAACAAACAATTTTTTAATAATAAATGTAGAATTTGTAGAAATATTATTTAAATTTTATCCTTTGTATAAATTCTGGGAAATAATTATTTACAGCTTTAGAGTAGAAATTGTGGAAATATTATATTTTGTATAAATTCTGAGAAACAGTTATTTTAATAAAAAAGTACAAATTCAAAAAATTCATAATTCCAACTAATTTCATATAAAGTTTATTTTAAAAAACAAATTAACGTGTTTACATATAAATGAAAACACCCCCGTAACTTTTTTATTTGATACTTGATTTTAATTAGCAAAGGCCCAAAAGATAAATAATAAAAAACTCTATCCAAGCTATAAAAAATATTTTCAATGTCACTTCACAGATGCCTACTACAACATTTTTTCCATGTCAAAATTCGGACAAAATTATTAGGGTAGTTTTGTCGAAAAAAAATAAGTACGCCACTGAATGGGTACAAACCAAGTTTCATTAAAAACGAACAATTAATAACTATTTTAGACAAGTTTTTTTTTTAAATATTTATAACGAAAAATAAAACACATTTAGAAGGTTTAGGAGAAAAATAAGTACGCCACTGAACGCGGCATACTTCAGAATGGGTACAAACTTAATTTCATCAAAAATTAACTATTAAAACTATTTCAGAAAAGTTTGTTTTACTAGAGGTGACTAAGAACCAATTTATCAGTGTCGGAAGTTAAAAAAATATTCGATTTTTTTTAATCACCCTAGGTGTGTTCAGAAAATAACGGGAATTGTTAAATTTTGCGGGTTCGGAGGGTCCGGTTGTCATAAAATTTTCTTTATTATGTTAGTATACATGCCCCCGAAGTATGATAAAAACTTTAGCTGTTTTCATTGTTTACTTTGGCTGTGGCAGCCGCTAAGGTTAGACGTGTTTTATGAGCTCGGCGATTTTTCGTTCGTTAAAAGAAATGGATCAAAGAATTTGTACCGTAAACGCGGGTGGCTTTGGCTCACTTTCAAACTTCAGCTTAAAATTTTTGTGGTTTTAACAATCATAAACATTAAATTTTGTATACCAAAATTTGAGTCTTGAGTTGCTCTTTCATAATAACTATGTTATAATATTACATAGGGCTGAGTTTCAAAAATAAACATTAAAAACTGGGTGTGCAAAGTTACCCCCTGGTTGCGGGTTACTTTGTCTCACAGTGTTTTTTCAGTATAAAATGAATGTAATAGTATATTTTATTTTTATTAGACACGTGTTAGCAGCGACATATATCTATTGCAAGGGATTACCAATAAAAAAAATAAAAAAATCGACCTGTAGTTAACCAAGGATCATCATTCCAATGGATTGCGCATAATATAGAAATTGTAACGCGTGTATTTCTAAGAGTTTTGCACTGATATGATATATACAATTTTAAAGTGTAATAAATCCCATTTCTTTCTTTAAAACACTGATTTTCCTGTAATATAAACTCAATAGAATCGCTCAATTGACAGGTTTAGACCAACAAATTATAAATGTTAATTTTATCGAGCGCGAAAAGATTTTTTATAAATGGGTTAAAGTCACCCGCGGGGTGCAAAGTCACCCGTATTTACGGTATCCAATTTTGCTTAAAAAATGAAATAAATTCTGTGAAATGTTAACAAAGGCCTATAGTGAGTCTGCTATAAGTAAAACAAGAGTTTACAAGTGGTATAAGAGTTTCCAAGATGGCCGTGAAGACGTTGAAGATGACGAACGCCCCGAACGCACAAGCACATTAAAAACCGATAAAAACATGGAAAAAGTGGAAGAAATGGTTAGAAACCATCAGAGAAGTCGCTGATGATGTTGGTATATCGATTGGCTCATCCCATGAAATTTTTTCGAATGTTTTGGGTATGAAACGCGAGGCAGAAAAATTTGTTCTAAAATTGTTAAATATATATATCCTTGGTCTTGATGAAACAAAATAAAATGGATTATCCCTTGACTAAGGATGTTTCGGGCATTTTGTGTTTAATAAAACAATCATGATCGGCATTTTAAAAAGTTTTAGACAATTACGTTTGGTTTGCTTAGGATAAATTACGACCAAGTTTATAGGTCTCTATCGGACGCTGGCGATTCGAAATAAGATTAATAACAATTTATTCACCAGATCTATTTTAATTTATTTTATTGCCGAGAGATTCCCGCCAACTTAATTAGCCATCGCTAAAAAACTTTTAAAAGACTTTCCGAATTTATTTATATTCTTCTGAAATCGTGGATTAATTATAATTCATAACAATCTGAACGGCTGGCTGAAAGGAATACTTAAAATCTTTTACCTGATTTAAAGTTCATCGATTCAGCGGAATTTACATATTTATAAGACGAATATAATTGCACCAAATCTGTGAAGTTGCGAATTAACTTTTATCACATTCAAAAACTTTTGCTGACGTAAATTTAAAAACGCCTTCGTTAAATGCAATTTAAACTGCGCACTTTGCCGCCTGCCTGTTTTTGTTTACTTCTTTTTTGACACCAACAAATATTGTTTCGCATACCTTTGCTTTCCCCTGTAACAAATTGCTCGCGTTAAAAGTTTGCGTTTTGTCAAATAGTTCTCTATCACAAACAAATTTTAACTGCTTTAATAAATGGTCTGTTTAAAGTTGGCGCGCTAAGAGTAAACAGAAGTGACGTCACAGCTAATGTAAATTCGACACCGTGAAATTAGCCGTCTAAAAAGTCGATATGAGTGATGGAGAGTGGCGTAATAAATGAGTGGCTAAGAGATAAAAATAAATCGCCCTTAGATAACATTTGGTTGTATTCAAACAAAAGTGGCTAGCTGAAAACTGCCCTTAAAACCGGCTAATTGAAAACTGCACTTCAAAGTAATGTGGGTAAATGACACTGCCCAAATTTCAAAGAAAATTGGTTAATTGAAAACTGCACATTAATAGTATATTAAAGAACTAATGTCATAAAAAGTTATTTTGTCGCACGCGGACAATTTATAAAACGACCGATGAAGGAGCGAGTTTTGTAATGGACGAGTGCGACAAAAGGTCTTATGACATGAGTTCTTTATGCTATTTTATCTATTTTGCAAAAATTCTATAAAAAAATTAATTTTATACCTTAAATTTAATTTTGTCGAATTTTACTTTAGATAGTTGGTATCACAGTCATTGGTTTGACAGTTAATGTCAAAATCTATTCGCCATGCCGTCCTTAATTTAATTATTTACAATAAAAAGAATTTTCTTTGGTGTTAAACAAAATTTATTGCCACAAAAGTCTCGTAAGTACTAGAAAAATTATTAAAATATTATAACCAATAGGCAAAATATTATGCTGTTTAAAGTATAGCCAACCTATAAAATCAAAATTTTGGGTGGGATAAAGTATCTCATTACAGCACCGAAAGCGGTGTTATAATGAAGTCATTATGAACGCAAAAAGATAAATTTATTGAATGATTGAAAACTGCCCAGCCATTTAATTTATTTAAAATCGGGTAAATGAAAACTGCACATTAAAGTAATGTTTCGGGTAATTGAAAACTGCTTAAATTCGAACAAAATTGGATAATTTAAAACGGCCCTAAGATTTAATGTATTTCAAACAGGGTAATTAAAAACTGCACATTAAAATTAATGTTTGGAGTAATTCAAAACTGACCAAATTCGAAGAAATTGTAGTAATTTATTTTAAATAAAATTTTCCAATTTCCCAGTTTCCCGCGTACATAAATACATACATTTTTAATTAAAAGGATTAATAATAAAGTTATCTAGGCAAAAACAAATACAGATTAACTTTAGCAAAGTTGATGAAAGTGGGTTAAACAGTCTTTTCTACAGATTTTTTTGCCAACAAGTTTATGTGTGTGTTTTCGAAGTTCTTTGATAGAAAAAGAGTTATATAAAGGTCCGTTACATTTTGGAACCGTTTGTTAAAATGGAAGAAAGAATCTTGCAGTAAACTATTGTTGATTTAGTAATTTCGAAGTTATAAAATTTTGTATAGGTATGTTATCTTGCTCATATTTCACTTCTAATATACGGAAATCGTGTCCGGTAGAAATTGGATAATAAATCTATGGCTCATATGTTGCATTTTTTTTTTAAACACGATCGAAAGCATTTTTTATATTTTTTTCTTCTAAATTAGGCAAATCTGACAGACAGCATTTAAGTTGGTTGAAAAGGATCTGATAGATTTAAAAAATCATCATTACATTCTTATACCCATCTTATATAAATTCGCACAAAAGCGCACAATTTGGCAATACAAAAGAAGGCAATTTTATAATATTAAATAAATCATCCTGTTTCCTGGGTCCTCGCAAATTTTTAGACAGATATGTGATACTTACAAGGTACAGTGTCGTTTGGAATAATTTATTCGGCGTGTTATACATATTTATTTCATACCTGTTTTTCCATTCTGTCAAAAATGATGAATAGCGCGCACATAAAATAACAGTTTTATGCAATTTATTCCTCAACTAAGTCATTTTCCTCTGGCAAAAAAATAATCCCACACACACACACACCAATTTATCAATTTAATAAAATGCAAATTAATCCGGTAAATATTTTATTTACGACCATTCCGCAAATTGTAAATAAACAAATAAATAGCCGTATAAATCAACAAAATATTTAAACAACCAACAGACATTTATTTTTAGCCCCGTGCGATTCAACCCCTATTTATTATTCTATTTCTATGATCCAGTACTAAAAGCTTCGTTGCAAATCAAAGAGCAGCGATTTATTGGCATATTAAACCCGGAATCATGAGGTCCAAAAGTTGTGTAAAATTGTTAACAATTTATATTTCTTATTAAATTGTATCGCATTTTTATTGCAAGAAAAATAGGATTTATGTCAGCCTTAGCAAGTTTATTTTACTTTAAAACAATATTGTTTTAGTATTATTGTATGTGTTCTTTGTTCATAAGAAAAGGAAAAGTTTGAAAACTATATCGACTGCGCCATGCTGACATATCTAAACTATAACCATATCAAAATTATATAATACTAAATACGTTTAGTTGATGACTGTTATTATTTAAGCGCTAATTACAAGGTGCAAATCTATAATAAAATCAATTTGATTGCCTTTGAAGGTAATTACAGTTTTATTGAAGGCAAAGTTTGTAACTAAAACTGTAAAGTTTTTGCGGCCGTTTGCAAATAATTTATTTTGCATTTAATTAGTTCGAATAATGGATCACCATTCTCATTAGAGCGTGGCATATGCATCCGCAAACTTTGTAGCAATTTTCAATAAAAATTTTACAGGGACATAACATTAATTATACAGCGAAAACGCGACCCAAAATTTAACAGCCGCGTAAAATTAGCCTACAAGATTACTAATGTCATTGGAATACATTTTAATTAAAAAGTGTTTTTCTCGTCTCGAATGCTGTACACGCGGAATTTTTGTTTAGATGGTTATTTCCGCAAATCAGTGGTCAGTCTAGTTTATTTCCGTAGTTTGAAGCCCATGCAATCACATATAGGAAATAAGAGATTTGCTTGTTTGTTTTATTTTAGGTTCATTCACTGACACATTAACATCCAAATACTGTTTTTTACCGTCATCCAAAAACAATTAGAAGTTTATGAGGGACGAATAAAAATATCGATTTGAAATTTAAGTCTGTTTTTCTAAAGAAAAGTGACATCAACTTTGTTATTTCAAATAGAACAACCCCTATATTTTTACATTTTTAAATTTTGTTTGAAATTTTGAGTAGATTCTTTACAGCACTTTCTAAGATATTTTGACCTTTTAAAACATTTTTTGTAAGGTTTAAGGAGTAATAAGGTTTACTACTTTACGCCAGTAGTAGGCAACCAATGTTACAAGACTGAAATGCCTTCCATCTCGTCACCGAGCCGAGCTCTATATTTAAATATATATTTATTGAAAATTTGTTATTTGACAAATCAATACATATTCAAAGTTCACTGGAGTTGAAGTTGACAGAGTTTGTTTAAATGATATTTTTTATGTTTATTTTCGTTTTATATATGTATATTAATGGTCAAATAAAATTACATATTTTACTGTATAAACGAGTAATTTCATAAAATACACATACGTATAATATGTTAAATTCTAATTACCAAATAATTGGATGTTAATGGTATCACGTAGTTGTTTTTAATTAAACCCCATGGCAAATGTAAATTTATTTATTGACTAAAGCACAAATATTTCTTATACATGTCAAAGATTTAATTGGCTTTGTACGTGCGATGAATGGAAACGGCACTAATTGCACTCGATGCTGTTTTGTTAAATCGAATTTTTTCGTTGTGGATTATGTCCCGGGACACATCCCAATTAATCCTGCCAAGCATTAAGGTGATTATTGCATTAATTCTGATTAAAGCGACACATCGTATAACTTAACGCGGTCCCTTTGTAAGGGCCAGGCTTAAGCAATGCTACCCGAAATATTTAGTATCGCGTTAGAAGGGAATGATGCCTATCAATACGGCCCGTTCGAACAGTTTGTCCTCACAATAGACCGACTTCTTATTGTTATCAAAACAAGAGGAAAAATTCACGAAGTTTTGCGTCTTTCTGAAAGATAGCAATCTTTCCATCTTCTTATCTGTTGTATTTGTTTTGCTTTGGATATACTGTATTTTTGGAGCTAAGAAGGCCTACTTATATACTAAATTTTATTGAAAAATAATAAGTAGGAACGATTTTGTAGCCAAATTAAAACATTTTTGTCACGAATCTAATTCTAATTAAATGAGTGCCTAGAAAAGTTTATAAACTAGTTGCATTCTATGACAAATACTTAAAATTATCTAAAAAATAATAAAGAATGTTTTATAGGCACTGCACACAAAATTTTTAACGCTATATCAGTTAAATCTAGTTAACTACACTACTACGGCGAAATCAAAAGGCCAGTACAAACGTGTGTGTATGTATATGTATGACATTTGACATCTGTCAACTAACTTAAAACTTAGGACACGAATTTTTTTAATGAAATTTGTGTACTTACGCGTTCTCCATAGTCGCCTTCTACTGCAACAGTCGAAACATATTTCCATCCAAGTTCTCTGATAATTTCGACCATGGCTTGAGCTTGAAAGTTGTCAGGGGGTACCACTCGGCTAAAGTATTCGAATCTGGATTTGTCTGAAAGCTCTGTACTAGTTGAGGCATAACTTATTTGAGGTATCTGTAACAATGCACAAGGAACTTGTTAATTAGAAAGTTAATATTAATAAGGCAACAGATGTTGACGAAATTATACGAAACCACACACTAAGTCTCTTATAATAATAATATACATATAAATATTAATTAATTTTATAATATCTTTGCTTTGAATAAAGGAAAATTAGGTACACACAAAAACACCACCGGAATAAATTTCAATAAATTTTCTGTATCCACAGGCATTTTGTTTTGGTTTACATACATAAACTCTACGATATATATCCAATCAAACTTTTTACTACTTGCATGGATATTAAAACAAGCTGTCCGTAAATAATTGACGAAATGAAAATTAATTCGATTAAAATCGCGTGTGTCCAAAAAAATTCCTAAATTTTTTATTTAATTATTATTTTTATAAAGAAGTTATTTGAATAAACTGCTCGCCATAAAAATCGACGCACCTAGTTTTTTGCAAAATATTTGAAAGCTCGTTATTGGAAAATTACTGAATCGATTTTGAAAACCCTGTAGTATAATGCTATGTGCAAAATATCGTATTCCCAAAATGAGACATAAGAGTCAAAGAATCAGTTATTCAGAATTTCCAAAGATTTTCAAAATCGAATCAGTAATTTTCCAATAACGATCTTTCAAATATTTTCCAAAAAACTAGGTGCGCCGATTTTTATGACGAGCAGTTTATATTCATAAAATATTGTATTGCAGAATTGTTGTGAGATTTTATATTACAAAACAAATTGCACTATTTTTGTTGATATATTAAAACACAATTGTAAAATTTATATTACATTTCCTGTTGACAGATAAAAGCCATTGCATTTACTTTAATATTAAGAGGTATATTTCAACAGAAAAATGCCGTATTTTAATTTTCGTCTATAAAATGACTGTGCAGTGTGAATTTTTTGCGAACAATAGCTTCAAATCAAGTAAAAATTTATTCGGAATGATAGAGGGTCATTTGGAATGATAGTATGTGAAAAGTTTTTCTTTAAAAGAATTTACTTAAATGTTACGTAAAAAAGACTATCCGTGTAGAACTGACATAAAATAAAAGTTCAATTGAAATGTACAGCACTCGAGGGGTCCGAGTTAACAAGAAAACAAATTGTCGGTAGAAAAATCGTTAACATAACGAAGAAATCAGTGGTGTTAAAGATCATAATGCAGGGCGAAAATAAAAACGTTGCTATATCGTTGTCTCGGTTTATATCGAGGCTCAACTAAGAATTATTATACTCGATAGCAAAACTTTTTTGGTCATTTCATTAGATAACTTTTGCCGGATCGAGGGCAATAAAAAAATATCTACGGCGGGACAATAAAATCCGTTTTTTATTACTTAATAAAGAAATATTAATAAACAAATCATCCTTATTGTTTTTTAAATTTGATTTGCGACCTACCTAGAACAAAAGGTTATTTATTGGTTAAATTTAAATTTATAAGATGGGGCCATCAAAATGTTTTTACACTAACTGGTTTGTCATAATAAATGAAAAATTCTGTATTTTCAAAAATTTCTTAAAACTTGTTCACAGCGATTAAAGAATAATCATAACTTTGAATGTAGAGTTTAAATGAAAGAACATAAAACGCAGGGATAAATGTCAAAGGCCATAATTCTGGAGAAAAAAAAGAATGTATTTCTGGAAAATACAATCACATAAGGAATAATCTGTTCCTTAACGATTTTAAGAAGTAAACGAATCCTTATGCTTACTTGTCATTCGAAAACACAACTACTTCAATGTATGTATGTGCTTTTACTTAAACACACATCGTCACTGCTCAAGAAGAACTCTCCCAAAACACACATTGTACTTTAGAAATTCTAATTTTAACTCTGTAAATTTATTGAAAGAAAAAATCCTGTATATCGAATAATATGTTTTAACTTAGTTGTTTTATTTGATTAAATGCATAACATTTCAAACTAAATTGTAATAAATTTTGTATGATACAAGGAAAATTTTAAATTAGCCTGAAATTCTATTTTCGCTGGAAAATAATGCTGTATTTTCAAACTAGTTTATTTACATGGTAAATAAAATGAATCAGTGTCGATAATTGGTAAATAAACAATGCAGTGGTCAATAATGAAAACTATTTTGATGCACCTAAAAGCTTTATCAGATTAAAGCTCAAACGTAAGGTTAAAGCTTCCTCATTTGAATTTCTTCAGCTTCTTTGCTTTCTGTTTAAGTTTTGTTGTAAAAACAGTCTTTGTGTTCTAAGCAAGCATTCGTTTAAAATGCGCATTTTGAATGCAAAATATTTAAATGTTTTAGCGGCATAAATTTCATTTTTGCAATCAAACGTTTTAAAGAAGTCGCTTATATCTCTGAAGGTATTTTAACGCCTTTAACATTTCCATAAAAGATATTTAAAAAGGGATTACACTTAATAAAAGTTGAAGCTTTGAGTAATCATTCCGATAAATAAAATCGGTTTTTTTTTTTTAACTTATTTATTTCTGCAAGCAATAATAAATCTCTCTTATTGAAAAATAACATTTTCAGACATAATTTATATAACACAAAATGGGCTGTATGCTTAAGAGCAAATGCGATATTTCAAAATATTTTCAAGACAGGCAAAAAATATCAAACAACTTTTTCCTTCAGCTGGACTTGAAAGCTTAAGACCTCATTTTTTGCAAGTGCTGCAAGTGTGTTTTATCTAGTTATAAGAACATGTGAATTAAAGTGATATATAACGCGCCAAACGATGTTCTTTTCTTATTTTGCGAATGTCATATGTGCGTCGACGCTATTATCAAGCTAATACGAAATTTCATGAAAATCACTCGATAGTTCCAAAGCTTTGGTGCGATTTTAGATTGTGAAATATGACTAAAAAACCTTTTTTAATGCTATTTAGAATATAAACAGACAAGGGCGCAGATTGCATTTAATAATCTAATGAATTTTAAATTTTCTTTAGTGTAAGGCAGTTTAATTCCTTTATTATAAAGTGCCCGGGATTCTTACAACTTTCCTTAAATGATGTTGTTCGGCAAGATGTTGCAAGATTTAAATAACAAATATATTAACCGCGAAAATATTATATGACTCAGTAAACGATATGCATTGTAGCTGGAAATATTGAAAATTCACTCAAACATACGTGTATTTTCATATTTTATGAGGCAATTTTGGAAAGGTTGCATGGCTGAAAATTCTAATTATATTTGGTTTATTTCGTACCACAACTTATGATGCAATACCTATTTTATTTATTTTCTTTCACCTTATCATGATGACCTTAAGTCCCAAACAAGCTTAAAGCTACAAAGTGCCCTACTCAGATTTCGTCCCAAACTGCTTTGTCCCATATATTTATTGCTGTTGTTTTCGACAGCATCGCCCAAATCTAGGATTTATTATCATATAAACAACCTGAACCAAATTTATCGCCTTATTTCAATATTCCTTTCTAAATTAATTCTAAATTAACTAATATTATTAAGCGGTCTATAATTTAAACAAGTGATATATATATATATATATATATATATATATATGGGTGATTCTACAAAAGTTGGACAAGTTGATGTCATTAGTCAATAGAGTAGGTATTTTAATATTTTTTGTAAATATTTTAGTATATTACAAAAGATCCAGATTTTTTTAACTTGTCCACACAATTTTAATGTATTTTTTTAAAAGCAATTTCACTACAAACTTTAAAACATTAAATAATGTAATTTTCATATTTTGTCATAGATTCGTAGAATAGCAATTTTTATAAAATTGATAATCTTTGTACTCACTTTTACCCGTCAGTTCTGTGTCAAATGTTAAAATTCAAAATTCCTGCGAAATATTGAAGTTTAAACGTCAAGTTCTCGTTTTTACTCAAGTGTTGGTAAAAAATTACCTACAGAGCCCGCCCTTTGCACGACAGTCATCTTGAAAACAATGCAAGCGGCGAAGTTGTGGTGAATGCACGTATAGTTCCAATCAAAATATCAATACTGTGGTGAGTACTTATTTTCTTACGTATATATATTTCATTTTAATTTATATAAGGCTATATGTGATTTGTTGATAAGTAGCACCCACTAATAAAAAATATCAGTAAAATACTTAACTCCGAATAATAATTTCAAATTTTTATCCCATTCATCAGTACCGTGTCGTCAGTTCCATGTTCGATGTTTCGGTTATCTTTTTTTCGCAAACTTCAATTTAAATTCTGCTTGAGCAGAACTTGTTTATTTAATGTCATTATAAACTCATATAAATTTGGTGTGGGTCCCATATCTAATAATTGAGATATCGGTATACCCAAAATCCACCAGCCGCCACTGATGTGTGGTATTATTTGATTTTAAGATATTTAATGTATAATATGCTCAAAATTGCGATAAATCTTATATTTTCCAATAAATTATGTATTTAATTAGTACCCTGGTATACTCGTTACTTCCCTTGCATCCAAATTTAGAAAACACAGATATTTCAGAAACTGTTTGAAAAAGTGACTGGCACGGTCTGGAACAGTATATTTATTATATTATCTATGTTCTCATAACAAAATACTGTTTAATTTTCTCCGAAAACTATATAAACAAAATGAGGTCAAAAGTTTTCCAACTTCTGTAGAATCACCCATATACATATTTATGTATATATTAGGGTGGCCCAAAAAAAAAGAATATTTTTTTTTCTCGTCTCTTGTAAAAATATCTTAGTTTATCATGCTGTAAGTAATATCAGCTCAATTAAAAAAAATTTAGGGGTCGCTCAAGATTTTTTAAAATTTTCAAAATCCTCAAAAATTTAATTTTTGTTTTATTTTAATTTTTTTTCTCGTCTCGATAGTATTTTTTTGGTCGAAAATAATAAAAATTCTGTAAATTTCAAATCAATATTTTGATTTCTAAAGGTCGCTAAAAGTTCGATATTTATATTCAGAGGTCGCTCGAAAACATTCAAAATACTTAAAAAAATCTTGAGCGACCTTTAGAAATAAAAATATTGATTTGAAATTTTCAGAATAATTATTATTTTTAAATTAAAAAATTATATCGGAACGAGAAAACAAATTAAAATAAAAAAAATCCAATTTTTGACGATTTTGGAAATTTTTAAAAATCTTGAGCGACCCCTAAAAAATTTTTAATGGAGCTGATCTTTTGACAGGGCTCTTAAAACATGACAAACCAACATATTTTCACAAGAGACGAGAGAAAAAAAATATTCTGTTTTTTTGGGCCACCCTAAGGATTATTTTTTCAATTCAAAAATTCGTATGTTTGAAAGCTTTGAAGTGTAAAAAATCACTAAAACTGAATATTTTGATTTTTTTCACTTTTCAAAGCTTTCAAATATACGAATTATTTAATTGAAAAAAATAATCTTGGGGTAGATTTTTTTAGGAAATTTTATGCTCTACAAGAATCCGCGACGTAAAAAATTTTATTTCAAACGGTTCAAAAGTTATAGTCTTTTTAACGAAAAAAGATTTTTTTACGTGTTATTTCAATGGAAAACTTAGAATGCTCACCGACACCTTTTAAAATTGAGCAAAAAATTTTGCCTTGCAGGGAAATTTTTTTCTCGGTATGTAGGTTCATTTTAACCCATAAATCCGATAGGTTAGTTTTTTTGGCTCACCCTAATACATATATATATATATTAAAGTAAATTAACGTTCTTTCAGTTAAGGACAGGTGATCCAAAGTAAGGGCCAATTAAACAGCGATGCAATGGTTTATATTTGTCGTCGTGTAAAAAGGACAAGTTCTAACGAGAAAGGCTAAAAGGATAAGCGGGCTTCATTACCTCCTATGGCCCTTGAAAATATTATGTGCCATTCTTTTTGCCTTCTTCTCTACAGTGTAACGCCGTTTTAAAGGAAAATTGTAAAATTTCAATTCAGACAAGAAATTAAGAAGAAAAAAAAACACGGAAATATACTTTAAACAAGTTTGGGAAAGTTAGTCGCAAGTGATGTATTGAAAATGTCTGTGCTACGGAAACATATTTAACAAGAATTTTATGTGCAAGAATGATTCTTTTCTCAGTAAACATTTTATAAACAGCTGCTTTTAGATTTTGTTTTTAATTCTTGAAAATGTAATAAATGTACGGCACTATTTTTCTTTTGTGGTCTTACCTGAAATAAGCGAAGTATGTTGGCTACCATGATGGACACGACGCTGAAGGAAGCGCCAATAACAGCTGTTACAGATTTGTGCGGCACATAGACCGGAGGGTTGCCGCTCTCACATTTATATTCAGACATATCCTGAAACAAATTTACATTTAAATAGCTAAAGAAAATATCACTCTGAGCACGTTGCATTATCAAAAACAACGCGAAAAATTATTCATAAAATCCACCGATATCGTTTCATCTGACATTTTAAACCGATCGGGAAAATAATTAGCATCTCGGCTGAGTTCTTTTGCGATGCCTAAACCAATTTGTAAAACTTGTGTTTGTCTTAGAAGGAAGGACAGATCAACGGGGGAATTTAGCAGGTCCTGGTTAAGGATCAGGATTGAGGCAAAGGCAGCGGAAAGCAGCTTAACTATAGCGGAATGGGTATTTAAATTTTCAGTTGCACAGTAATTGTTTCATTTAAAAAGTCAATGCCCCAATTTTTTTAATTGGATTTAACGAAACTGAAGATCCCTTAAACAGTCCACCAAGTATAAATATATATATATCAGAACAATAGGTTTTCTACTTTACGCCAGTAGTAGGCAACCAATGTTGCAATACTGAAATGCCTTACATCTCGTCACCGTTCTTTCCTTGAGATTAATAGTATATTATGTATCAAGTTTTATAAACGCCATTTTAGTTACGAGTTTAATTAAGCACGAGCGAAGCTTGCGAGCGAGTGTTTAATAAAAACGAGTGTCTAGAGAAGTTTATAAACGAGTTGCATACTATACTTTATCTACGACGAACACAAAACATAATTCAAAGCCAATTTTATTTGTCAACTGTCACCCGAATTTAACCTCACTTTTTCCCAATTTATAATAAAGCTAACTTCATCCCGTGACGTAAAATGTCGAAAAGCCACTGTTGATAACTTCAGCCCGTCAATAAAACGCAATAAAGTTACAGCTCGTCAATGTAGGAGTAGATAAAAGTATTTAAAAATACAGAACTAAGGCCAACAAACAACCATAGCAGGATAGGTTAAATGCTTCCTTAATCCTTTTAAAGAACTTTGCGTTCGGAGATCACTGTCAGCGGCATAAAGTAATAATTTTAAAGGAGCTGAAGGAAATTAAATTTTTCTATTTTAGGTGTTAAAATGCTGTAAAGCTACAATATCTACCCCGTAGTTGACATAAATGATTGATTGCGTTACCTTTTTCAGAGAGACAAATGAATATTTTAATATTAGTTCAATGCATATCGATCATTTTATTGCGGTAATTTAAATTTTAATTCGTTTGTTCGACACAAAAATATCGCGTTGGGATTCAAACAAAGCCATTTGCTGGTGAGATTTACAACATAGTTAATTCAACTAACAATTCGTCTTTGTAACTTAGTGTTTTGTGGTAATATACACATCATCCGAGCCAAACTCGCTTGTATTACGCAGTTTATTGTTATAAAGTTCAAAATCCTAAGATGAATATCTCCTTGTAACTAAGAGAAGTAAGTATATACACACATCAACAAAGTCTAGGGATAATCGTGAAAATTTGCTATAAAACAATTATTTTTATCAAAAAAACTCTTATTTTTTTGTAGGATATTCTCACATGTATTTTAATCATTTGTTATAGTAATATTTTGTTTTTTAATTATTTGTTAAAAAAATATTCAACAAAAAAGTTGTATACTAAATTCGAAGGTAGTGGTCTATATAAAAACTGCAAACAAAAACGCCAGAAAACTTACACTCTGCTGATAAAAATATTCAGTTGAGTTTGCAAAACCATGGCGAGAAGACATTTAACGAATGAAGAAATGTTAAGAGCTATTGGGATGATTGAAGCGGGTGCAACCCAACAAGCAGTTGCCGCTCAGCTAGAAACATCACAAAGCGTGATAAACAGATTGTGTCAACGCTATCAAGAGACCAACAGTGTGAATGAAAGACATCCAGGCCGAGGAAGGCTTACAACGGCAAATCAAGACCGCTTTATTGTTCTGCAGGCCAGAAGAAACCGATCTCAAACTGCATCTGAGTTGGTTGCTGAGTTGCAATTGTCACATAATGTGACTGTGAGTGCTCAGACCATCAGAAGACGATTACATGAAAGAAATCTTCATGCTAGACGCCCTCTCAGGGTTCCCCCTTTGTCCGCTGGAAATCGAGTAGCTAGACTTTTGTGGGCCCAGGAGCATTTAAATTGGTCTGATGAACAATGGTCCACAGTTTTGTTTAGTGATGAATCTCGGTTTGGCCTGCATCCAGACTCAAGAAGAACGAGGGTATGGCGATGTCCCGGACCAGCAGCACGGCTAGAAACTGCTCAAGAGGTCCATACTTACCGTGGTGGAACTGTTATGGTGTGGGGTGGCATCAGCGTTGGAGGAAGAAGTGATCTCATTCCACTTCAGGGATTTTTAAACTCAATTTCTTATCGAGATGTTATCCTTCAACCCTTCGTGATTCCCTATGCTGCAGCTGTTGGTCCAAGATTCATTTTTATGCACGACAATGCCACCCCACACAGTGCACGAATAATAAGTGATTTCTTGGATGAAGAAAATATCGACGTTCTTCCATGGCCAGCACAATCCCCGGACTTAAATCCGATAGAGCATCTGTGGGACATGTTACAAAGGCGGGTTATGCGTAGAAATCTTTTTTTTAATAATCGTCAAGAGCTCATTTTAAGTTTACAAAGGGAATGGGCCGCAATTGACCAGGAGGCAATTGATGCATTAATTTTGAGTATGAACAGACGGTGCAGAGCTGTGGAGAATAGTAGAGGAGGTCATACCACTTATTGACATTATTTTTGCCTTTATAATAAAGTTTGATTTTTTTTGTTATTTTCACTTCATTGTTTAATAAAGCTATTTTAATTTCATTGCATATTTTTATGACTTTTCATTCAAAAATGGAAAAAATATATATGTGAGAATATCACATAAAAAAAGTGAGAGTTTCTTTATAAAAATAATTGTTTCATTGCAAATTTTCACGATTATCCCTAGACTTTGTTGATGTGTGTATATATACATATGTATATACAATGTCCAAAGTTATCTGCTCACCATTGATACTGATATTATTGGAGTTACAAAGTCGGTTAAATTAGCAATTTGTCTTTTGATTTAAATGGTGAAAACATAAAAACAATTGGTTTCCGAAATATATTGACAAAAATAACAGTTTTTTAATTTTAAAATATTATTGCATAAATACAGTAAACTTAAAAGTAAACAATTAATAAGCACTTCACTTTCTGATAGTTGTTGAACTTAAAAGGTTTTAAGGGTGGCTAGTTTTTAATTAAAATCTCTGTATACAAATATATTAAATATTACGGATTAAAATAATTTCTGAGATTTTCGATAGAAAAAATTAAACCATCGACTAATAAATAAAATAATGATAGCCGTTTGTTTATAAGGACCAACACTGGTTTACCGATAGATAGATTTATTACTAGCCATTTTGGGTTTTCCCCTTTCAATTAAATTATTGCTGTGCACCCCACGCCTTTTACCGATTTTCCAATTACATTAATTAAATAAGAGAACAAAATACAAAAACATTTTACCCTTCCTTTAACGATTATATTATTGTTTAATTGTTTTTAAAAACTGACTTGCCTAATACCCCGGCTTGAATAAAAAATAAACCTGTAGCTATTTAACTTATTTAGTATTTACCAGAAAACGACCGAATTGTGAATCTTAATCCTTAAACAAGCTCATCCAAAGATCTCCTATAATTTATTCAAAGCTGTTAACAATTTCTCCTAGCAAAATTCACACCCTTTGAAGTGTGAGAGGTATAATTTGAAAGTGGTTCTTTGATGGCATTCAGGTTAACAAATATGCAGGATCATATCAATAAAAGTCTTTGATTATAACCATGTTGGAAAATATTTCTTTTATTTGGTGAACATATACAAGTCAAAATAATAATATTTCAACGATTGTAAATTTTTTAAATAATTTAGCCAAAATTGCAAAATTTGGATTTTTTCTTTAAAAATTTATGAAATTCACAAAACTAAGCGAGATTTTTGGTAAGCCAATCAGATAGCGTCATTTTTATAATTCTCGTTGGGTAAAAATTAATTGTTAGAAATTTTAACGGGAATTCCACTTTTTTAACCTTCCATATTTCCCGTGTAAAATTGTTTAATACTTTGTGATAATATTTTTTATTTATAGTAATAAGAAAAATCAATGTTTAAACTTTTCTAGGCACTCATTTAATTAAGCACTCGCTCGCAAGTTTGCTCGTGCCTAAATTAAATTCGTGAGTTAAATTAAAATTATATACAATGTGATTGACGGTTTACGGTGGGACACACTGTATAACATTTGAAAACGAGTTGGGAACAATCAAGCTCAAGTATTGCCCTGAGACTTGAGTTGAGGAAGCAATATCGGTCTACAATAAACTATAAAGAAATGAAATAAAAGGAAATAAATTTACTCAATTTTTATTGTCCTAAGGATTAATTGTTAGATTGTAAATAAATTTAAATTGTTTGCAAGAGTTTTATTTAAGGCATTTTAACTTTTTTTTAATACTTTTTAGTTACTTGAAATATCTGGAAATTCGATTATATTTATTTAATTTTATAAAGCTACCTAAACAAAACAATCAAAGTGATTGCCCAAGTATTGTTACATTTGATCTTTTATAAAAATAGTTAAATGGGATTTCAGTAATAAATAACAGAAAAGAAAAGCAAATACTTTACATCCATTACCACTATAATATTTTTATGTCCTCAGGAAAACCTTTTTCTTCGCTTTTTCCGAAACACTAAGCGAAGGGTCCCAAAATGACGCTTTTCAATGCACTGCTGAAGGAATGTTGTATTATTTATGTCAGAATAAAAACGTTTTTTGAAACATTAAATCAGAAGTTTTTTACGTTATATGTGCATAATTTTAATTAACATATGTACAGTGGCCTGTAATATTACACTTACCTACAATGATTTCAAGTAAAATGTTACCTATTATTAAACAGCGGAGCAAAAGTCTTTCTATCAGTGGCGGCCCCTGACATTTCATTTTGGTGAGGCAGAGGCAGGGTTTTGCCCTCATTTAAAGGCGAAGAAATTTTTTTA